TTCTATTATTCTATATTCGCTAAATATAAGAAAACATAATCCATAGGTACTTCCATACATCTATACTAATCTCCATATTATTAAAGTATATGGTAATGTTTATCTAATTTATGTTTATTACTTTTTTTCGACTCAACATATCTTAAGGAAATATGACTTCCAGATAAGTTATATCAAGAGGAAGGACATATACTAATTTTATTTAAAAAAAAACCATCCCACACAGACACAGCATATCCTTTACAGAAATCTTGTTAAAATTCATCGTAGCTACTTCAGTAGAAATAAAAGAATACCTAGAGAATGAAACGAGCGCACCCATTCATGTACAACAATCAATAATTGTGAACTAAATACATAGCACAGCCCTGACTGTGTATCAGGGAACAATGTCTTTGCCGGAGCTGGGAGCCGCGCCAATCAGAGCGCCCGGGTCCAGGGTGGCAGCGGAAACTTTGCTAGGAAATTCAATTAAACTTGAGCGCCCGCCCTTATCTGATGACTCCGTGGAGAGGCCTGCTACGTAACGAGATGCAATAGGGCTGCCACTAATCTACAAACTTATTATGTATATAGACTTGAGAGCATCAAGGCCTCATCTTAAACGCGAAAGTTTGTGAGTATTGATGGATAGATGGATGTTTGTTACTCTTTCGTGCAAAAACTACTGAACAGATTTTGATGAAACTTTCTAGTAATAAAGCTTTTATATCAGAATAACACATAGACAGGAATTTAAAAAGACATTATGTAAACGAGATAAATATAATGATAAATGCCAAGTAAGCGTTACACAGACAAAGATCGGGTCGATCGGCTCGCCTACTGATTATATACCTTGACTTATACCTAAGACATCGTGACTGTCTCTCCGATGAAAGAAACTCTGATATCAAATAAAAAATTAATCCGAAATACGGCGGTGTTATTTGGTTAAGACTGGGTGTTTCTGCTTATTTATTTAATTATTGTATGTTTGTATTATAATTCATATGTTTATTAATTAAATTAGAAAATGTGCACCATACCATTATCAATAATAAAAAAAACTATTTAATACTATTATATATTTGGAAGTAAGTCTATCTGTTTGTTTCTGAATATAGGTACAGCTGAACGAATGTTCATGAAATTGGATATGGACATAGAATGCATCACGACCACATCTGTTTTATTTATGACATCGATATATATCTCAGTGTACTAGAAAATGTTAAATAAGTATATAGGTGCGATAGAAAAGAAAAGTTATTGTATACCATTGTTTTGAAGGTTACTTTGAGAATGACTTTATAGTTTAGCAGTTTTCCTTCTAAACCTAACTTCGTCAACCCTAAACGTTGGACCAATAACATCTAAATCCCCATCCCTGTGGAAGCGAAGCGTCAAGCGCGACTCTCGTAACCGCTAAGCTCGACCTGTGACGTTATCGCACCCCACTTAAGGTTCCGATCCTCACCCTCATATCCTTGCAAACATATCTTTTACCACATAAAACAAAATTACAAGCCATTTTAAACCTTAAACTTAAAAGCACAAGGCACAGTAAATAATGCTGAGTCAGCAATAATGATTGTACAAGGCATAATCAAGGGATTCGCTGTTACGTAACGATAGCTTTCAATGGAATTTTGGGAGTGTTTCGTCAGTTTAAATAATCTTCAAGCTGAATTACAAATGGCCGTTCTCTTGACATTTAAGTGGCTCAGATAGTTCCAAATTCAAATTCTCTTACGTAGTACCTATAAGAGTATTTTGCAAACTATTTTGGTTTTTGAATGTCATCAAAATCCATTAATTAAGATCTGGTTACATATAATAAAAATTATCGCTGTATATATGCAATATAATGAGAATAAATACAATTGGGTGACGCCCTTGGTATGAGGTGTTTCGCCTTCATACTCTGTAATTTCATTGCCGTAATTAAATACTAGGTAATCTAAGGATTAATCCTTCAACCGAAAAACATCTTAAAATTTACATAGATACTTGGCACCTAAAATGTGTGACAGAGGTACACATGTAGATGACTTTTACAAATAATATCTCAGTAAAAAAATTCACGGTATCGCCGCCGACCGATATCGTACTTATTATAAGGTGTTGGTAAATTTATTTAGAGTAAAAACATACTTACGTAAGTCTCGGCGCAAGAATATAATGAATCTCTTCTAGTGTTATAACTAATACTCTAATCACATTTTTCGAGGTTTAGAGATTTCAACATCTAATCAAACAACACAAATGGTTTCAATATTATATTAGAAGCTATTTATTCTTTGTTAAACATGCATATACCAAATAATACTTAATAAGAAATGAATATAAAAAAAAGGAAGTTAATATTGCCTAGTTACCAAAATTAAATTCTTAAAGCAAAAAAATAGTTACCTGTATAGCGCAATTGCTAAGTTAAGATATAAATCATTAAGGTATATAGGTCGATATCATCAAAGTAGACTTTTTGAGTCGACAGTTGCGTAGAAATAGATACTCACGCAATGTTCGCCTGCGTGAGTACCTCTGTTACCTATTTTAGGCGCCAAGCAAGCATCTTGCTTTATCAACTATGTTCATATTGAACAGTGCGATAAGACAGTGATATTTCAAAATAAGAAGTATGACATTTTAGTCCTCCAGAATAGCAACGCTGGGTGACAGGACAAGTCACGTAATAACGTGATATCCTTAGCGTTGTATATATGCAATGGTCACCACTTACTGTAAGGGGCGATCAGTTATTTGCCATTCCAATTAATTAAAGAAAACGGTATAAACATATCGACATTCATATTTTTACTAGACAAGTAAATAAATTGGCTAAACAGTTTAATTAAACTCCGTTGTATAAAATATTATTGCAATTTCTCGTTGACAGTCAATATCGAAACCGCGAGATAAATTGCAATGAATTTATTAATACACAAAATCCAATATTAAATTCGGACGCCAGTTTCCCCAAAAGAGGATTTCATTCGAAAAACCGCATTGCTAAGCGCTAACTCGGCATGAAACGTCATAAATCGATTTTTAAAAGCAAGTGACTTTTTCAGTATTGCTTTAATATGCAGAGCAGTTTAAGTTCATAATTGCGTGTGCTGAGGTAGACTTTATATTTTTTAGGACTGGTCGGACAATCCACGGGAAAAATGGGAAATTGGTGACAGGGCTGAGAGCCGTGATAGCGCACTGAAAGCGTGGTGGGTGTTGAACAGGGCTGACAGTAGCTTCTTTTATTCTATTTTATTATTTCTATACAAAAATTACCATCTAAAGTCTCATTACATGAGACTTTAGACACAAAAAAAGATAGGTTCCTGTTTCTAATATAGAAGCAAAACACGGAAAATTAAAAAAAAAAAAAACAAGTAATAATGGATCGGTGGATTGTATGGATGTCTAAATGATGAAAACATGTATAGAATATGATAGTAAAATATATTTAAATACAGTTGCGAACTATCCAAAAGATAATGATTTAATAATACAATAAAGTACGAAAATATCAAAAACATGACGTAGAAAAGAACTGATCTAAAAATTTATAAATTTAAAAATAATAACAATATCAAAGGAGTTTGGCTGTCGGTCGCCAACACGCAAGATTTATTAGTCCTCTTCCTAGAAAATTTAATTAAAATCAAACTGATTGTAGAAATGCATAAATTTTATGTAAAATTTTATTGAATAACATATTAAATCGCGGAATTATAATAAGTAGTTGTATTCGCAATTTTAGGACAATATTGCGTTCATAAAATAATTTTCAACCCTGAAATCACGGCCCTGTATCAAGCGCTTCAGTGGAAAAATTAAAAAAGAAAGCGCGCCATATTGGCCCCGCAAGTTCAATTAACGCGGAAGGCGGGATTGTGGCTTCGCATTGTGACAGCATCCATTCAACTGGATTTATTTTGCATATTCGTTTCACACTCCAATTGTTCTCTTATTATTTTATTTTCAATAACAGCGACAGTTTATATTATTTTACTAATAGATTCAGAATATTACAAAACCAAAAGCATATAGTATTCCTTTATACCAATTATTTTTATTATTATTTAATTTATATTTATAATCCCGGGTTTCGGCACCAATTTTGTTAGTGTTTCTAACTGTAATCTATTTATAATGCATTTAAAATCAATAAAATTAATAATAAATGATAGACCGTGTTGACAGAAAGAAAAGAAATTTTTATTTTATTTTTAATTACAATTATATGGCTTTTATACAAAAAGAGGTTTCATGTGCTAACAAATTTATTAATTTTAATTAATTTAATTTTTAATTTAATTAATTATTTTTACAAATAGAAAAGTAATATTACATAAATACATATCTATGTAGATATCATCTTATTATTTTCCACTGGTGTTTAGGCGGGTACACCACTCTATTATTATCCATTAAAAAAACCATCCTTCTCAAGCTTACCAAAGAAATTAGTAAAAAAAATACCCAATACCCTTTTCGCTGAAGCGAAAACGGGTAGTGTTTTTCTAATAGGGGATAATGGAATGGTGCACCCGCATGTGCTATATGTATGCGCTGGTAAAGCACGATTGAAATATGAGTAATATTTAGATGAAGTTACGTAGAGCCATTGTGATGAATTTATTATGAATTAACCACTATGGTTTTCAGGAGCAACCAACCACGTGGAAAACCACCTGACATTGTACTATGTGGAAATTGTTTGTAACATTTCTATACAGTTTGCGATGATTATCTACAGCCCCATTACTAATAATTCCAGCCAAACCAATTGTATGCAATATTATATTACATACACTTCGAAGCCTACATTGTTTCTACCTAAATCGATAGTTGATGGTTTATTCGTTGATATCATAGTATCTATTTATTACTACAGTGCGAAATGATTGAAACTGTCAAAAACAAATAAGAAATATACTACTTCTGCAGCAAATATGAAATTGACAGAATGACTGACACTAGTAATGTCAAATTTGTAGGTTGTCAAATCTCAAAGTTTACTTTTGCAAATAACCACTGTAATACCTATCTATAAAAAGTTTACAAAGTTGTTATGTTCTTATCCGATATAAAGTAATAAACTATTTCCGTTGAGACCCTATTTAGATCAATCATTCCTAAATAAAATTGCATTGTTACATCTATGAATATTCGTTATTTATATTTACTATTGTCTTAAGCTTACATGAGATACAATGTCTCAACCGGCGGAGGACAAAAGTATTAATGATAAGAAGAAACCAGATTCGGCTTGTAATACGGTAAAATAAACTTTAATTAATCTATTTATTTATTTTTCTAGAACTTGACAAATCTAAATATCTTGTTATTTTTAAATAGATATTTAAGAAAATATAACACACATGTAAGATAATACTACTAATATTATGAGGATCTATGAATATCTTTTTATTACTTTTTCAATTGAAAACTATATGCCAAATTCAAATTTCGAATGCAATTAGGAACACAGTTCTATAGATGTACCCTAAAAAAATATTATTTGCAAAAATTATCGTCACAGTAACGTCGCTATTGTATATATCGATATTATTTATTTATTTATTTGTTTGTATGTATATATACAAGGATTATTATATAGTTATATGTAGGTGTATATACTATGTAATTTGTGTTTATTTAAAAAATTTGGTGAACATATAATTTATGTAATTCTTTCTATGTCTTTCTGTAAGAAAAACAATAGATTTTCATTCATTCATTCATTCATATGTATGTCTAGTACATAGAATATTTTTATATGGAATGTATACCAGTCTTGTTGTGGGATTCTATTATAACCTAATATAATTTATTATTTTACTTATCACAGGTAAATGTAGTGGTGTTTTTAACTGCAGTAGTGGTTGGCATCTTTTCCTATTATGTATACAATACAATTAGAACACCTCCAAAAGTTCCACAATTCGACATTGACCAATGGTGGGGGCCATATCCTATTAATTTGAAGCGTGATTTATCTATTCGACCATTCAAAATAGAGTTTACGGATGTTGTAAGTATAATTATTGCCTTTAATATATAATATACTAGCTGACCCGACAAATGTTGTTTTGCTATATAAATTAAAATAGCTATTAAAAAATAGAGGTTGATAATAGATGGTTGAAAATTTAGGCTTGTATGTGTTTTTTAATATCACATTACAAAATAATAAAGTGTTGACTAAAAATTAAAAAAAATTGTTATGGGTGGACAACCCTTATCACTTAGGGATATAGTATAAAAAGTTAGCAACCGTTTCTCAGTCCTGAATAAGCATATAAAATTTCATTGGTCAGGCCGTTACTAAATTTTTTTAATACCTGGTAATGAAATGGTGCATTTGTTGAGTATATGCTAGCAAAATATCAGTAGTAGATAATAGGATGAGATTGAACTCTGGTCAGTGAATTCACAACCACATATAAGTTAACATATCCTTTTTTTCCCAATAACAACTTTATTCCAGATAGTGTTATCAATTGTTGTTTTAATGATAATGGCAATTAATTTCTTTTTATTTATGCTTAACAATTTACATTGAATTTAATTACATTCAGTAAATTATAATTTACTAATTAAATGGCACATTTTTAAAAAATAAATATATATTAAATATATTTTATATGCCCACATATCTGGGGTTATAGAATTAAATAGAGAGCCAGCCTACCATGACATCTTGAATTAATTTTGTTTATTATTGGTTTTCACATCACCAGAAAATTAGAAATTGAAATTAATCTTACTCTTTAACCAAAAACAGCTTTGCTCCTGCTTGTTTGAAATAGGTGAGACAGAAATGTCCCATAGAGGATTAAGTACAAATTCTCCATATTGGACAATAAGTGTGTGGACTACAGGAAGCTGTGTAAGGCTAATAATTGAAAAATAAAGAATTAAATTAAACACAGCTAATTATTCAAAAGACAATTTTTTTTATAATTCAAGACTTCACAAGGAGTATTTCTATACCTACTTTATGTTATCTTAGGTGGTCATTGTCCAGTACTTTACACCAAGCAATCAATACCTGTCTAATTTCTGTGTCATCAGATTGTAAATGATTTAAAAGAGCGCCTCCTCCACCGACGCGAGTTTATTCCACCTCTAGATGATGCTGGGTTCACATATGGATTTAACTCCCATTTTCTGAATGAAGTTCTAAACTACTGGCAGAATAAATACAATTTCAAGGATCGAGAGCAGTTCCTAAATAAATATAATCATTTCAAGACAAACATTCAGGGGTTGGATATTCATTTTGTACATGTAAAACCAAAAGTTACTGAAGAATATGAAGTGAGTATTATAATAATAATAATAACAGTCTTTATTTGTGTAGATAAATTAATTGATTACCTGATAATTATCTAACTTCTTACTCATATTAAGAAGCAGGAACTTTGTGAAAGTGTAGTAGCTTATAAATCAGAATAAAACAGTCTATAAAAATGACGCGACTGAAACCGCGGGCATTGCTGGTAAAATTTAAATAAATGATGAAGTAAGTATTTTGAACTAAATTGTAACTGATGTTGATAGGAAAACAATATTAACAGCTCATAGTATAATATATAATCTTCTTTTGTTCATGAACGAACAAATTCGGAAGAACACTCCCCAAGATTAAGTACATGAATGAAGTAGTTAGAACAGAACATCGCAAATTTTGTTAATTCATTTAATATAATACTGTAGAGATCTTGCTAAAAACCATAATAACATAAATATATGTACTAAATAAAAATACATGATATTTGCAGCCCAAAAAATAAAGAAACATTATGGAATAGAAGCTAGTCTAGTACCTTTTTTTAACTTGAATTGAGAGTGGATGTGAACTAATTCGCAATAAACGAATAGATCTGTTCTGATCTGTAATCTCCGAGTTGCGAGCTATTATTCGCAACTAGGTCATCAGGTATGACGCTCTTGTGCTACTGTCGCAGCTCAAATTGGCCTTCAACCGCTGTATGTATACCTATTTTCACCGGTTGAAGCTATAAAAACTAGATACAGTTATCACAGTAGTAAGAATTTTTTAAATATTGTTTCTAATATGTTTACTAACCAAAAACTTGTAACTGTTGAGAATAGAAACAAAAAAGATTCTCCAAGTTTAAGTTAATTAATTTATGAATTAATATACCTTTACAATTTATCTAGTCCCAAATTAAGTAGATGTTGCTTTATGGGTACTAGATAATGAAAAAAGATGATCAGTCAAAATACATATATACATAATACACATAGAAACATAGATAGACCAATAGAAACAATATCTGTCTGTATCTTACTAATATTATAAACGCGGAAGTTTGTGAGTTTGGATGTATGGATGTTTGTTACTCTTTCAAGCAATAACTACTAAATGGATTTTAATGAAACTACAATAATATAGCTGGATATCAAACCCACGACAATCGTCAGTAAGGCGACGTGTCAAGCACTAGATCACTGAGGTCTCAAATTTTATTTTTTATACCAGGTTGTGCCCTTACTTTTGCTGCATGGATGGCCAGGATCATTCCGTGAGTTCTATGAGATGATACCAAAGCTAGTCACCCCTCGGCCGGGATATAAATTCATTTTTGAACTCATTATACCCAGTCTACCTGGATATGGTTATTCTCAGGTAAAATATAGTGATAATAATAACAAATATTATATCATTATATATAATACGTTTTTTATACATATTAAAAGGAATTATACGCCGATGTTTGACAAATCATCAGTACAAGATAAATAACTATTCTGATTGTGGCAATAAAGCTGTTGAAATATAAAGTGGAAAAAAAATGACAAGTGAAAACACCCAGTTCTCCTCCTGCCACCAACTCGACTATTTCCTTCTAATACCTAATACATATTATTTTTTTTACATTTATAATATTAGGATTATTTTATACTTTTTCTTGCAATTATACCGTTAAAACTTGCGAGTTTACTAGCTAGATTCATAGCATAAAACGAGAATACAAAGTGAGAGGCTTGTGCACTAAGACAAAACTCACGAAGAATAATAATATACCCAGGACAATTCACATACCGTCTTCTAGTACTCTCAAGAGCTATAAGCAGTTAGACTAAGAGTACTATATTACTAATGGAATTTTTTACATAATATACATAGAAAATAGCCAGACTGATTTTAACAATCAAATTAATTAATATTAAAACTAATTAACGTTAGTATCGTGCGACGAATTGCAACATCGGAAGTCAGGCGGTATGTTAAATAGCTAGACACCCAGATCGTCAAAAATTTAAAAGAAAAAGTAATATTATCTTTCTCATACTCAGGCACCATCTCGTCGCGGTTTGGGTCCAGCGGAAATAGCAATCATAATGCGTAATCTAATGCATCGCATCGGACACAAGCATTATTACATACAAGGCGGAGATATTGGACATAATGTCGGCTCCATTATAGCGACACTCTTCCAAGATGAAGTCCTCGGTTTCCACACCAATATGCCGATTTTGTTGTTCCACCCGATCGCCACTGTATATACCCTGTTAGGTAACCACATTTATTTTGTGTTTTGTCGCTGTCTGTCCCTATGTATGCTTAAATCTTTAAAACGTATATAGATAGAGTGATTCTAGAGGAAGGTTTATATATGTGATACACGTACACCCTGGCGAAGCCGGGGTGAGTAGCTAGTTATTAGTATATTAGGTTTCTCCTTCTGTCGTCGTATAACGTTTTTCATTATACAACGCTATCTACAGGAATAAAATACATATAAATATTCTATTTCTAATAAAAAGCATCTTTATTATTTTTCTAACTTGATGATGTTAAATGAATCAAAGCTGTGCCTATTTTAATTCATCTTATATAACCACAAAATTTATATATATGTATATAATATTATAAACACGAAAGTTTGTGAATATGGATGGATGGATGTCTGTTACTCTTTCACACAAAAGCTACTAAAACGGCTTTGATGAAACTTTACGGTAATTAGCTTATACATCAGAATACACAGGCTTTAATTTGTTTTATATATTACATGCCCATAGAGGCTTCAACCCAGTTCCGACTTCCCGAGGGTTGTGGCCCCCGGAATTGATCCCAGGTCAACCTCACAGTCACTCAATACAAAAATCGAACGAATCAAACATTGAAAATTTCGTAATATATTTGTTTATAAAAACAAGAAGTACAATGAAAGAGGTTTCACCACAAATTCTTTGCAGGTTCGTTTTGGCCTCGCCTTGTAGTAGAAGCAGAGCTGAAAAACCGCATGTACCCTATTGGTCAGCATTTTCAGAGACAACTTGAAGAATCTGGCTATTTGCACATACAGGGCACCAAGCCGGATACAATTGGTAAATTATTATTGTATTTAGAAATTACAAGAAGTTTTCTGTATATATTTTATCTACTGCTAATGATGAATGAATATATATATATATATATTCATTCAATAATACAGGCATATTATTATATAGAACAAGCCAAGAAATTCAAACATTTGTAATGCATCCGTACTAAGTCGGGACAAGTCGCTAGTATTGTATGAGTGTTTCTAAAGATGTCATCTTCTACATATAGGCGCTGCACTCACGGACTCGCCGACTGGTTTAGCCGCATACATCCTAGAAAAGTTTTCAACCTGGACCAATAATGAATACAAAAAGGCGGCAGATGGCAAACTCCTAATGAAATACTCATTGACACATTTATTGGACAATGTGATGATATACTGGGCGACCAACAGTATTACAACCAGTATGAGGTTGTACGCCGAATTTTGTAGCAAAAGGAATATGGCGTTGAAATTAGATGAGTGAGTTTGTTATAAAATATTATAGTAACTACATATATTGATTTGATGAGTCTTCGTCACCTTATTCTTATATTAAGTATTACATTATTTTGTCATTATCTTTCCAATTATTATAATAGCTTGAATGAAAAGCATATAAGTATCATAGCTAAAATATGGTAATTGAAATTTTACCTTTTTAAATAAGAGTGAGTAAATCAGATGCATATCCTCATAAGCAGTCATAAAAGTCAACTTTGTCGTGAGTACACTTGAAAATCAAAATCAGATTAGAGATTATTTTTAATCTTACTAATATTATAAACGCGGAAGTTTGCGAGTGTCGATGGATGGATGTTTGTTATTCTTTCACGCAAAAACTATTGAATGAATTTTAATAAAACTTTACAATAATATAGACTATATATCAGAATATCACAGGATACAAATTCCACGCTAGTGAAAACGCGGGCACTAAATTAATACTTACTTCATTATTTAAATAATATTAGCTATTATTTAAATAATAATGTAAGTAATAACTGAATTGTAAGTGATGTCTATACAGACCCAAATATTAAAACCTTATAAAAGATACAATCTTCGCGTGTATCGCTACGAGCACAGCTAGTTCAAATAGGTATAGATATAGTTAATACCTACATTTATATTCACAGGATACCAACAAATGTGCCAACATGGGGTATTAAATTCAAACACGAGTTGATGTTCCATCCTGATTCCTTACTTCGCCTGAAATATAAAAAATACTTACACAGCACTATAGTCGAAGATGGTGGACACTTCGCTGCGTTAGAGATGCCGGATATACTGGCCGATGACATCTACAAGGCTGTAGATACATTTATCGAGTATCATAATATTCAAAAGTATGTAATTTTTTTATCTTTACGAAATGCTATATTTCGGGGCGCTGATATATAGGTAAAAGAACTTTTTATGGACGATCTGTATGCGCTAAGGGTTTACGCTGGCGGGGCACCAGTGATGATGATGATAAAATGAGCATGAAATCGGCTAATTTTGCTCATTTTGCCAAATGGCAATTTACCACAACGGATTCCAGGTAATCTACGTGGAGGTCAACTTGACAGGGTACATGCTAAGCTATGCTAGCAATGGAATTATTAGTCCATATTACTATCAGTCCCCTTTCCTCCTCTGTTTATGTACTAGTTTTTCTCGTAAAAAATGACTGGAGATATTACGATCAAATCACAAAATGTCAACATTTAGCCTAAAGAAAGTGAAATTTTTATGTAATAATTAACTTTGTGAATATTTTCAGACAATAATTGTATTAAACCAATAATATATGGCATCATATAGATGCTTTATTTATTTTATTACTGTCGTTTAATAACTATCAATAGATTGTGATCTATAAACATGCGTAAATGTATAAGAAATTGCTGTGGAATAAACACTAAAAACAAATATTGCATTGTATTGTCTATTGATTTAAGACATATGCGTATTGTCAGTTTAATTAACATAAAAAGATATCATAAATAGGGCACAAATTATTATAATTGTCGTGGGAATAAAATAAAATACAATGTTATGTTGCCATAATATCAAATGCAAATAATTACCACGCAGTTGTTTACAATTGTTAATTTACTAGTATAGTGTACTAACTAGTAAAAGGTGAAACCAGGATATGTTATATAATTTATGAAACTGAGTTTTATCTTTATTTATATGTATACTAACTAGTTTTAAACGGCAGTGCTGTTCGTTTTGAATATCATGTAGACACCCATCCATGTGTCTACATGTGGAAGAATTGTAAAAGTAATTTTACAAGTATTTAGCACTTTATTTAAAACAATATAAATCTCGAAATTTAATTATTTATCGCTTTATGGCATAAAATTCCTCCAGTTTTCTTTAGCCTTTGAACCATATTTTAACACATAAACAGACAGTTTTTGCGTGGTTATTATTATTATTATATAAAGACTGGAATATTGTAGGAATAAGCAACATCTCTCATAAGCTCTAGCTTTACACCGCGGCGCTGGCCGGATTAATAACGTGGAAGAATTTTAAAATAAGTTAAGAATTCCGTTTTCTGATTCAATCGATTCCGATAAAAAAAGCAATGCAAAAAATTAAAATATTTGTTTGCAATTTAATTCATAATTGTTTAATTAAATTAATTAAACGAAAGAGAATAATTATTTACGTGTGGCTGGTGAGTGAATTCACTTATCTTTTCGCCATACATTGTGACATTTATTATTAAAATCATAAATTAACGCTATAAAAATAACTAATATTTGTAACACGTGGATATGAACGTAGGCGAATACCTGGTAAAGCTAAGAATTTCGCAAAAAATAAATAATCATGATAATAGCAACTAATATTTCTAATACATCTCCATTATTAATATTAATTCATCGAATTATTGAAAATTAATAATACCATGAAAATATTTTCAGTGCAAAACAAGAATTGCAACTCCAGCCGAATTATGAAAAAGCAAAAACTGTATACGAGTTCACAGCGAAGAATATAGATGGCAAAGAAGTAAAATTAGAGAAATACAAGGGGCACGTCCTAGTGATAGTCAATGTTGCGTCACAATGTGGTCTTACAGACGTCAACTATGAACAACTGAATCAATTGTATGAAAAATACGCTATTACGAAAGGCCTACGTATACTGGCTTTCCCCTGTAACCAGTTCAATAGCCAAGAACCAGGGACACATAGAGAGATATTCAGTTTCGTCAAGAAGAGAGACGTGAAATTCGATGTGTTCGAAAAAATTGACGTAAACGGCGACAACGCTCATCCACTGTGGCAGTTCTTAAAGCGAACCCAAAGTGGTATTTTCGGGGATTTCATTAAATGGAATTTTTCGAAGTTTATCGTCGACAAGAATGGTGTACCAGTTGAAAGGCTTGGCCCCAATGTAAATCCGGTCGATTTAGAGCCCCTCTTGGCTAAATACTGGTGATGTAAGTTCAAGTGAAGTTATCAAAATGTTTCAAATCTTGTGATACAATATGCCTTAGTATATTAATATGTTAATGTCACGCCAAATTGTAGATATTAAGTATAGATATATAGACTGTATAGTAACAGGCATACTAAATAATACTATAGATTACGAAGTCTCAGTGATTTTGTTTAATAAAACTACTATGTGAAAATATCACTTAAAACTATTAGATTGAATTTGTGTTCAAAAACATAGGGATAGGACGTATGCTTGTTTGCCATCGGACAACCACTAAAAAGACAGTTATCACTATTATTATGTTACAGCGCACGGTGTGTAAGTTTTAAGCATATATTTTAATAATTCAATATACCTACTCAGTTAAAAGTGTTCATTAAAGCATATATTATTAATGAATGTATACTATTTTATATACTCGTTGTTTATTAAATTAAAAGTTTATATAAAAAATATAGTGTTATTATTTTATTACCCTACTTCATAATGTTATTTGACTTAGTCTAAGATGGATCTGACTACTTGAATTTAATGTTAGATAATAGCTGTATATTTTTTTAATATATTAATAAACAACTCTTTATAAAATTTATCACAGTATAAAAATAAAACTGAAGAAAGTGTTTGTTTGAAAGCGCTAATTCGGAAACTTCCAGTAGGACTTGAACTTGTTTCCTTTTTAGATCCCAATTCTAAAAAAGGTCGTTTAACATCAAGCTACGGCCCTCAGGAATCGCGTAAAAATAGAAGTCCGAATGAATACTAAGCGAAAAAGAAAAATCGATGCCCTTTCACAGGCGGGCCACAGCTTGGCACGGATGTATATATAGACCTCTTGAATCACTACCTATTGCTAAAAATATTATAGCATAATAATTCGTTGCGTAGTTTAAAAGATAAAATCATGATCAAGAAGACAGCGGAAGCGACTTCATTTTACACTATGTAAAATATACAATGACTGCCTTGGTGGTTTAGCGAGTTCGAACGGTGCAAACATTTGTACTCATGAGTATGATTGTTTGTATCGCTCTGGGTGATGTCTTTGTATATTACGTATGTATTTACAAAAAAAGAATCTATGTATTTGTATCAGTTATCTAGCACCCATAACATAAGCTTTAGCTAGCTTAACTTGCGTCTAGATAGTGGTGTTTAAATTGTTCTGAAATTATAATGAATAATTAAATGAAAACTGTTACAGTACAAAACCAGCGACAGAATGGCAGCCAAACTACGGAACTGGACAAACAGTATACAAATTCGTAGTGGAAAATGTTTATGGACAACAAATTAAATTAGACAAATACAGAGGACACGTTCTACTGGTAGTCAATGTGACATCAGAATGTGGTATTGTAGACACCAATTTAGAACAACTCAATGACTTACAGGAAAAGTACGCTACTAGTGAATGTCTAAGAATTCTCGTATTTCCTTATGATCAAAGCGTATACATCCTTACTAATATTATAAATGCGAAAGTAACTCTGTCTGTCTGTCTGTCTGTCTGTCTGTCTGTCTCGCTTTCACGCCAAAACTACTGAACTGATTTAAATGAAATTTGGTACCCATATAGTCTAGACGCCGAGGAAGGACATAGGCTACTTTTTAATGCGAAAAAAGGGTTGTAAAGGGTTGAAAATGGTAATGCAAGGTTATCTTTATGCGGTTGAATACACACTTATTATAATAATGGCTTAACTAAAAAATTAGATATTTTGGAAAGTCTACTTTATAATTGTGTTATTAAGTCTATTTTCAAAAATTTTTAATTTCTGAATTACACCAGTATTGTACTAGATATGCGACTTAGTAACGCTCATATGTCATAAATAAACATATATGTCATTTGTATAAGTTGCGCGCGCAACTGATTATTGTCAATCCGTTGTCTCCTTATGAATTTAAATGAATAAATGTTTGCTCTGCAATTTTATTTTATAAATACATAAATATAATCTTGGTATAGCCTATAACTGATGACCCTGCTCTTGGACAAGAGCGTAAGAACATATTATTAATATTTTTGAAGAATAAAACAACATATAATATTAAAAATGTTGTCAATACATATGAACAACATTTCCTTGGAAGAAACAACATCTACCGTTCCATCCGAGCTATTCAGGTTCGGAATACGCGTTTCTCCATTCTGGCCAGTAGAGTCAGAGATATGGTTCGCGCAAGTAGAGGGATAGTTTGCAATTTAGAATATCACATCTATTATTTTGATTTAACAAAATTTTATTATGTTATTGGCCAACTGGACCACCAATTTTCAAAAGAATTTAAAGAAATGTTTAAACTGTTTATTAAATATAAATAAATATGACATTTAAATTTGTAAATATCACATTGTCACCATTCAAGGGGTAAAATAAAATAGCAGATAAAAGTTTTTATGGAAATTCATCATATTTGAAGGTAGAACGATGAAGCTTTTTTCTTACGCTTTTTTGGGTCAGTTTATTTAATAAATACCTTACTAATATTATGAAAGTGAAAGTGACTCTGTCTGTCTGTCTTAAAAGCCAAAACTTCTGAACTGATTTAAATGAAATTTAAAGTCTAGATCTTGAGATCGGTTACATTAGGTTACTTTTTAATGCTAAAAAGGGTTATAAGAGACTGAAAGAGGAATTTTTTAAAAGTTTAAGCTTCAATCTTATTTTTATACGTATTGATTAAATATAATTAACGAAAATGGGTTGTAAGGGTCAAAAGGGGAGTTAAAATGTTGTATGCATGTATTGTCATTTTTTAAAGCTAGAAACTTAAAACCCATTTTTTAGGCTGTTGAGAAAATATCAGAACCTACCGCCACAGGCCTCAGCCATAAATGGTTACAGTATAGCGACATCTTATCATTGGTACATGATGACACTAATATAAGTAGCATTAAAAAAAAACAAGAAAAAGGGTTATAAGGGGTTGAAAGGGGAGATGTAATGTATGTATGGTATGTATGGAAGTATCTTCATTTTAAAGATAGTAGTTTGAAACTTAGTTTTTGGCTGTTGATTGAATTGTATGGAATTATGTATGGAAATTTCATTTTTGAAGCTAGAACGATGAAACTTTTTTATTGGGTTAGATTATTAATATATATTTTTTATTATTTGCTCAAGGTCACTATTTTACGCGGACGAAGTCGCGGGTACAGCTAGTATCTCTATATAACTTTGTCAAAAAGTCAAAAGTCGAATTTGAGATGTTCAAGAAAATTTATTTCGAAGATGAAGCCGTGAATCCCGTTTGGGAATTTTTAAAGCAAACATTAAGTGGCACTCCCGGAGATTTTAGTAAGGGGAAGTTTTCAAAGAGTATTATTGACAAGAATGGCGTACCAGTGGAGGGCTTCGGTCCTGATGTAGACCCGTTGGACTTGGAGTCTCGCTTGGAAATGTACTTATAACCTAATCGTACATATAAGTAGGTACCTATACAGGATTAATTGTAAAAAGTATTATACGAAGCGGAAATCAAGTTCACATTCAAGGAACAGAACAACTTTCCCAAAAATTTTCACCCAGGAGTAAATCGTGTGCATGAATTTTTATATCAAATGAAAACATTTAATGTTACACATAGGTACTTAAATAAGTAACCTTATTTTAACTAGCTTTTAAAGAAAAATCCGGCTGAATTGCTTGCAAGTTCTCTTCTCAATCAAATATATGTAGGTAGAGAAACATATTAACACAAAAAAGTTGAGATTCCTACGCGGCTGAAATGTCCTACATGAACAAAATACTTTTATAAGGAATTAGATAACTTTTAAAACATTATGAGAAATTATTTATTTTCAGATATTGTAGGTTCGTGCAAAATTTTAATTTTTATAAATATTTTATACACCATAAGTGTCTTGATATCTACTTATATATACCTATATAAAATAAATATATACTAACATTGTGTTAAGTATACAATAAGACTGGCCCACAAGAGTAGTGCGGAGGTTTTTTCCATATTTTTTATGAATGCATATGAACTCGCCTGCGCTTATGGTATATACTGGCGGGACACCAACGGAGGATGATAGGATGCCAATAAAGTTAAGTATCTCGTCTTATACATAAGGCATTGCATGCAATTGAAATTCCGCATCGGTTGGAGATCCCACGCACTAAGAAAAAACGCGTATATTTAGCCTAGTAACGCAGTAGGCTGAAAATACTATAATAATTTTTTTGCTATTGATACTTATGAGATAGTATAAAATTATATGTATAATAATAAGTAATCTCATCCAAAATTTCGTTCTTATATAGGTACGCCAAGTTCGGCCTTAATAAGGTTTACTAAACTTATTTATCTTTGGTGAATATTCACAATAAAAAAATTATGGTATTCTTTTTTCATTGAATCTAAGTACTTACCCATTAATTTACGACTGAGCGAGACGAATATAAAAATGTCCTTCCAAAATGTACATAAATCAGTTCCATATACAATCTGATTTGGAAGTTATTGTAAATTAGTACTTTAGTTTATATAAAAAAAATGTGTTACTATCTCATTTAGGTATATATTACAAGACTAAGACGTATGCGGTAGCATTTTATACGGTATAGAAGATCATATAAAAAAAAATTTGCATATATTATTCCGAATTTATACAACATTTAGTAATAATATTGACAATGTTCATCATTATTTTATTCATCATAATATTTTTTTTCGTATGTACAATGTAATAAACGCCGTACTAGTGCTAATTCTGTCATTGGCGAAGATAGCGAACTAAATAACTATACATTTTGTAGTTTCGATGAACTAAAAACGGTTCATCAGTTCATTAAAGAAACAGCCAAACTAAATTTTTATTGTTTTAATTTAGTTCTCCATCTAAGCTTTTATTTTGTATTAATTAAAATACTGTACACAAAAATAATGTTAATGTTTATTTATAACTATCCAACACATAACATTGGTCATAAGTTTTCAAACGGTCTGCCTACCAAGTCTCAATTTAGACAAGTCTTGTATAGTGTTTCTAGAACTTGACTCGCTCCACTGTAGCTCAGGTATAGCAGCAATCATCTGTGATACAGGAACAATCAAATTACTATAGGTACTATATGACGACCTTAATTGTGTAACGGTCTAACACCGGCTTCACTTATCGATAGTCGTGAGTTCGAACATTGCATAATACAATAAAATATATAAATACATTACCGTATTTGTAGGTACGCACTAGATGGTGTTATATCTAGTACTAAAAAATACTACGGCCGTACACTTTCACTTCTGCCTGAACACATTACAAAGACAAATTAGAACTAGAAGAAAAAAAATTAAGTTGAGGCATAACAAAAACTAACTTAAAATCAGACTGGAATCGAATTAATATTTCATTTAATTCGATTCAAGTCTGATTTTAAGTTAGTTTTTGTTATGCCTCAACTTAATTTGAAAATAATCTAATTTATATCGCAAAATAGCGCGTAGCATAGAAAAAAACAGTCAAGTAGCTTTAAAGCAACTTCAAATAATGGAAATATCTTATGCTCTCTGAATCGTATCGGTTTTTAAAACAGGAAGTTCAAATTTAACCGTTAATAGACGGTGGGCAATGGAATAAGTACGTATATATATTTAAAAATTAACAAACATCTACCTATCTACATACCTACTTATATAAATTACACACTACTCATATATGGATGCATTATGTACATCCTATTAATTAATTAATAATAATATAAATACAATTATAATAATTGATATATTTAATATTGGTAATCTTACCTGCAAATCTTTTCAACATAGCACTTGCGGTTAGAGTTGTCCACCGGTAAACTTGAAGGTCCCAAGTTCAAAGCCAACTTACGAAACAAACCATGTAACAGTTTCCATTCAAACTACAATTTACATTGTAATTAAAACTGTTAAATCCTAATTAATACGTAATAGCAAAACTGTCACTCTTAATCGATAATTTGTTGCAGCAAAATATCATAAAGGAATTATTGCAAGTAATGAAACAATTTATAAAAAAAACACTTATTGTATAATAATTTTTTTATTAAACCGTATATACTTACTGTAAGATTCAAATCTGCTGACACCAGACTACATACAACCATTAGCAATATTTGAACTAAATTGCATTGAAATAAGTCAAAACTAATAAACAAAATATTGTTTACAAATTAACTACATATAAATACATATTATTATTAAACTTTATACTGTATATGGTTCTTTATTATAAATTGTTTAAGATATACAACTGGTAGTTTAAAAATTAACTGCAAGTACATAGTGAAATTGTCCAGCATTAACTAAATTAACTGGTTTTTATAACAACTATTAATATTATGTCACCCATGAAAAAAATATATATTTGAATATTCAGTACTAAACACACCTTGATAGATTTAGCACATTTTCGATTCGGTACAGAGAAGTATGTATGCTTTTATAACCATATATGAAATTATGGATAATCCCTTAAAATGTTGGCTGTTATTTTTAAACCCCCAATTGTGTATGTATTACAATATATACTTATGAGTATTCTCTATGAAAATACAATTTACTTCAAAGACTACTTAAAATACACATGTCTACTCAAGATTACTGACGTGATTTGATGTCATTCATTTATGTTAATACTATACAAATTGATATACAACTTTATATATTCTTAATAATGCAACTGATGATAAAATCTTACAAGTGCCCACAGTGTTCATACCGCCTTAACTTTTTATTGTAATTTTAGAAAATATATATAAATATAACCTACAGTCTATTTTTTATTTTTAGTAAACAATCATAGTATGTATATTTTTACAGTAATAAGGATGCACGGAATGAAAAAGTATATTTGTAATGAGAAAAAAGAATGCATATTAAATATGAAATAAGATGATAGAGATTCCTGAACAAGACAACTCATTTTGTATACATATTAACATAATATATAGACTCTCACTATGGAACGAAAACAGTGAAAGAATTCCTCATAAAATAATCCATCTTTTCTATTCAGTATTGGTATAAAGCATATATAAAAACATTAAACACATATTATTGTAATGCGCAAGACAAAGATGTAACAATAGGTGGCCTTATTACTAAATAGCAAACTCTTTTAGGCAACCTGAGGATATATATAATTGAATATGCATTCATATATTTTATTTTTAAATAACTATTTAACAAGACATATCATGATTATTTATTAAACATATCAAGTACGAAAAAATAGACTATAGGTGAATGCCATCCATCAATGGTGTAGAATTATGCTAACTCAAGGGATGTCCTTAATAACCTCGGCAAGCTGCTCCCTGGTGAACATGTGGAACATCGAGCCAGGGGTCATGGTGACTACCTCCACATTGTTCTCTGACAATTTCTCCTCCATTACTTGTTTCAATATTGTAAGAGCTGACTTAATAGCTTCTTTCAGTGTCATAGACTTATGATATACTTCCTGTGAAATAAAATTCTGAGTTAGATTTATTTGAGACAATCATCATCTATATACATGAACAGCACATGGACATCACTTCATCATATGACACCCATGATATCACTCAATTGGTTACTAAGATGTCATGCCTCTGTCCTGTAATTTCACTGCCTTATGTTGCAGTTTAATTGAAAAATCTTACAAAATAAGCTGCTTATGGCCTAACATAGAGGAAACAGAACTCCAGAAGACTTTCTAAGAATAGTCTTAGATCCAGATATAGATCTGGTAAGTAAATTACAAATACAAACATATAGAATATTTAGAAACTTAAAACTTGTGAGTACCTCATACATAGCATATTGTTAATACTAGTTGTTAATAGAGATCTTTGCATGTGTTCTAACAAGTTGACAAGTAGTTGATTACTTTAACTCTATTTTATTACATATATGTGGAAATGAAACTAAAGACTAAATAATAATTCAATGTAAATTAAAATAGTTTCAATATTAAAAAAACAATACCTTTAAACTTTGCTGTGCACCTTCACTGCCTGAACCAATAGCCTTAGCATCATACTGTACAAATGTACCACTGGGGTCCATGTGGAATAACTGAGGTCCTTTCTCATCTATACCTGTAATATAAAAAATAATCAATTTATCAATCAAAATATCAAAATATTTATTTATCAATCAATATATCAAAATATTTTTAGTAAGTAAAAATAATACGTAAATAAATATTCACATATTTACAACATAGCTTTACAGTTTCCAAATATATGTGTGCACTTAGAAAGATTAAATTTAATTACATAATAATTAAAAGAAAAGCTATCAGAAGTTTATACACCACCTAAATAGGTCTCATATGGTATATGATATTGCTGAATAAGTATAAATGATAAACAAGTAATGCCGTAATAAAAATATATATTAAATAACAAAAATAATTATGTCCTGCCTTCCATATCATGTAATTTCACTGCTGTATGTCGCCCTTCAACCAAAATATATAGTCATCATATAGATACAATTTTATATATATACATAATTTTTAAAAATTTTGCTTTAAAGAGATTGTTATTGAACTAATCTGAAATGGCCTGACCCATTATTTAATATATAAATTTTAGGCTTTATATTGGATAGGTTATAAGCTATTTTATATACTCCTAGCTGGTAAGTATCTAGAATTAATTTATATCGCAAAACATTTGTCTGATCAGCTAGTATTATTATAATTACCTGCAAACATAACCGCAACACCAAATGGCCGGGACATAGCAGTACCACTATCATCGTCACTATCACCAAATTGAATTGCCAGATTGGATACGGCCTGAGCACACGACTCCACACTCATGCGCTCATTGTACACAAACCAGTGGTTCTGGCATTCAACCCTTGCACGTTCCACTAATGTTCTATTATATAGATAAAAACAATTTAATATTTCACTATTATTTACAACTCTTCATAATTTAGAAATCTGATATTATATACAGGACAATACATATGCATTATTATGCATGATTTACAGCATGTGATATCCATGAAGGTTTCTTTTTGACATTAAAACCTTTTTATTTTCATAATTTATAGATAATATGTAACATTATTTTAGGAAAATAAATGCCAAAGATAACATTCCTGCAAAACACTATAATATCACTGCCATATCTCTTCTTTAAAAACCGAAAAATATCTTACAAAGCAAGCTACTTGGTGGCCGTAATAGTTGGGATATTTTGTACAAACTCTACTTAAGCAAGATAAAAGTTTGTCATGACAGCAGGACGTTATTATGACATGGCAAAAAATTACAAACAAGCGACTAAAAATTCTTGTGTTCTTCGTTACCTGGAATCGGCCATCAATCCTGATACGGCACAGGCAATATGTCGATCTACTTCTACGATTTTCTCAATAGTGGTCGACTCCATCAAAGGAGACGTGATTCTCTTTTCAACAGCCAACACGACTCCCTCCGACGTACAAATTCCTATCGCTGTAGAGCCCAACTTGATCGCTTCAATGGCATACTCCACTTGGAACAACCTTCCTTCCGGGCTGAAGGTGTTCACGCCACGATCGTATTCAGAACGAGTAAGGAACATCTGAAAAGAATATTATTATTCACAGACCGGTATTGTAGGTTATATATTGAAAAAGCTTTATAATTAAAGTTTCTTAATTATATATTATATATTTAGATTCTATAATGCACCTTTATTAGTATTGGTTTAGAATAGAACACAAATTTGAAAAATTCTGTTAAAATATTACAATTAACAAAATAAAACAGTGAGTAGTCAAATTCGATATTGGTAGGGTTGCCAATGACTAATAAAAAGTACCCTTACACTTTAAAAAAATAGTTATAAACAAGTGCAAAAAAAATCTATAGTGACTATCAAACGAACACGCACATGTCATATATATAGCACGAATATGCACATGTCATATATATAGAATCAAGATCTTCAATAATATTTTTTTTAGTTGGATTGCCAATGGCAACCCGAGGAAATAAATAGGTAACCTTCTGTCATAGTTCATATACCGTAAATTGACGTATTTTACAAGACAGATATATATAATATATATACATTGTAAACATCATAAACCTGACCAATCCTTTATCCTACAAAATTCCGTTCTATTCCGTATATTTCTGTGTATATTTCCCTAACTTTGATATTGGCTAAATGCGAAGGCAAAGCCAAAGATGGAGGAGAAAAAAAAAAAATAGTCTATCTGTGATTTGACTGTTGACATTTCTTTGTTTACATAGTTTTCTGGGTTTTCTGTATTTATTACTATCGATTTTTACAAGTATTCAAACAGTTACTTTTATTATTATAAATTGTTATATTTATTTCTTCAATTTAATATTTTTCAATTGTTCATTATCAGTCGGTTCTAACTAATTCATGGGTTCCTCCGTGTAATATTGGCCATTAAAACAGAAGAAGGTAAGGATATATTATAAGTACAATTAAAAAACCGGCATATAGTATGCGCGGCTTGGTCACCTGCAGGTACAGAAAAATATATATCAAAGAATGAACTACAACCCTTCCAGTTTTATCAGGTTACCATCTTCTAGAACACGAATCTAAGTTAACGTATATTTACAATAATTATTACAATATATAAAACTTCCTTGTGGTGTCCCAGAGCCCCCCCCCCCCCCCCCCCCCATACGAGTAGTATGAGCTTATTTTTTTTATAGATGATAATGGAATGGTGCACCCACCAGTGGAGGATGATGAGCATGAGGTCAGGTCAGTTAACCCGTCGTGACAAATTCACCAAGAATTATCACGATGGTTACCAGGCGGAACCGCGTGGAGGTCAATCTGACATGGTACATTGCTAGCAATAAGTTCATCAGTCCACATTTCCCTTTCCCCCCAGTATGAGCTTATTCTGTATTTAATTATCATAAAGAACAGCACCAAAAACAGGTAACTATTTATCAGATAACCATTTATTTTACCTAGGCCAGATGATAAAATCATAATCTTTTTTTAAAATAAAAAATATTTAAACATATACATTGTTTTTTTACATATTTACTTTTATTTAATCAATTATATTTTATTTGCACAAGGTGTATGAATTTGATTTATACACCTTCTTCATAATTGCCATTCCTGAGAACTAAGGTGTCAAGCTTTTGTACCCTATAATTTCACTGTCATTGCAGGTTTCTTAACAGCTTTCAACTGAAATAGGTGAAACAGAGTTACCTACTCACCTCTGAGGCAATGAGAACACATTACCGAGGTACACTTTGTATGATTTTGTATCCTGGTAAATTTTACTGATGGACTGTTTGTGACGACAGCCCTTTAACAATGGTATAACAATGAGTTAACTACTAAACAATTATTTTAAAGTTTTATTGACTCAGTTGTTGACTCACTGATAACTTTATATAACAATAGCCAATATTTACATATGTACTTACCTAGTTTTGAAAGTGTATAAAATACTCAACGAGATTGCATCCAGACCAGTTATTGTACATCCTAATTACATACACTACATTGTTTGTGTCTTTCTTTGAATAAAATCTCATTTTAATATAACACTGTGTTTTGTGTCAGCATATTAAGAATTTTATAAAACATCAATAATTAAGTAAGTACCAATACACAAATATATTTTGTACAATATTTTAATTCTGACAAAATTATATTAATAGGAATAATTTATTTAAAACAGCATAATAATAATAATATTCAAATAATACAAAATATATACTCAGAAAGCAATGCTAAAATAAAAGTAGAAACCTTGTATAGTTCATTCTCAATAAATAAAGGAGTAAAATGGGTCTCTCAAAATAATAATTTTTCTCATTTTATAGCCCTCATGGATAAAAATCTCCTCCATTATCTGCTACCCCTCTGTCAATGGAGGTTTGCTTGATGGCTATAAGATAGCTTTGGTGGTCATGCAGTTTAACATATCACATAATATCCAATAGTTGTGGGTTTGAAACAAACATTTTTATTCATAAGATTGATTATTTCTTATTGTCTAGGTATTTTCTGGATTAGGTAATAAAAATACAAGTTAAAAATTTGTTAATCTTAAGTTATGACTTGACATGTGTTGCATAAACTGTTTTGACTTTTACTAAGGTCATAAATGAAGATATTTAATATGTACATATGTTTTCGGTTAGATTGTTTCTCTTAAATACATCTAAAAATAATTCACAGCAGCAATACTAATAGTTGCTATAAATATTTTTAATTTAGATACTGCAATCTCAAAACATAATTTACAGTAGTACATTCACTAATAATTATTTTTTCTCAGTTTTTACAAATGACCTTGGTAGTCTTTAAGAGCAAACATTTGTATTCATGAGTATGATTGTTTGTATCGATTTGTTCGTTTTCTATACTATGTACGTATTTACAAAAAAAATTAAGAATTTATATTTGTTGTCCAGTAGCCATAACACATGCTCTGCTTACCGTGGGACTAGATGGGGCTATTTTAATTATCCAGGATTATTTAAATTAGATTAGTTTACCCTAATTAATTTGAATGAATTATTTGTTTGAAAGTTTCCGTTATTGAAGTATTCACGGAATCTAAGATGCTTAAAAAGCAAGATTAATTCATCTAAGTTTATGTATCCGAAGATTATTTATAATGAATACATAGGCATGACGCATGCAGCCGCGAATCTATACTAATATTTCAAGAGATAATGTTTCTTTCTTTGTTCGGGATAATCTCCGGTTCCGCTGTTGCGATTCTTAGAAAGGTAGAGTGTCCCCGACTGTTATAGCCTATAACATCTCGCTACGACCAATAGAAGCGGAGCAGCAATGAAAAATGTGGCAAAATATATTCATTCTCAGTCCGTTTCCGCTGCGTGAACGGTTAGTCACGCAAAAAATATGTATGACAGAATTGTTCTCCTTTAAAAGTTCTTAAAAAAAAAGTCCGCGACAACATATCTCTTATCTTTTAATAACCTTTTTTTAAGGTAGTCAAATTTCTTCGCACATAATCAGAAAGAATACATTATGTGCGAAGGTGTTATTATAAACAATATATTAATCCTTATCCAAATAAATACGATTGTATCGAACAGTTTAAAATTTAAACAAATTTTAATAGTGCCGTGTAAAGCCGGGGCAGGGTCTAGTTCAGATTTAAGTCAAATATATCGCATACCACATACATCATAGTAGTCACTATGACAAAATCAATTGTTCAAAGTAGTTGTTGATAGTGATACCATAATTAGTATTACAATAGCAATTGTCACGTTAGTTATCCCAGATAATGCGAGCATTATCAACATTATTGGTACGCATTTTCCGGGATATATGTATTTGAATACTTATTTTTTATTTTATACCTTCATCAGTGTAGTTTGATACAGTCCTGACTCCCAAACTAGTGTGAGCTGTATGTCAGAAGTCAGTTCCATCCCAAAACAAGGATAAAAGTTTTAATTCACAATACGGGTGCTTAGTTAGCAGGATTTTTTTGTAATACATGAGAAAGTTTACGCTTGCGCGGCACCAGTGGAGGATAATAGCATGAGGTCGGGTTAGTTAGGCCATCGTGGCAAATTCATCTCGAATTTATCACGATGGTTACCAGGGGAAACCGCGTGGAGGTCAACCTGACATGGTACAATGGGGTTAATAGTCCACATTACTGACAATCCCGTCTCCCCTAGCTAGGAGGATTTATAGGTACTTGCCTATAACAACGCTCTCACAATTACAATATTAAAAGTTATGATTACCTATGTCATCATGCATACTAAATTATTAATATTAGAAATACGAAAGTGTGTTTGTGTACAAATTTGTATGTTTGTTACATTTTCACGCCTGCACTGATCCAACTGAAATTTGACATTATATATATATATCTTTTAAATTATAAAATATGGGCTGAGTCCTTTTACTTTTCCCTAAAACGGAAAAACCGAACCAAAAAAAAAATGCGGAAAACGGGCAATTATTAATATTAGTGATCGAAATTCGACCTTAACTAAAAATACAAAAATATCTTAGAACCAGCAATAACATTGAAGTAACAAAAGAGTATATGTATATGCATGTGTGTAAATAATATTCTTCAGTTCTCTAATAAACTATAAGTGTATGTAATTTCATACCCCGCCCACGTATTTTTCGTAAAAAGGTGTAAAAGGTTTTTGTTTCAACGTACATATATGTATAGAGCTTGCCGTGCTTGCTTTGTTTCATTTGCTATCGCAACCAATTGCAACTGGCCAACCAGTGAAATCATGGATTAATATGCATGACTCTTATTGCTTAACTTTTTTTTTACTAAGATAAATAAAATTTCTAAAATAAGGCCAAGTCAGCTATCTGCCAGTAAAAGCCCCTTTAAAATCGATCCAGCCGTTTTAGAAATTAACAACCAGACAAAAATGTATTTAAGTTATTTTTTCATGTAATATGTATTTAGTAAAATGTCTTATTATGACGACAGTTATTTGTAATGGTTTACATCCTTAGGGGTAATATTATTCGCCATTAAAAAATTGAATTACGTCCATGTTGAAATGATAAATTGTAAAGCCAAGTCAGCTATCTGCCAGTAAAAGCCCCTTTAAAATCGATCCAGCCATTTCAGAAATTAACAACCAGACAAAAATGTATTTAAATAATTTTTTCATGTAATATGTATTTAGTAAAATGTCTTTGAAATTACAAACATACTTCGAGCTTCGATTTTATGTATAGATAACATAAAACTGGAAGTTTAGAAGAATAAGGTACGGCAATGATGTTTTTTTATTAAATCAATTTAGAATGGTCTCCCACTTGCGCTAACGGTATACTGGAGCGGAACATGTTGTAGACTTCTTTAACATATGTAGATTTGTATGATCGTGTATTATTGTATTACAGCGAATAACTTAACAAGAAAAATGAGTCAATATGTTACATAATATTTTCTAATACTAGCATTATGTCTTTTTTAAACTAATTTGTTTTCATTTTTTCAGATTACTGTGATATTGAAATTATGGCCAATAATGAGAAAAAATTAGGAGTTATTACATCAGTAACAAAATCAGATAGATATTTTGAAATTCAGTATGAAACCCAAGAAAAAGCACGATTATACATATTGAATAGTCATGTATTCAGGTACTACATGTCTCCGACAGGAGAATTTCTGGACTACCCAACACCAAACAACCCTACAGACAAGGCGAAAATTAACATCAAATCTGTGGATGACTATGATAAATCTATTTTTGAAAAATCATTTTTAGAAGACACGGAATCATTATATATAGTTCATACAAATAAAATTGATATATCGTTTGATAAGATAGGAGGCACGATGAGTATTCATGATAACAGAACCAAGAAAGAAGTATTAATCGAACAAGAACCTGTGTCCTACGCAGATAAAAAATCGACTCAGACATTACGTCAACACAAAGACGAATTTTATTTTGGGGGTGGAATGCAAAATGGTAGATTTACACATAAAGGTCAAACCATTGAAATCGACAATACTAATGACTGGGTTGATGGTGGTGTGTCATCTCCATGTCCCTTTTATTGGTCAACATTTGGCTTTGGTGTCTTGAGAAACACTTGGGAACCGGGACAGTACGATTTCGGGTCAAAGTCACAGGACACGATTACAACTATGCATCAGACTGGATATTTTGATGCTTTTTTCTTCATTAATTCTAATCCTAAAGATATCTTAACTGAATATTATGAGCTAACTGGGAAACCAATATTTATGCCTGAATATGCTTTTTATGAGGCCCATTTAAATACATTCAATCGAGATTATTGGGTAAAAGTTGATCCAGACACAACCGGTGCAATCTTGTTTGAAGACGGCTTTTATTATATAAAGTATCAGCCAAAAGATCTCAAAGATAAAAGCAAAGGAATATTGGAATCATTAAACGGTGAAAAGAATAATTATCAATTTTCAGCAAGAGCCATGATTGACCGATATAAAAAGTATGATATGCCCCTAGGGTGGTTTATACCAAATGATGGGTATGGCTCAGGTTACGGTCAAACAAATAGTTTAGACGGGGATATTGAAAATTTAAAACAATTTGTAGATTATGCCAAGTTAAACGGTGTTGAAGTTGCACTTTGGACTGAATCTAATTTAGAACCTGTTGATCCTGAAAATCCAAAAAAAGGAGATAGAGATTTAAGTAAAGAAGTAGGAATTGCTGGTATAATAGCATTGAAATGTGATGTAGCTTGGATTGGAAGTGGTTACTCATTCGCATTAAATGCAGTGGAACATGCTAACGAAATATATTCAAATGCAACAAAACATAATAATAGAAAAATGACAATAATGGTAGATGGATGGGCTGGTACCCAAAGACATTCTGGAATATGGAGCGGAGATCAGTATGGTGGAGAATGGGAATACATACGATTTCATATTCCTACATACATTGGTTCGGGTCTTTCCGGACTTCCTGTTGTTGGATCCGATATGGATGGTATTTATGGAGGTGGAGACAAAGATGTAAATATTAGAGATTACCAATGGAAGGCATTTACACCTCTACAGCTCAATATGGATGGTTGGGGTTCAAAACCTAAATATCCATTTAGTTATGATGATGAAGGCAAATCTATAAATAGAGCATATTTAAAATTAAAATCAATGCTAATGCCATACAACTATACCATTGGTTACGAGGCTACACAAGGTTTGCCAATGATAAGAGCAATGTTTATTGAGTTTCCACAAGAGCTATTCGGATACACAATTGAGTCACAGTATCAGTACATGTGGGGACCAAATATATTAGTCGCTCCAATATATAATGAGGACTGTATTGAAAAAGAATCATTGCGGCACGGTATTTATTTGCCAGATTCAAATCAAATCTGGATTGACCTGTTTACAGGTGAAAAATTCCAAGGCGGAAAAATATTAAATAATGTAAAAGTGCCTTTATGGAAAATACCTATATTCATTAAGGCCGGAGCTATAATACCGATGACAAAACCTAATAACAATCCTAATGAAATAGAAAGGAATGTTAGAATTTTTAATATATATCCAAATAATATATCAAGCTTTGATGTATATGAAGACGACGGATTTTCATCCGCGTATCTGACGGGTCATTTTGCATTAACAAAAATAGTCAGTTATGGACCTAATTCCAATAAAAATGAAGACCTTCAAGTTAACATTAATAAAACCGTAGGCTCTTATGCTAAAATGATAAAACAAAGATATACGGTATTACGAATTATGGCTTCGAAAGACATTAAAAAACTGAAAGCAGCAATCAATGGCGCGTCTATCGAAGTGGTCAAAGTACAATCAGAAGAAGAATTTAATGTAAAGGAAAATGTTTATTACTTTAATACCAGTTTTATTGTGAATCCTTACCTAACAGAATTAGCAGGTAAAGAGATATATCAAAGTTTCCTGATGATCAAAATTCAAAGAATTGACATAACAGAAAACGATATTCATTTAAAAATCCTCGGTTACGAAAATGAAAGTACAGTATACGGGAATTACCAGGTGATCGACAATTCTTTAAAACCGCCTACTATAACTGCGATAGAAGATAAAATAAAAGCAACAGAGATAACTTTGCATTGGGCAAACACAGAAGAATCTGATACTTATGAAATAGAAAAAGACGATGTTGTATATACGAATATACTCGGTACCGATTTCATTTTCAATAATCTTAAGTGTCAATCAAAATATACCTTCAGGATTCGCTCAATAAAAGAAGAACGCGTCTCCGAATGGAGTGAATATTATACCGTACATACAAAAAAGGATCCTCTTAAATATGCAGTTAGCGGAGTGACCGTGTCCTGTAATATACCATGCGAGCCAGGTCAAGAGGTTCACAAACTCTCAGACGAGGATTTGAACTCTATGTGGCATACAAATTGGAACATTACGAGCAAAGCTATTACCTTAAATTTTGACTTGGGCAATGTGTATGATATAAGTAAAATTGTGTACCTACCTCGAAAAGACGCAGGAAACGGGACGTTTTTAGAAGTTCAATATCGAGTTTCCATGGATGGTACTGATTGGAGTCAAAAGGTCACGTCTGATTTCGATGAAAATGCATTGCCTAAAACCTTTCCACTATCAGATTTACCTTCATTTTGCCATGATCGAAACATTATTACATTTAGATACATGGAGCTTATAATTTTGCAGAGTGTTGGTGATTTTGGTTCTGGTAGACAGATGTTATTTTATACAGCATCAGACTAAATTATAAATATTACGTCCAATGCTTTATCCAAAAGTCACACCTTACCGATTAATTTTCTGTACTATTCATATTTAAATAATAATGCTGTCATGGTCAGACTATATGAAATGCTAGAACAACGTGAAACATCACGTTGTTCTAGTACTATTTGCACCATAATGAAATAAATAAATAATATATATTTATATAAAAATTATAATATAGTTTTATAGGTAGACTGATATATATTCCTTACGAGTCTAATTTTGCTATATACTGCAAGGCGTGATACTGTAGGCTGCATTTACCTAAATATATTTAAAGTAAATATTTTTAGTTAGTTTTTAAGTTTATTTATTAATAAGAAATCTATATTATGCAAACGTTCTTTTAAAAAGGAAAAGGATCCTTTTACAAGGACCTAGTGTCATTAGATGACGTCAGTGCCATCTATTTTTACGTTGCGTATTGTTTTAATATATTTCTATATCCATGGGTATACTATCTGTACAGTATATAATTATACAATATTAGTTTTAAAATGGATTAATTTATCCATTAAAATATTTTACTTAATGTATATATTAGTTTATTTTTATTAGTTATTATAATATAAGACATGTATTTATGTTGCGTATTACATGAATTTATTTCTATATCCATAGGTATTATCAATACAATATGTAATTGTATAATCAATAAATTTTTCTATTAATATATTTTACTTTAATACATTTACATGTTATAAAATTGTATATTGTAGATGATACTAATTTAAGGTAATAATTGGATTATGACGTTAAGTACACATTCCATGTAACATTATAAAATGCAAATACCTTTATATACACTGTGATTTTATTATTTATGTGCATTTACTATGTTAAATACTTTAGAATATATTTTTAAGATAAAATATTTTGGCTGATATATTCTCACTAATAAATAATTATGTTTAAAAGTTGTTTTAATAAAACATATGTATATTAATTGTGCAGAACTATATTATGTCAATTAAATACATACTTATTCATATAACATTAATTATATTACATCTTTATTGCGAAAACACAGTACTCACATACTTACCGCATAGATTACGTTTGTTGCATATCTTCGGCGCTTCTTATCGCTATGATCGAACATACAGACGAGTTGACATCGAAAACACAACTTATAGATAAATCTTCTAGTACACAATTATATTCATGATCAGGATACCGAGTCCTAACGTAATGAGATCTTGGATCCTCGGAAAGCAAACATTCAATGTTACTTTTAAAGGCCTGTGTTCTATCACCTATCAATTCCGTTAGTCTTTGAAGAGCATCGTCTGTAAATCTGACTTCATAAGCTTGAGTTGGTGGATTAGAAATCCATGAGGCCACTCTAATACCATCATGACTTATGTTGATCAGATGAGCAGACTGTGGTGGGGTGAAGCGTTCTTGGCCATCGGGAGCCCCTCGCTCCGCGTCAAGTCTTTCTGGTGATCTTTGGAAATTACCATCGAGTATATCAACACTGGATGGAGAATCTGGTGATGGTGAAGTCGGAGTTAGGAAACTGCTTGGACGGTCCCCAGGCGAGGGAATGTCATCCTGGTATGGAGATCTAGATAGTGGGCTGCTGGTGTCGATGCCAATAGGGTTCGTTATGCGAGGACTTAGGCTGAAAATAAAAAAAAATCTGTTAAATTTCGTGCCGGTTCTTAATCTGTATACTGAACTGGATGGCAGGGAAAAATTTTTATACACAAAATGTATGCTCAGAAGCAGCTAAAATGTGCTACATGAAAAATTATTTTTTATTTGATTTGAAATACAGATTAGTCCAGCGCAGAAATGATAGTTAGTAATGCGGACTAATGATCCATTGCTAGCAAAGTATCCTATTAGGTCAGTCTCCATACAGTACCCCCCTAGAAATCGTCATGGTTAGTTTATTGGTTGGTACAGCCCAGCTTTTCGGCTCCTATAACAGTAGTGCCATTGGGAATACGTAACAAATGACTAACCTTCTAGTGTCAAAATTTTCATCATCTATTTGTAAATTAGCCAAAGTATCTGCTGCATCACTGATGCCCTCAGTGGGAGGGCGTAATATTGTCGACATTGTATCTCTATAAGAGATTGGATAATCATACTGTGGGATATATGGCTTGATGTCCAACACTGGAGTCCCATTTACCATGTCAACACCTAAAAAATGGATCTTATTGCCTGAAATAAAAACAATGGTTCTATTATTACAAAATAATGTATATTCGCAATAATCTCAAAACCTACTGACTACTACCGATTTTCATCCATCAACAGACAGATTTCTGAGGAATGTTTTAAGATTTCTTAGGTGTATAATTCGTTAAAATTAAATTTATTAAATACCTCATGGAACATCCATAGGGTGCTTAATTAAATAATTAATAATATAAAATATATGGGCACAGAAAAAAAGTAAAAAAACTTCCATGAAATAATAAGTTACAAAATCTTGCTTCTATAACAAACACGAAAGTTAATGACGATAGATGGATGTTTATTAGTCTTTGCCAAGAACTATGTAAAATTAAAATTGGTAATTGAATGAATATTTTTTTCTAGATTATAGTCATACACCCCACATATCTGTACATATAAGTACTAAGTAGTAATACACAAATTTAATGTAGAAATATGAAACCTGTAATTGCCACATGCAATACAAAATAACAGAAAAAAAATTGTAATACAGCAATTCATTGGAATACAAAATTTACCTTCTATATTTTGAATTTTGACAAGTGACAGCCCTATAGGGCTGGGTCTGTGAGGAGACCGTGTTGAAAAGACTCCACGTCGCTCACCACCAAGTCGTGGAGGTGCTACCTTTGCAGGTACATTGGAACTCTCTGTTGCATGGAAGTGGAATATTATCCTGTTAATAGAACAACTCAAATTATCTATCATCATCATTTTTTTTATCATTAACAATACAAAATATATTTAGTAATACTAGTCTACCCCTGCTTCATCGGGGGCCTTCATGGGGGATTTATGGCCCCATTGCTAGCAATGTACCACGTCAGGTTGACCTCCACGCGGTTCCCCCTAGAAACCATCCTGATAAATTCTTAGTGAATTTGTCACTATGAGCTAACTAACCTGACCTCATGCTCATTCTATCATTATCCACTGGTGCCCCACCAGCATAAACCGTTAGCGCAGGCGGGTGCATCATTCCATTATCATCCACCAAAAAACCCCTGCTTCATCGAGCTACTGCTGATAATTTTGCAATTCCTGTATATAATAATACAATATAATATGTCACTAATAAATAATTAAATTCCAAACACTAAAAAACTTTTTAAATTTGTGCAGTGTTTCTGGCTTCTATTTGTGTTCATCACAAGCTAATTGTATAGATTCTTTACTCAAATATTACAAAGAAGACAATGTAAAATATTTGTTACTGCAAGTATTAGATCAGATCAAAATAAGACAATCATAATGATCATCCATTAATTACATAATGTTTATCCATAATCACTTATCCTACCCTCCAGTTTTTTCAGTTGACAAGAACTAGTAAGAAACATAATAGGTACAATCTTTTTGTTATTTTTGTTTTGTTCCAGTCTTTAAATATTATATAGCATTAAGTTCTGCATATGTCTAATAAGTTTTAAATAGAATCCTTTGTCAGAACAACTAATACCATACCAGGTAGTCTCCCAAATAGTTTAAAAATAATTAGAATTAATAACAGTAACTATATATAAGATATTTTTACCATATGTGGGAAAATTCCTCTAACCCACTTAAAGCATGTTCCGGATTATTGAAGACATTTTGATTTATTATGACTGTCCCCCTGGCATTAGCCATCAATGATGGTTGTCTAGGTACACCTCTTTTATTCTGAAAAGATGTCTCAATAATACCAATACTTCTATATGAGATATTGTCACTATCTTCAGATGTCGATGGACTTGCTTCATTGTGATTAGTGACAACTGATGTTGCTGCAAATTAGAAATTATATAATATTAATAATATACTATTGCCTTCATGACTTTATCCCAGATGGGCTACTCAGAGGCAATTAACTGTTATTAAAAGTTTCATCTTACTAATATTATAAACACGAAATGTTTGTATAGTGAAAGGAATCAAATCCAGTGCCCCTTAATATAAGGTAGTCTGCTAAACAGCTATACTACCAAAAGTGTCAATAGAAATAACAATAAATAATTAATAAAAATGGTAGATTATAATGAAATATTCAATAATTAACAAAATAGCAATATTAAATAAAAGTAGTCTCAAATGTTATATAAATAATTACCAGAGTCAGTGCAATTTGCACATCGCAGTCCACTTAATGCAGACTTAATTAGTTTTATTTCTTTCAGGTGTTCATGTTTCAGCGCAAACAGTTGTTGCCTGAAATACACACCAAAATGAAACCATGTCCAATGTAAATCATAAACTATAATTAATACATTTTCATTCATATTATTATATTCATGAGTAAAATACCTCAAGTTTTTTATTTCTGTTCGTGCCAAACTAATTTGGTTGCGATAATGATCTATGTCTCCACTCATTATTGGTAAAAATTCATTAAAGTATGAAAGTTAATCAATTATAGTCAGTAATAGTAAGGATTAAAATAAACACAAATTATAATAGACAAGTCCCGGCGGCGAATGAGAAAATTAATGGTGTTAAAGAGATCAAAACCGACCATAGCAATGGAACACCCAAAAACTATACTATTCTAAGGACATAGTAGTTCTTACTCTTTGGTTCAGACATATAGAATGGTATTAAGAATTAATTTAAAATAACAAGCCGTAATTGACGATTATTAAATCGGTTATTGTATTTGTTAAACAAAAATCTAATTTGCAGATGTAATTGGAAAATAGAAACAAAACCCTGGCGCCTACATCAAGTGATGTCAGTCCGTAAATAAGTCAGTCATCATTGTAAATTATTTCTATAAAAAAATACAAGTCAATAATGTCATTCTGTTGATACTGTAATAGTAACAACATGTTTTACGATCGTATTACATTATCAGAATCTACGTGAAGTTATTAAATTATAAAGTTATTAGTATATTTCATATGGGTCATGCATAAGTTACGGCACATGAATAAAACTTAAACATTAATGAAATTATTTCAAGTAAACCCTAAATATTAATATAATTATTTATATTATCTTTTTGAGATTTTTGTAATTTATATGTTGACCTCTTATTAATAATATATTCTATGAAATTTTCATCCTATTCCGTCCAGCCGTTTTTATTTGAAAGATTATCACACAAATAGAAGGTTTACAACTCATCACTATTTAAGATTTTATTATATATACAGACACTAGAACTGTAAATTACAGCAAATAAAATTATAGTGAAATATAAGAGACATGGTAAATGTACAATAACAAAGGAAGACTAACATGAAATTGCAGTCCTGGCCAAAATTTTGTCTCTGTCCTTCTTTAAAATTCCGTTCCATTCCTTACATTTCTGTGTACATTTCCCTAATTTTGATATTGTCTAAATGCGAAGGCAAAGCTAAAGATGGAAAAAGAAAAAAAAAGTATAAGATATTCAGCAAGTCTTAAATAAAACTTTTTATTATACTAGAAAGTATTACTCTTTAATTTTAAAAAGTAAATGTCATTGTCAAATTTTGATCTGAATTGAATTGTTTAATTACTTTTTACTTCTTCAAGAAAATAAATTTATATAGAATAAAAACCACTACCTCAGGTACAGGTGATCATGATTATTTATCTTTTATTATAGAAATATCATTAATATTAATATAGTAATATAAAACTGTAAGTAAGATTGTTATTTTATGTAGGTATTACGATTTTATGGCATCTAATATGCATACGACCTGCCCTTGCGATTCTTACGAATTTATAATATGTATATGACCATGTTTATATTATACACACAAACGACCGGAAAAATTATGCATTACTCAAATAACGTTGAAAATCACACAATTTCATTGCGTGGTTAGTAGTAAATAAAGAACCAAACAGATGTAAACAGTGACTTTATTTTAAAAACGAGACGAGGCAAATAAAATAATACTGTTAATATTATTAAAGTACACTTACTTTGACTTAAACAAAACATTTAAAAACTGTACGTTTAACTAGCGCAAAAAACTTACAAGTTATCGTTAAACCATATAATAGAAACAGAATATTTTAAGCCTTAATATCACATCATCTATTAGGTTTCTTATTTATTCAATCTTATGTAAAGACTATATAGATACCTGATTGATATTGCTCAGTTATAGAAGGTACTGTGAAATTTTATAACAGTATGGTCATATTTCAATAGCTTCCTAAATAATTAGCAAATTCATCTAGCTATAATACCATAATACAATATTGTTCAAAATATTTGATATTATAATACGCCCCTTAATTAGAGCTGAAATGTACGGGTTGCCCTCTATTGATATAAATAGTAAGTTGTTGTTATTGGCATGGCAATTTTATGTAATGATAATGGCAGCACTGTATATTGCGGTATCCCATTTACACCGCACACGTGCTGAGGTTTTTGATATTTTATTACATTATTTTATTTTGCAGCAACTACCAAAAACATCTTGAAGCATCACCTAATACAGGAATCTAATAAACATCAAGTAATTGGCGTCGGACTTAACATGTTAGTAAAACTTATTTGTTATTTTGACACGCTGGGGTGGGGCTTAATGTCTGTGGAAAAGGATCGCCACGTGTCCTATATTTAAATTTTTCATATTTTGTGTTTATTTTATGCTTTATAAACGAAATCTTTAGAGTATAGGAATGGTAATCATATCTGCACATTACTACACAGAAAAATTGGCTACTCTCCTTCCAACTGAATGTATATTCTGTTTGTAATCGATTATTTTCTTGTACCGGTTTTATTTGCAAAATTCAGTTTTGTAGTACAATGTAAATATAGTTTATTTCCCTGCTGTTTTGTCTTGGATGTGTGTGTATATGGTATTGCTTGTTAATGTTTGAAACCGGTTTAACTTAAAAAAAACAAATGTCATTCATTGTTTATAATAAATTTATTGAACATGATGAATCTCAACAAGTAAAAGAAATCCATGACACATTGCATTGCTTTTCAATAGTACAAATACAACAAAACTTGCGGTTCTAATATTTGCATGGAAATAATTTAATAAAAGTTGTAAAATGTGGGTACCTCTTCCTGTATAAAATTAACCAGATATTGCTATATTTAATGCAAATATATAAAATTACCCGGAATATATTTTGAGGGTAAAATTTTTATATTGAACTTACCCACATTTTCTTTTACTCATTCATTTTAGTGTATGTACAACACAGTACTGTAGCATTTTATTAGGGGCTTAACAAATTTTACAAGAAAACTAATATATTATAATCATTGGCAAATCTAATGAAATATTTATAATATATACATTTTATTCTAGGTTTCAATTTGAGACAATGGTACCAAAACTGATTATAGTTCTAAATAATATAAAAAAAAATTTCATGTATAAATATAAATATGTAGGGACCAATAATCATTGAGTTAAGATATAAACATACCAATGTAGCTTTACTAGATATTTTTTATTGAATCTGTGATATTATTATTACAGTTAATATCTTATCATCTATATCATGACACATTCAAAGTAAAATATAATCACCTAGAACAGACAAAAATAAACTGTGTGAAACATAGTATAGACAACCTTGGTGGTATAGCAGTTTAGCACACCACTTTACTTCTAAATGTTGTTCAATTCTTTGCATGCTGCAAACAGTTGTATTTATAAGTATGCTTATTTGTATAAGTGTGGTTAATCTCTATGTATATATATGTACTGATTATTGAATATTTTTTTGACAATATATTTCAGAGTGCACATACATACATAGATACATTTATAACATAGAATCTTATCACTGGATCTATAATTTGTCGGATTACAAGATACTCCTTTGTAAAAAATTCTGGACTATAGGGGACCTTTGGCAGCACGCTATAATCCGACAAATTCGATGGTCCGACACTGCCTTACAAAATGTTTGTTGAATAGCCGGGTGTCCACTGTATATAAAAAACTAAGTATTTATATCACTTGTTTAGTACCCATAACACAAGTTCTGCTTAGTTTGGAACTAGATGGCTTTGTAAATTATCCAGGGTTATTATTATTATTATAATTCAATTAATGACTATAGAAGTGGTAATGGTACCTTTATTACTGTTATATTCAATAATCACCAAATATGATTTTTTATTCTTTTACCAACTTAAATTTGATCTTTTTTCACAGAGATGGCACTTTTGCAGTTCATAGAAAATAAAGACGACAAAATATAAAATGCTTTATAATAAAATTAATCTAATAGTATAGAAATATATATGTATTGCTAATTGTTTATTTTTTTGTTGTTTTAAGGACAATATGATTATAAGTGTTCTGAATTCATATCTGATCCTCCTGCATTATTTATCATCTCAAAATTGACCTCAACCTAGTTGGTCATCATGGGACAATATGACCATTACACTAACAATTATCAATTTAGTTTAAAATTTTTAATATATATACCTAAATATTTCTACTACTTCCATTTTTGTAGATTTATAATGTTATCATTTGTTACGTCAAACTTATCTTATCTTGTCCATTCAATATAACTATCTGAAAATAAAAAAAAATGATAGACTGATACATGATTTATATTACACACTTCACTGTCGATATCACATATGAAGTTAATATTAATAGCTAATGTTATGACAATAAAATTAATCATTTTCTTTTTGGTGTAGCACAGTAAATTGAGTTGATGGCAATGGTCACGGAAGCGAAGGTGAATGGCAGCGAGTTGGAGTCACCTGCAGAGCTACCTCCCGCGCTCGCGGAGAAGCCTGCTGGTCTCCCACCTGGCAAGTATGTACTTGTTGGATGGGACATGGATACTACGGGCAGGAGGTTGATAGATGAGGTAATTAAAGTTCATTAATATAATATGTATATTATTAATTTTCTATGAATTTATTTGTTCAAAATCATCAGTATGAGTGCCATTTATGTCTACTGCTAAGGTGGGTTTATAAACTGTTATTTGTTTTGAAATGATTGGTCATATAGTAGTAATACTACATGACCATTATATATTATACTGATGACTTTGAACAAAAAAAGAAAGAAGAAAATTCAAAGGTAGCTCTTAAAAAAATAGCCACATTAAGAATATATGCTTTTGTATAAGATGAAAATTTGATTTTAAAAATACAATTTACATGTATCTTATTAATAATAATATTACACTTATTAATGTTAAATAACACAAAAATGTAATTTAATTTGTTATCCAGATATGTCAAATTGCTGCATATACGCCGAAGCAAACATACTCTCAATATATAATGCCCTATGGTGACTTGAACCCAGGAGCACGCCGTCGGCATAACGTGCGAGTCGTTACAGTCGGTAGATACCGTATGCTCAAAGATACCAATACTCATAAGGTATGTTATTGAAATGCTTGATATTTTTTTTTAAATGGATGATAATGGTAAGTTTTTTCAACCTACACCAACAGTTATGAGCATGAGGTTAGGTCAGTTAGCCTATCGTGGTAAATTCACCCGGAATTTATCATGATGGTTTCCACATTGCTACCAATTAGGTCATCAATCCACAATTCTAACAATTCCCTTCCGCCATACTTGATAATAAACACCATTAAATAAAAGAAATATTGAACCTGTGGTGTGTGTGTGTTAAAAATTAAATTAAATCTCAAAAATATATTTTTGAGTCAAAGCAGTTTATAATGTACATAGTCTACATCTTGGATCTTCATTGTATCATTGTGCATGGAAATATAGATGTTTTTTTTTATATAACATCAGACTTTTTGTAATGAATGAAAATGGTATGGTGCTTTGGGGATCCACCAGAAATTAACCACAATAGTTTTCCCGTCCAACTTGAAGGACTAATAATGTATTCTTATTAATATCAGCATGTTTTTTTTTATAGATATTGAAGACGAAATCTGAAATCTCAGCACTGTCGGATTTCTTGGATTGGTTGGAAAAGGAGAAAGGTGATGGTAGAGTGATCCTTATTTACCACGAGCCTCGCCGCCTCAGTCCTACTATGCTACTAGAAGCTCTCACTAAGTTAGTTAATTTTTAAATTTTACATTTAGTACACGTTATCGATATAGTTAATTGGGTCTTATCACAATTTTATTATTACTATACTAAGGTATTCTTGAATGGGACAGGTAAGCTCGATGTTTCAACTAACTTACACTATATATACTGACTATAGTCGGCTCACATTGGCTAGTGTAAGAAAACTGACCTGAATATCAAATCAGCTTAAAAATAGTTTCTTCTTGTAGGACATTTTAGCCGCTTAGAATATTTTTAAATGACCTGAAAAAGGAGGCACTATCTTTGGTACCTATTTTTTTTTTATTGATTATTTATGGCAAAACAAATCCTGTACAGATATAAGTTACTGGATCGATTCAAGACGATAGTAGCTGGGTTCACGGATAGTTACGCTCTTGCTGCGGACAAGTGCAAGTCGACGGTCAAGTCGGTCTCTCTGCGAGTGCTCGCGCGAGTTCTTCTCGACGCGGATTCCCTGTCTGTGGATAGCGCACTCGACCGGGCAACTGCCGCGTATAGAATCGTTGAGCATCTAGCACAAGGTACTTATAATTTTTATATCTAATTGAAGAAATATGCTTGCACACTCACTGTCTTATCTCACCCTATAACCGAAACAACCATACAAAGCAAGTGGTTTGGCGGCTGAGATACTGAGTCTAAACCAGTATTTCCCAACGTGCGGCCCACGACACACAACCCACAGGGGGGCAATTTGTTTGTTAAGCAGGCTATCCGAAAATGGATTATTAAAATTATGTGGAAAGTGAATTTAAATTTTTCATTATGGTTTAAAAATTTACTTACATTAACAATTTTCTAGTTATTTCTTCCTAATCCAAATTTAAGTAAAATTCGGGTCTAACATACTAAGCGGAATTTCATTAATTATTGCCATTGGTATACCTATTAATAGTATTATATTTTCCCGTACAAATGTGGTTAACACTATTTCTACAAATTACTTACTTTTAATACTGAGCTGATTTGATAGAATCAATACAATTATATCTATGTTATGCCTGATGTTGTAAGATCTGCATGTATGATTCCCTTAGGTGAGCAGCAGGAGGTTGGCGCTGGTGGGGAAGGTGGCTCCGACCTGGTGGAGACGGCACGCACGTGGGCGCGACCGGTGCACACTGAGCTGGATGCGCTTGCAGCTCTCAAACGACTGTTGGAAAGGTATGGATGTAAGAGATGGATATTACACACACCACAGCCCAGATGAGAGGCTAAATGTGGAGAATAGAAACCATTTTACAATGTATGAATACTTTGAATCTCATAGGAAACAATGACAAATATGTGTCAATAGGTCACACATTATTATTATCAAAGTAGTTGACTTGAGTGAGGTTGAGTGATACCTCAGACATGCCTAGACTTAAACTCAAAATCATTTATTAAAAATAAATGGTGATTTCCACCCTTATCACTTAACGATATGAAAATCTGTTAAACCATTTTAGAGTTTTATAACAAAACAGACAAGAGAATTTTATAAATTTGAATTTTTATTTTAATTTCTTAATTATTGCTGGTATCAAAGAAAGTAGTGTTATTTCACAGAACCAGTATCAAAGTAATTTATCGACTCTTCCCTCATGACTATGATGAGCTGTATCCAGCGTCACATAATAATAACATGATTTCTATATATGTGTTGTAAATATTACTTTTTATTTTTTATGTATTTTTATTAAATAAGTTGTAAATATAAACAGACAGAACACGTTCCGGCCTGTTTTCGCACCACTATTGCGATCGGCGCGGCCCGAGAGGAAACGTGTGACGCAACTGCGGCGATTGTTAGCTGATGCGGGCCTCCTCTACGACCAGCTCAAGGATGCCTGGCAGGACCAGAAGCTCGAGGGTAAAAACCATTATATCTAGAACGCAATTCGAGCCTCCAAATATACAAATATTAATAAAAATAATAAATAATCTTAAAAATAAGACAAAAAAAATCTAATTCTATACATTTATAAATATATTAATCCCAGATGCAATAGTCAGAGGTATTGCCAACTGTCAATCTCTTGTTAGCAAGCTTTGTTAAGTGTTGTGTTCAACAAGTGATTTTAGCTCGATATTTTTTAACTAAATGTAATAAAGGACATGCCTACTATATGTAGATGTTTCTCTCCCCTGACAGTTATAATTATAAATTGACATAAATTTTGTTTTATCTCCCACATTTGAACTTCCAATCTTCCAAGTCGGAATAATAAACAACATTCTCAAGAGAATTTACAATAAATTTTAAATCACAGTAATTTTATATATTTTCAGGACTAGAGAAACAATTGGAGTCATTGACAATTTCCGCTAAAGAAGAGGACATAAAGGAGCTGATAGAAATATTTGACTGCCACTTTGATCCTGCCAAAGAACCCAAGGGACCTAAGCTTAGAGTACCTAGAAATATACTCCGAGTAAGTAATCTTGGATATGTTGATTAATCTAAACTATATGTTGTAGTGTAACATGAAATATTTTGAGAAAAATTCAATATACAGTGGATGATGATAGAATAAGCAATGAAGTCTGGTCAGTTAGCATATAGTGTATTTGAATTTACCAGAAATAAAAAACGATCGTTTGCAAGAGAGATGTGGCGGAGGTGAACATGATATATACAGTCTATAAATAAGACAGCACAATACGCTTAAAACTAAACTGTATTAACTCAGAAATTATAAATTGTGAAATATCAATACAAATTGATATTTAAAAGTATGAAAGTCTATTTCACTAAGTTTTGATATTTTGTGTTAATGCAGTTTAGTATTAAGTGTGATGTGTTCTATACTGGTTAAGGTGCATGATTAGTTATTTGTCTTTAAATAAATAGTATACCTGAATTGGGTATAATCCAGGTAAATGAATTTATTCAATATTTCAATAGGCGACATCGTCAGCGGGCGAGACGGGAGAGGCTGACGGCAGTACTAGTGAGTCACAAAACAGCTCGCCTCACAACTCGCCCAACAAAACCACAAACAATGGTGAGTAGCAACTTTAATTAGACCCTTATGCATGAAAACGCCAGGTCTTGAACTTACTTTCAATATTGAACCCTTCTATATTTGATACTTTGAAAAGAGGAAAATGACAAAGTCACAAACAATTTAAATGGGTTTGTAAGGAGTTTCTATGATATTATTCATAGAAACTCCTTACTTAGTATATTTTACGTAGTATAAAACTTCATTTGAATAAGAGTAACTTACTATTTTCCATTTCTGATGGTAGTGCTACTATTGTATTCGGAAAGTCGTAAGCTGTCGATTATATACATGAAATGTACTACGAACTTCAGGTTATCATATGACACCCGTGAAACCATATCATACCTCTTTTAATATAATTTCGCTGTCTTATCTGCACCCTGAATTTAAGACTGACGTGCCCAAACAGACGACTAATCTTATCTACCTTATACCCGAATTGTAGATTAATAATAGCATTTCAATCCTATTGTATTATAATGCGTTTGTTACCAGATGTGGCAGCAGCAGGGGATCCTAGTCAAAAGGTAGCAGCGCCGGAGGCCGTGGCGGCCAACTAACGACGCGCTCGCTCCCAATTTTACAAATAACGAAAGCTTAGACTTTTTACCATATTACTATTGTTTAGTATTGTAACAGCCATAGGAATGTAACATATACATTCAATCGTATTATATATATAGGTTACGTCTACTACGGAATTGAAAGATTTATTTTGCAAGCATCGGTGAACGAGTCTACATATTTTTTTTTCTATTAATTGCCCATTGTTTTCTTTTTATTTTGCTTTATGCATAAAGTTTTTCTATATACATAGATGATAATGTAGTTGAGTGCCTTAGCAACTCAGTGTTATAAGATATAACGTTTTGTATATCCATAATATTTTTGTGTCTACATAATAGTGGTGAACAACATTTTGTTGTTTTTGCAATGACATATGCATAATGAAAATATTCTTGTGCCGATTTTACACGGTCGAGTGATGAAGTTGCGATTATGTTTAGGCGCGTATTGTGAACATTGTGATTGGTGCGATGTTGCGGTGTTTTGAAATATTTTAATATATCACAGTTTTAATATTAGTCAAAAGAAGCGATTTATATTTTAAGTTTACATTTGGGGCTTCGAACAAGGATATAAAAAGTACAATTGGTTTTATTTATTCAATGTTACTTTTTATTTATTTAATAATTATGTGTGCAATCGCATAGTAACGGATGGACTGATTTTTATCATCCGATATTTTAATATTTTTTATTTATTTTTCCTTACCCCTGTTGCGTAGTAAGTTTTTAGGATGTCTCGTTATTTGCGCGTACGCTGATACTGTTGAGCTATTTACGTGCTGCATTGTTTTGTTTGCCATAGGAAAACTGTTAATGTTTTTCTTCACCATACAATAAGCTACGTAATAATACAAGTGTGTACCTATTAACTTACCTCTAATTTAGTTTTAACATAGACTGTACATATAATTTAATTTCTTATTTTGTTCAGATCTCTAATAAATATGTAAGTCTACATTATGTTCGTTTTTATTCAACAAAAACTCATTGTTTTTTTTTATGACTGCACAGAAGACGAAATATAAGAAATTATAATGAATAATAATGGTAACCCCGAACAATTCACATAGCGCCATCTTATCCCAAGCTAAGCAGAGCCACAAGCTCTGCTTAGCTTGGGATGGGTTCTAGGTAACTGGTCGAAATACTTGAGACATTTTGTTTGTAAATACATAATATAGGAAACACCCATACCGGTACCATATTGGTACCATAGTCATAATCAGGCTGTCAAGAATTTTTTGAGTGTGGCTTGGGTCAAAAGGCCTGGCTAGTGGAACGCTATTTATTTAGTTAATGGAATATTTTTTCTCAATAGAACTGATTAGTATATAGTAGTTGCATTGTAATAAAGTAATATGGTGAACCCAGGTGATCCATAGAAATTGTATTAAGAAAATCATCGACATTCGTTATTCTCACACAGATAGGACAACAGACAGGACTTTGTAAGTCGGCTGCGTACCTCTTACCTATTTCAGCCTGTTTGGCGGCTGATCCAGTTAAAGGAAGAAGGAAGTGGACTTACAACGCGAGGCCGAATAGGCAACGCATTATGGGTATCAGTGTCGTCACATTATGACATCATAATTATCACAACAATCAGAGAAAATTGTAGACAAGATATGGTAAAGAAACTTCAAATAAAACAAAATTTGTAAGCTTCTATTGAGCATATATTTCATACCGCCGTTACATCATCTTTTGTCCATCCTTCTGCTAAATGGTCTCTTACAGCTCTGTCCAATATTATCTGAAAAATTAGAAATCATTATTTTATAAAAGCTAAACTGTATGATACAAAATTTTAAATTTCAGTTATATAATGGTACTGTGTGACCAATTTTTATGATTATTTTTTGTGTATATTTCGTTTGGTCTGAAAATGGGTAGTAGGCGCAGCCTATTTTTATACGCTTAGATGATAAAGCCCTATATAGTTTGATCACTCTCTTTGAATATTTTGTTCTGATAGTCTTTAAATATTGCATATGGTTCCTTACTAATTCTACTTTGTGGAGTAAAATTTTTAATTGTATAACACCCAAATTTTATCTTCTGAGCTAAAAATTTAAGAGATATTATTATTAGATAGAGCTACAAGTTGGTACAATAAAGAGAATGAAACTAGTACGACACGGCTTAGAGCCCTTATGAGTAGCTAGATATTATTCTATTAATGTTCGAATATTTACCTCTATATCTCTACAACCCTGCATAGCTCTGCTTAGCACAATGTCGAAATAATCCATGTGTAATCTGTGAGACATCTCTAATAGTGCTATTTTACCTGCAAATAAACAAGGAAGAATCAACTTTACTGGAATTTAATGAAAATGTTGGTTTTCGCAAAGATATGAATCTACCTAGATACCTAGCTATCAATATGTAGATGTTAGATCAGTGTGTTAGCATGTCAGTCTATTGTTTTCCATTTAATTTGTACCAGCTCTTAATAGTTAAGTAGATATCGCAAAAATTTCATACATGCCTTACGTAATGATCTGTTAGTCCAAATAAACAAACTAGCTTTTGTATTTATAATATTAGAATTTTGGCCTTTTTACTGTCATTTTTATCAGCCAGTTGTGATAATGTAATAATTATAAAAATTTAATATGTATCTACATATCGCCCAAGTGAAAAAACCGCTTTATAATAGGTGCCTTCATTTATGAACTACAATGCCACACTATACAGACAGGTCATACCTATAACTCCCCTTTTTTTGCATCGCGAGTAAAAAAGATTTAATGTATTTAAGTAGCTCTATGGTGGTTTAATACATAGTGTGTACAATCCATCGCCATATATTCCTAAGCAAGTAGTAAAAGCGCTAAACATATATACAATAGATGGCGCTGTACAAAGAAAGATTAAGACTTAGCAAAGGTTATATAGAAGTGGCAGTTTAAAGTAAGGATTTACCAGTGGTTGGCATCGCGGCAACTGTCAGCACAAGTCCGCCAGCAGCCTCTTCCACGTGTCCGACGTCGAGCAGAGGTTCGGGCGCCGTCGCCATGGAGGCCGAGCTGGCGCAGACGTATGCGCGCAGCGGTATACCTGCCTCAGTTAGTGCAAGCGTCGCCGCGTTCACACACGCACAGTATGCGCCACCATCTGCCTGTAACAATTCATTCCTTAGTATTTTTACACATACTATGTGGGGTCAGTGTTTCTGCTGCTAAACTAATCCCTGAGGATTAGTAGAAGTATAACATCTGAGTCCTCCAGAATGGCAAAACCTGATGATGGCATTCTGAGACTCAGATGTTATACCTACATATCATGTAATTTAACATCTGACCCTCCTTTTGAAACAGCATACAAAGCAACTTTGCTGCTGGCTGAAATGGGTAAGACAAAAGTACAAAGTCTACTTCCTTATTCTGTTATTTATGAGTGAAAAATCTTCCAAAATTATATCAACTTAATGCAGATAGGAATATGCTAGTCAATGTAACTCAACTGTATTTAAGTATTACCTCATCTACCATAGTTGTAAGAATTTATCAAGGTTATACAATACAGTTAATTAACAATTACTATTACCTGCAAAACCTCTACATAGATATCTATCTGTGAGCGTGGGTATAATTCTGTCTTGATGGCAGCAGTGAGGGCTTGCCGTAAATGCATTGACATCTCTTGTGATTTACGGTCTCCCCGTGGCCTGTTTTTTCTTTCACCTGCAGATTTACCAGCTATTATTTAACATATAGTCATAGGTTTTAATTATGCAGTCAATAACCTCTAGGAAAAGCTTGAAGCTAATAATTATGAATTATTATGTGAAACCTAAGGGGTGGGAGGAAATACAATGAGTGAATGAGTGGTACCTATCAGGGAGGGAGCAAATATATAGGCTAAAGAAAGGTGAGCTAACACCCCAAGTATGGAACCAAAGGGTGGTACATTTTGGGTCCTTGCCTGAGAACATAAGTGAAATAATAAAAAATATTTACCTGTTGAAAAAGTAGCCATACTGTACTGACAGTTAACTACAACCCCTTCAGTAGAAAGTTTTGATTTCGATGCCTGAAAGAGAAAACTAATTTAATCTTTTTTTGACCTCTGTGGTCTACTGTTCCAAAGTATATAACCGGTATATTAAATACTCCAGTGTGCCTGCAAATCATTGTTTATAAGACCTCTTTTTGTACACAACTTTTTTATTCTTTATTAGTTCTGTGTCGCCATAAAGACTATTATTATTGTTGCCGATGGCAACCATTTTGATAGTTTTTATGTTTTTTATATGTATTTGAATTTTATATTTTGACGTTCTGTTTTTATATACTATTTGTTTTCTTATGCCATATTGTCTTTATATTTTTGCTAGCGAGCTGATTACACCTATTTTACCTCACCTAAGAACGTGTCTCATTTTTAACCAGCCTTAATACAGTCCATTCTTCCTTCCGTAACAATTATTATTAAATTATTACACGAACAAAGGCCCAGATGAACGGCATAATGAATAGAATTGGGAGATTTTTTGTAGGTTATACGTACCTGATGTGGTCCATAAACAGCTGCTAGAACTTTTGTATTTCCCTGTTCTAAGTAGGCACTGCCATCAGGTTGTGTGAAGACACCAAGTTTACATCTAATTCTGCGTAATTCATTGGGTCTTCTACCGTCAAGTCGAAGACCTTGACTTGAAAGCAAGTCCGGTCCTGGCATATTAACAATAGTTATTTGTATTTAAAAATAATTTTATTATATGTGTTTGTGTTTATACAATAGACGAAAACAAACAAAATACTGTAATATACTGATTACAAATTATCTACTGAGTGGATGTGTTTATTTGTACCATGTTGTAGTATGATAACAAATAAATAATCGAGAGTCTGTTCTCCACTCCACAGACTATTAGAGACACAGACACAGAACACATATCCTTTGGTATATTTACTTTACTCTTTGACTTATATCAAGGAAAATAATACTCTAAAGTGACATATTCTGCGATAAATTATAGTGAATTAATGAAAAAAATGTGACAAAACTTTAAAATATTAAAGAATTTATGTCTCTACTTTTGATGAAATTTGAATTTTATCTCTATAATAAATATATAGTTTAATTTCGTTTCAGTCGAATAGAAAACGATTTTCCGTATGAGACCTCGCAATAAAAAAATGTTCTCCCTAGCACTTTTGTCATGATTATTTATATGAAACAAATAAGACTATAAATACCAATTCTTGAATCCAGAATCTTTAATCAAGATATCGAGGTTATTACATATTTCTTGCTTAATAAGATTCTTGATTTATAAAATTCTACTTGAATGTTCGAAAAAGACAAGCGTATTTAGGTTTTTTGATCTGTGACATGACATAATCTTTATGATCTGTGGCATTGTTTGTCATCTTTCTAAACGCAAACCTCGCCTTCGTGGGGATTTTATTTTAGAATTATCTTAATATACTTATTTTAAGTTAGTATTATTAGTAAATATGTTTATAACCCTTAACGCATATTAAATAAGATAATCAGTGTCGTGTAGTATCACATATATATACGAAAAGAAACTAAGAGGATAATACCAAACCATTGTCTTGTCATTTACCTTTGGTTTGATTCTTTCGTTTTGTCTGTCAACCGCTTGGTGTACGTGTTCATTATTCCATAAATTAATCGATTTAGTAATTCAGATATCCATGTGAATATAGAAAACATTATGTCCAAACTTTTCCTCTAAAAGAAAATATGAAGGTTACCTGATCTAATTATCAAATAAAGCTGTATTATATATGATTCTTATTTTATTGTAGGTACATACCAGTATCGATTTTTTGTATACAATTAATAAATATTTTCAGTGACTATTTACCTACGACAATGGACGTAGACGATTCCGCTGTAGATTTAAGTGTCAGGTGATTATTTCGCATTATTTAAATTTATCACTTTTCAATTAACGTTATATGAATTAATTTTAATAGAATTATATAATTTTATGTACCAGGTCATTACCACCTGAATTGAGTGAACTTAGGGCTTTGACAGCCAGTGGGTTGACCATTACACCTGCACAGCCACCTCCTCATGTAAGCTAAACTTTTATTACTTGTATATATTTTTAAGTAACTACTTAAAGATAAAAAAACAATTAGTGTGCTACTTGAATATGAATAGAATAAGTTAGAGTTGCCAAATAGAATAACTTAGTTTAAAGTTTTCCCAGGACATGTCTTAGTTTTTGTAGTGTACTGGGATATGGTGAATAGATTTTAGGCAGCATCCTGGATTTTTAAAACAACTAGTTTCGATTGAATTTATTAAAAAATATAATTATTTTAAGTGCATTTTTCAGTGTATATGATTTATATTAAAAATATTATTATTTGAAGTATTTAAAGTTCATTTTACCTATTTTCACTACTTAATAATTGAACAATTGCAACTCTACTACTGTAAATTAAATTGAATAAATTTGGGGTTGACAACCCTAGACTATGTCAACACTGTGATGCCATAAAAGGCAATTAATACATATGCTCATAGTTACATTGTGAGATTTGCAGAATAAAATAGAAGCAATAAGAAAAGTAACTAACATAAATGTAAGAGAAGGTAAACCAGTAATAAAACACCACACAAATTCTCTATCAATATGTTTGTAGGGTATATATAACCTATTCTTATAAAGGACTGCTAAATAGTGAGACTATATTGTGTAACGAAGATGTAATTTTTATCTGTGCAGTATTTGCTATAAACTCAACATTCATATCTCACAATGAATAATTATTTATATATAAATCAGTGTTAACTGACTATATAAAGTACAATTAATTTGATTAAGGTATCTGATTATTTATAAGAAATATAAAGGAACTTTATTATTCAATAGTACAATATTGTACATTTATAACTTGAAACTGAAATATTTATACTATTATGTTTCAAACTATTTATATTATAAGCACAATTAAAAATAGAGTATATTTAATGTGTGCTTATAATATAAATAATAATAATAAATAAATAATAATATTTCTCATTATGGCATTCTGAAAAGATTGACAGAGTAAGTATATTCAATATTCTATTGTTAGTTTTTGCTTATCCTTAATTTGCATAGTAATATTTTAATTAACTTAATATACATATGAGGAAATATTGTATAGAATCTTTAAATAATATTAGGATATACATACCTACTATATTAACATTGTTAGTTATATATTATTATTTTCTATCATAGTATTAATAATATAATCACATAATATTACGAATGACTTATTATTACTCATGGTTTAATTTTTGTCATATAATTATTTTCTACCTGATGTATTCTCACCATAATATTTATAGCTTATGTGTTATTCTGATGTATAAGGTATGTTATTGTAAAGTTTCATTAAAATCCATTTGGTAGTTTTTGTGTGACAGAGTAACAACAACCATCTATCCATCTGCACTCACAAACTTGTGTGTTTCTAATATTAGTAAGATTATTGTATTTGTGAGTATCAATTGGATCCACACTACAATGGCCATGTATTTAACTACAAAGTGTATATTGACACATCTGAGGTTTTTTATACAATGCATGGATCTGTGTATTATTAAAGTTATCTTTTTAATTTATTAGCTATTATTTTTATATTATGTATAATACAGTAAGCCTATATAAATAAGTTATATAGGCTTACTCTATTTACATTTTTATGCACTGTTTAGTCTGGAATTATGATGTAGTTATGTTTAGTGCTAGATGTACTACTAGTGAAATAATATATTCAGATAAAGCTAATATATATTTGAATATGTATGTTAGGGCGCAAGTGGACGACGTGTGTTACGCCCACGATCTGAACAGCGTAGTTATGCAGAGAGCCCAGACATTGTTCTTTTGCCGGCGGCGCCTCCGCATCGGAAGCCCTCTATGCCATCACCGGCGCCTTTCACAGGTAAATAAGGCATTTTATGTTGCTAGAGTAGCGACTACACTGACAGGTTAGTCTTAGCAACACAGGCATCGCCTGCCTGACATGACGCCCCATATTTTGCTACTTCTACAGTTCGTAATTTATGGTAAGGAATAGGGGTTTGTATAATAAAGTGTTGGTTGAGTAAAAAAAATCTAATCATAGGCTGTTGTGTCTGTAGTCGCTCCTAGATAGTGTAAAAACACGAAATTTTAACTATAACAATGTGAGTTGTGATATAAGGGGAGGGGGGGGAGAAGATAAATTGGTGTAAGTTTTGTAAGTCCCCGAATGACAAATTAGCACCACAGATGGCACGTCGTCATCTGACGTCACAGGTTATTGGTTAATTACTATGCCTACGGCCTAAGGTGTTTCTGCCAAGGTTTTCTACAAATATGATTCACAGTTTGTAAAGCACATTTGCCGACAAATAAATGAGTGAGACAGAGGTACCGACGCAGATAACTTTGTTGCTACGATCGGGATGTCACCCGTATCAAATAGCAATTACAGGGTGTCACAAATTTGAACCTATTATGTAACTTCAAATGGGTTTATTCCAAAGATTTATTGTAAACTAGCCGAGCATGGGACTTTGCACCCGTGGTATTTGAAATAATTCCAAATAGTTTATAACTTTTTTGTTTGTAAACTTATTGAATTAAAGCAAACACATAAGTTTAAGTGAAACTTACCACAGTACATTACCGTGTATTTAAGCCGTTTCAGAGATTTACATACAAATGCACAGACAAAAGTTCTAAGAATCTTTGAAATGGATTCTGCTACCTTGGTAAAGTCCCAAAATACTAGATTTTCTCATATATCTTCCATGTACAGATAGCCATCTGTTACATATTTTTGGTATATGTAACATTATGCCTACAGGTGACTAATATATATTCAATTTAAAGTAAGTCATCATCATTATCATCTGCTTTTTCTTTATCCTAATTACAATATTTGGTGGCGGCGTAATGTTTTTCTCTACCATTGATCCCTGTTCACAGGCATCTCATTATTTACTCCCTTTCTTACCATATCATCTTTTACACAGTCCATACATCTGTTTTTCGGCCTTCCTTTGCCTTTATAACCGTCCACATTTATATGTAACACTTCAATTTAAAGTAAGTGTTAGACCAAATGAAAGTGGTACCTAAAGTTAAATTAAGTGAGAACATCTAGAAGTTTGCTGATAAAATTATTATGGTAGACTATTGAATATATATAATGCATTGCAATTAATACGGCATTGGGATTCAATATATTTTTAATGAAAGATCACAAGTGCATAATGCTTATAGGTATTAATAATACAAATATAAATGTAGGTTATCTCTGTTATAAAATAACCTTTATTATTGCTTTTATCTATAAATCAAGAGACTGTGTCTCTCTTATCTCGGCAAGCATGTCATATGTTTACTCTTTGGTACTTTGTGTTTTGTAGATAAGACAATTCAAATAATCTGCAAAGGAATGTTGCTATTATATTGCTTCCGAAATATCGGAATTATAAAATATAATATTTAATTATTAAAAAATATTTATTGACATCAATTATTATTATCATTAATGACGCTTGTATTAATATAGAGGAAAGTTTATTGCTACGTTCGTCTATTAATCAAGCTTGTTTATGGCCAAGTACCACCATTACGTAATCAGAATCACTTTAAGGAGCACAGTTCATGGAGACAGTATATTCGCTATGTCAATAATATATACTATTTCAAATGCTGCAATACCTATAATTACTATACTATTTGCCTGATATTGTTTTCCCTGATATTCATGTGTTAACACAGATCATTGTGTTCTAGCGTTTTAGTACACAGATTCTACCTGTCTATATGATTTGCTATGAAAAAAAAAAGTCCGAAAGGTTGTCGCCACTAAGGAAGCGGCAGATAATTGCATTGCACTGAATAAAATATTTTTCTTTCATTCTTTCTTTCTTTCTTAGATATTATTATAAAATGAAGAAAAAAATATTTGATATGTATATGTAGCTTTTAAAGAATTTGTCTCGATAACTATTCCACTTTGTTTGCGAAGCTGTTTTAGTATACACTTGGCTCTGCAGCAATGTAGGTTTTTTTTAATGATAATTGGATAATATGTTGCACCAGCCAGTATATAAGGTATATCCTTATATACTGGCTGGTGCAGTTGGGTTACGCACCAAGGGAGGATGATCATAAGGATGAAGTTTTAATAGATGAGGGTATGACGGGCGTAACTTGATACGTGATGTCAGTAATGCTGTACCGTTACCACGTATCGGACACTTATCAGCTGGGATTTCAGCGTATTTGCCGTTCCAATTGTATACAAAATCAAAAAAAGTTAGCTATCACGTTTCCTGAATTACTGCTTTGTTAACCAGTTAGTGTACATTGATAGCTTTTTCGGACTATTCTTACAACTGGCACTTGAAACCCGCGAAAGGACTTTAGAGCGGCTCAAGGCCAACTTCTTGCTGATGGGTTCGAACCTCGGCTCAGGCCGTCGTAATGTCGATCTCCGTTTTAATTGGACGGGGTATCAATTGAAAGGGTATTGCTAGCAATGAAGCTCCTATTACTAACAGTCTCCTGACCTCGCGCCACCATACATACGTTACGAGGTCTTTGAATGTTTGTCGTGCAGATGTGAGCAGCAAATTGAACTCAAGTGCCGTGAACGTGTCGATAACTCCCAGCTCGGTGGGGGCCGGCCCAGAGTCACCGCGGGACCCCCGTGACGATGAGGACTCGGAAGATGAAGAGAATGATCCACTTGTACCGCTCCTTGGACATAAGGTGAGTAATTATTTTCTCTCATGGGATCCTGACTTTGTAGTTTTAGAAACACTCTTTGCTAAGGTTGTCTGGAAGAGATTGCTTTAGATTAAGATCGCCTTTTGAACCTGTTTCATTCTTTAATATTTTGTTTTATTTTTAATTGTATCTAATTTTAATGTTGGTGCAATAAAGCATTATAAATAAACAAAACTTATTTATATATTTATGTTCCTTTGTATAATGTGGCAAGAGCTCTATGTTAAATAAATAAGATGCAGATGCATAAAATAATCAAATTTAGCGAAAGGTGAATTTAAATTTATAATTGAAGAGCACAGAATGAGAAATAGTATGAATTATGGTTTTGACTGAAGTAACCATGCAACAAATACACACAATATTGTTAGCAGTTAGAGCTAGCTCACAAACTGAAATCGAAATTTGTAGTGGTTCCCACATCAATGAGCCATTAAGTTTCGAAACTAGAAATATAATTCAGATCTTTTGGTATACTATTAAAATATTTTCAATTTCATCTAAGGCTAATATGGATCTAAGACCAAGGCTAATATATAATGTTACACGTAAAGTTATGATCTATATCACGATGTGGAAATAGCGTGCGATACATATAGAAGTGCGTCAATACTTTAAACTACTAGGGTTAAATTAATATCACGATATGCTGGATTTGTAATCCGTACTATATCGTATTTATATGTAATCTTCGCCTAATAACATTTGTAATATTGTCGTGTAGGAGTTGTCAAGCGCCGAGATATGGGAGAGGGAACGTCGCATGCGAGCCCTCAGAGAGAAACTCCGTGCTGAAGAGACGCGCCTAGTTCTGCTGAGGAAGATCCGCCAGTCGCAGCAGGTCACAGGCTTGCCGCCAGCAAAAGTAACAATAGTACCTATATTTTAGCATTTTTATGTACTATACAATCGTTATATTTTTTATAAATACACTTATTCTATAAAGTTTTGTCCTGTATGTAAGTAGGTATAGGTACAGTTTAGCGTTATCCCGCTCATGAAAGTTTAAATAGATTCAAATAAGAAAATACAAGGACATAAGAGAGATACATTATTTATTTGTATATGTGGGATATGCATAACAAGACGCGAAAGCAAAACGATCCTAATTCAGTTCATCATTTCGTCGCAACAAGCGATACGTCACTATTGTGCCATAACAAAAAGTTAATATGGAATATTAAATCCAAATCAAAATATGTTTATTCGTTTAGAGTCTACAATAAAGATATGATATGTCCAATCTACTGTTCAGAGCGCTTTCAAATCGAGAAAAACAGACAAGAAACTCAGGTTGCATTCTTTTCAAATAAGCTTGTACATGTTTACAATGCCGCCGACCCACGTGCCACCGGTGTAGAAAATCTGATGATGCTTTAAGAAGAGTTGATTTGATTGGTAATATTCGGCAGGAGTCGACCGGCACAGCTCTGGCGGGTAGCGGGTGCGTGGTTCCGCCCGGAGTGACGGTGACGCCCGCGCCGCCGCCGGCCCACCAGCACGCCAAGGTACGCTCGCATTCACGCTGCACTCCCACACTCCGCGCCCTCACTCCACTCCCACACTCCACTCCCATTACACTCCCACACTGCTGTTCCATACTGCACTCTTACAGTGCAAGTGAACTGAAGTTTTTTTTAAAGTAGGCCTTATTCTCTATGACTTTAATGTTCATTTGAATTCTTATTCAGACAATCTATTTTAACAGGGTGTTCACTGCTTACTAAGGATTCATAAAAAATAAACTTGTATGTGCAATTTAATTATTCAGTATTCACTTTTCTTTCGCCCGTGTCTGTGCCCGTGTTCATATTATTTTGTTTTATTTTACTACTTTAATATGAATGAAATAACAGAAGAACACCATATACGTTAGGTAGAAGTTGGCCTTCGGCCGCCTCATAAGTGATGGACGGCCTCGGCGGTCAAGCGGTTCAGCACATCGCTTTACTCCCGATAGTGGCGGGTTCGATTCTGCGCACGGTACAAACTTTCTGTATTCATAAGTATGATTGTTTGTATCGGTCTCAGTATTTTCTGCATATATTATGTGTACATTGACAAAAATATCTAAGTATTTATATCACTCGTGCAGTACCCACAACGAGTTCCGCTCACCTCGAGACTAGGTGACGTCGTGAGAATTCTCCAGAGGTAATACTACTGCAATAACTCCACCCGCGGGTTCGTAGTGTCATGTGCACGCGCGCGCTATCGTTCGCCGACGCCGTAGAGGCGGCCGCGGCGAACGGCACTACGATAGTTCTAGAAAACAATATGTAGAGAAGTATATGTAGGTGTGTGGTGTGCAGCGAACGAGCGGTGCGGGCGGCGGCGGCGCGGGCGGCGCGGGCGGTGCGGGGGGCGCGGGGGGCGCGGGCGGCGCGGCGGGCGCGGGCGGCGGCCCGAGCTCGTCGCGGCGGTCGGCCAGCCTGCCCGGCGGCGCCACGCTCACGCCCGGCGCGTACCGCTCGCAGGTGACGGCTACACTCACCTACCTTTCTACTTACTGACCACACCACACACACGACACCGTCCTCGCCGGCGAAGACGACGACCCCGAACATACCACACCGCGGAATCGAGTGGAGTTGGCCGTTGGTCCGGTGAAGCTGTAAAAGCCGGCTACGGCCGACGGCATTAAAGTAGTTAAAAAAAATAATACAAGGATACTTAACGTGTCCTAAACAGTACCAGTAATACGAATATGCATGATTCCTAAATATGGCTTGTTAGGTGGGAACGATTGTATTTGTCCGTAAGAGGCTAACCATATTTATTTTATTATCCATATTACCTCAAACCAATTTCAGAATTTTTATCCTATAGTCGCTACTACACATTTTAATGGTTGACGACCTCTGTGGTCTACCGGTTATGCACACCGCTTTACTTCCGATGCTAGCGGGTACTATTCTCGTACGGTGCAAACAATTTTATTCCTAAGCATCATCATTTGTATCCATCTTGGTATTGTCTATGTATATATTTACTAAAGAAATGTATCTAATTATTTATCAGTTGTGTAATACCCATAACACAAGCTCTTGTTCAGGGATATTGTATATTTTTATGATAATGTATGTGCAGTCATCGAGCGGCGGAGGCGCCAGCATCACTCCGTCTGTGACCATCACGCCGGCACCACCTCCCGCTTCTCAACACGTCTCTAAGGTAATTACAATACATTTGTAATTATTACCTTATAACTGCCAAAACTTTTATATTAAAATCTAGATGAGCTCACTACTACCTATCCGTGGTACAGTACCGTCAGAAGAACAATAGGTTGTACACTATTGGAATAAAACAAATAAAAATGTTGATTGGAGCTTACCACAAACAAATTCGGAGAGCTGTTTCTGACATTTGTACATACAAATACACAGATAAATTCATAAAAATGGTAATAATGTCTGGGTTCTATGACGTTGATGAAGAACCTTAATAATAGTTCGACGTGTAGATAGCAATCAGTTCCATCTTCATTAGAGGTTAAAATCTGTTACCATTGATGTATATGTGCTATCAGATTAGAGTTAGTATTTGTGATATGTTACACAATATAAAAATCAAGTAATAATATATATCACTATAATATATATTTTTAAATGTTATATTACAAGCCTGCTCAGGATAATTCGTCTGTCACGAGTAGTACTAGTGATGCCGTGAGTATATAAATGTGATTTCAATTCATTTACTATTTGATATTTATTTAATGAATGGCCAAGCGATATGGTATTCTTAAAAATTGTGTTGTCATATTTCACGCAATTCACGCATTTACTTTATCAATTCTCTTATTAGATCAAGGCATGAAATTAGTATTCTATATGTGTAAATTAACATGAGTGAATATATAATTCGACAATGCCCATTAATACCCCATCTGGTATAGTGAAGGGATATTATCTAATTAGCACTATTTGAAAGGGAATTAAATTAACGCACAGACATTGTCAGTGGAAACAGCCAGTAGTTTGTCCTAAAATGTACAGCAAAAGCCAGTGATAGTAGCTCTATGAAACTGAATAAAATTCCTCAAAGAAGTATGGTGAAAAATTGAAAATATTTCTTAAAACTGTCATACATACGTAAAAACATAATAAATTTAAACTTTTTACACTGAATTGATCACATTATTAAACTTTTTAAATTTGTTAAGTTTTTACGTTAAATTGAAAGTATTGAGCTATAATTTTCAATTTATTAATTTACTTCTTTGTTTCAGTTATCGAGTTTGCTTTTTAGCGGTTTATGAGTACTTGTTACTTTATGTTTTTTTCCGGTTTGATATACAATTAAGAAGTAGCCCTGTGACCTGTGTGTGATTTTTGTACATTGTGTTTGTCAGGCGAGCTCCCGCAGTTCGGAAGATGCGCAGACGCCGGCACAGCGTCAGGCCGCCGCCAAGCTCGCACTGCGGAAGCAGCTCGAGAAGACTCTCCTACAGGTATCCATAACATTCACTAACATATGTGGTCGGGTGTCGCGATTTCCATTCCTCCCACAGTGCAAACTTTTGTATTATTAAGATGTTTTTTATTGTACTGAATCTTATATGTTTATTTATGCGTGTATTTAAAGAATAAAACTATTAAGTATTTCTATCAGTGGTTTAGTACACGTAACACAAGCTCTGATTAGCTTAGATCTAGATGGTGCTGTGTGAATTGATCGCACAGCACCATCTAGTTCCAAGCTAGCATCGTCTTACATCATCTATTACAAACGTAAATAAAAGGCGAGATTACTTAGTTAGCATCTCTCTGAAATAAAGTTGGTTTTAATAATGCTATCAGCGGAATTTATTAATTGATTTACACAATGTTGTATTATATTAGATACCGCCACCAAAACCACCGCCACCAGAGATGAACTTCATCCCATCGCCGAGCAACACTGACTTCGTGTACCTCGTGGGACTTGAACACGTGGTCGACTACATAACCAACGAGGATCGGTCAGTATTATATTATATAGACGAATAAATGAAACAGTTTAATTTCAAACATTCTGTTGTGTATTAAATCTATACATATGTAAATAGCCAATGTAGAACTGTGTAGTTCGTCGAGACGGAGACAACAAAGTAGTGTTAGTGATAAGATTGATATCACTACCTCCAGTAAGTTATTATTTTTCGTTGTGGATTACCTCGTGAATTTTTATAGTCCATTCTACTCCGCCTAGGTGTACAATAATATCGTAATCTTAATATTATAAATGCGAAAGTTATAATGAAAGAGTAACAAACATCCATACTGTGAGTATGGATGTCTGTTACTCTTTCACGCAAAAACTACTGAACGGTTTTTGATGAAACTTTACAGTAATATAACTTATGCATCAGAATAACACATAGGCTATATTTTATATTGTAACTTAACACGGGTGAAACAGCGAGCACGGCTAGTATACAATAAAATAAAGCCCTATCTAGCTGTATATGCTTGAGTCGTTTGCCCCATGTGTTTGAAAAAAAAAAAGTGTGGGTTGCGACGTCAGCATGCCGCGGTCGAGCGTGCCGGCGGTGTGCGCGCAGTGCGGGTGTGACTTCACGCCAGTGTGGCGCTGGGAGCGGTCCGCGCCGCACGCCCGCCGGCCCGACGCCACGTTCGCGCCCGCGCCTGCCTCTGCCCCCGCCACCACCGCGCGTCGCCTCTGCGAACTTTGCGTCTCCGGCAACGTCAAGCGCGCTCTCAAGGTACCACGCCCCACTCTGTTATATCTAGGTAGGTATAACTGCCTTTACACTCGCTCTTTGATGAGGAATCTGCTTTCACGCAGGAAAGAATGTGTATGTAAATGTAGACAAAGAGAATGAGAAAGATCACGTGCGCCTCTGGCTGGTGCATTCCCGCGTTCGACACTCTGTGCGTGCTTATACGTCTTTTTTTAATAATTTATTGTCATTGCAAAATGGCGAACATCTGACTGAATATCTATATAAATCTGTGCGTTGATTGACAACACATATAAACTTTGATGTTTGCATACAGGCGGAGCATACGGCGCGTCTCAAGACAGCGTTCGTGCGCGCACTGCAGCAGGAGCAGGAGATCGAGCGGCGACTGGCCGCGCCCGCAGCCTCCCCGCCGCCCACGCCCGCCGCCGCGCCCCCGCCCTCGCCCGCCGCGCCGCCCCCCGCGCACTCCCACCGCCTACAGGTACCGCGCCCGCAGCCTCCCCGCCGCCCACGCCCGCCGCCGCGCCCCCGCCCTCGCCGCCGCGCCGCCCCCCGCGCACTCCCACCGCCTACAGGTACCGCGCCCGCAGCCTCCCCGCCGCCCACGCCCGCCGCCGCGCCCCCGCCCTCGCCCGCCGCGCCGCCCCCCGCGCACTCCCACCGCCTACAGGTACCGCGCCCGCAGCCTCCCCGCCGCCCACGCCCGCCGCCGCGCCCCCGCCCTCGCCCGCCGCGCCGCCCCCCGCGCACTCCCACCACCTACAGGTACCGCGCCCGCAGCCTCCCCGCCGCCCACGCCCGCCGCCGCGCCCCCGCCCTCGCCCGCCGCGCCGCCCCCCGCGCACTCCCACCACCTACAGGTACCGCGCCCGCAGCCTCCCCGCCGCCCACGCCCGCCGCCGCGCCCCCGCCCTCGCCCGCCGCGCCGCCCCCCGCGCACTCCCACCGCCTACAGGTACCGCGCCCGCAGCCTCCCCGCCGCCCACGCCCGCCGCCGCGCCCCCGCCCTCGCCCGCCGCGCCGCCCCCCGCGCACTCCCACCGCCTACAGGTACCGCGCCCGCTGCCTCCCCGCCGCCCACGCCCGCCGCCGCGCCCCCGCCCTCGCCCGCCGCGCCGCCCCCCGCGCACTCCCACCACCTACAGGTACCGCGCCCGCAGCCTCCCCGCCGCCCACGCCCGCCGCCGCGCCCCCGCCCTCGCCCGCCGCGCCGCCCCCCGCGCACTCCCACCACCTACAGGTACCGGGCCCCACAGCCTCCCCGCCGCCCACGCCCGCCGCCGCGCCCCCGCCCTCGCCCGCCGCGCCGCCCCCCGCGCACTCCCACCGCCTACAGGTACCGCGCCCGCAGCCTCCCCATTGCAAAACAAACAAATTTTATAATGTAATGATGTATTGTAAAGTGAATTGTGTTAATTCATATTCTACCTATTCATAACATTGTGATAAATATTTAATTTAAGTGGACGATGAAATGTTTTATGTGTAGTGCTTCAACAGAAAAGTCTTTCAACTAAACCTACATAAAAAAAATGACTGAATTCAAATTTATTTATTAGAACGTGAGACGTAATGTAAATTAGGCTATATGTGCAGACGACCTTTACCCGCTCTGTGTTTAAGAAAAAGGTGGGCTAAAGAAGAAAAACACTAACTTTATTGACGTTTGCGCAGATGTCGGGGTCACGTGGTGGCGGCCGCAGCTCCGCGCCGTCCCCCGCGCCCGCCGCTCACTCTGCGACCCCCGCGCCTCCCGCGCCCAAACCTGCGCCACCACCTCCCAGGTACACGCACCACTATGTTCGGAATACCAACTTTATGCTAGTCTATTTAAAGTCTATACTTCAATATTTTCTTTTAGTTACATGCTTCACATTTTATTCGAAAATCGAATTTATCCAGGGCATGTACCTGGGTAAATTCGATTTTCAACACACTCGCGCTACTATGTTCGTAATATCCACTGAATGTTTGTGTATTTAAAGTCTATATTACAACCAACTACTCGCACTCATTCGCGCCACTATGAACTTCACACACTTCGGAATACCAACTTAATGTATATTTATAGTCGATGATTCAAATTTTTATTTTGTTTACTCTATTAACTAAAAAGTTTTATTCGATTATCGAATTTAGATAGGTACACATCACTATGTTTGGAATATCAACTTAATTCCTATATATTTAAAGTCAATAATTAAACATTTTCTTTTAGTTATACGATTCACTAAAACATTTTATTCGAAAATCTAATATATCTAGGTACACACACTCACTCACACCTTGGAATATTGACTTAATTACCTGTATATTTAAAATCGATTTTCCAAGATTTTCTTTTAGTTACACGTTTTATTTATTCGGAAATCAACTTTAATGTTGTAGACATAAGGTCGAAAGTACCAACTTATTTGATGACATGTTTTACTATAAATTACACTAAAATTTTACTTCTGGGAAAATCAACTTAAGTTTATAGTTTTAAAATTTAAAAAATTACAATAATTTTTTAGAATGGCTACAGCACTCAACCTAATAATTTAGAGTTTATGTGATGCTGTTAAAAATGTATCGATATCTTTTTTAATGTTTTAAATTTTTTTTCTTGGTTGTTAACAATTGTATTCATCCATGATATATTTTGTACATATTATGTAAACGGGATATTAAATCCATAACCCGATTACATAATATGTACAATATACTTAATGGCAATACATCTTGTTAAAGCCATTAAGTAATGTAGTAATAATAAATATGCTGTACAAATACAATATGTTGGTTTGTTGGTCTGTCAGGTCGTCGTCGTCTGAGTTGCGCCACCACGCTGACCGCTCGCGAGATTCCGAGGTGCCCGCCAAGAAAGGTAAAGGTAAATCAGCGTGTATCCAAACATTATATACTACTACCATATATCACACTAAACACTATGCAATCATAGTTTTTTTTATTAAAATGAATGAGAAAGAACATCCATCGCCCTAACAAACTTGCTCGATAACTCACCATTGAACAGTATGTGAGACTAAAACGCCATTATATCCTGGAGCTAGAAGACCGGCAGTAGCTCTAGAATACAGATGAGTAGAAGTTTCCAAAAGGAAGACGCTCTACTTGACAGTATTACAGAACAGACTCGCTCATAGTCTTAGGACTCATCGCGCACATACTAGGAGAAAAAAAAACTGAATGAGAAATAAGCTCATGGTATTATATCATCACGAATATACTATAAATGAACAAATGAACATGTTGATATTTGTTTTATTTAATGACTATATAAGTTTCAATATAATTTTTATTAAAATGTTGTATTCTTTCACTTAAAACAATGTTTCAATGAAGAGGTATAGACCTAAAGTCGATTTGATTGCTCGCGAGTATAGATAAATGCACAATGGCTATTAATTTATGTTTGGTATATACTATGTCGTCCTATCAACACAAATACAGAACTTCTAGTTGTTTCGGTACATAATAAAAAACGCAAATTTAATTACTAAACTGTAATCAGATGTGACTAGAAGTTTAGAGGCAGGGGTAAATACTGAAAATTAAGCTAACTGAATGAATGGATGGTCGCTTATACAAATTCAGTTCCTTTGACCTAAATAATATGTCATATACAAAAAGGTACAACCAACATCAGGGGACTAAGAAGATCCCTGATGGTTTGTGTTATTGTATATAGATAATAATATAGAGTATTATCCGCTATGTGTCTGTTGAAGGGTCTTCATCGAGTGGAACGAGCCAAGGTAGCAGCAGCAGCAAACATCAGGTATTAAAGTCATCTGTATAATAATATACACTTCTCGCAAAAATTGAGGGAACAGAATTTTTATCAAATTTATGGGTGATTTTTAACGGGCTCTATTTAAGAGAAAAATGCTCGTACAGAAATTTAAAAAAATAAGCACTTGAAGAGCTCCGGTGCTCATGCAATCCTGAGATGAAATACAAAATTGTTTTTTATATATTATTTACATTTTGGTTTTAATCTATGGGCATGGAAAAAAATTTTGAACTGCGCCAATGTATGAGTCGCATAGCCTGTTTATTCAGCTTCAAGATGCTGATGCAACTTGAAGAGCAATAATTGTTGTTCTTGGTTCCAGCAAATGGCGGCCGCGGCAGCTGCACAGATGGCGTTCGAGCAACACAGCGCCGCCGCCATGCAGGCCTTACAACACCAGCTGCTTAGAAGTGGGTATTGTTTTCTATTTATACACCTTGTTGTATTTACACAAGTGTGCTCTTGCCAAATGTTTATCTTTTCTTTAATTGTATGATTAACTTATTATACATTCGTTGTCCAATATCTGCTTGTTCTGGTATTTGTAATGAATAATGTAGTATATGTATTTTGCACTTTTAATACAGCTGCGTTAACACAAAAATTACAAATTATGGAAAATCAACTCTAAAGGATTTGTAATTTTAAATTATAAAGTAAAAAAAAAATCATTTTTGTAAATCTAGGTAAAAAATGGTAATCCAGCATTGTATTAAGCGTTCGATATACTTTCACGTAGGCATTCCACAGAATTTTCTTGGGTAGCGCTTGCAATCTGGTGAAATTATTCTTTTTTTTGTATGATATATATGTATATATATGACCTTTTACTCTATGAAATTTCAAATATCATATTATATATAACTAATGTATTTATTTATTGAAGCTTTATTGACCAGTAGAATAATTATTAAATAAATACAAATGATCTATCTTTATGCCTTTTGTATCATAATATATTAAGACCAATAAACTATGGTACAAAAGGCGGAGTTAATGTTAAAGGCACTCTCTACCAGTCAGCCTTCGTGAAGTGTAGATACAAATGATCTATCTGTGTATCTGTATATCTGTGTGTCGTGCGTCAGGCCTGGGCGGCGGAGGTGCGGGCGGCATGTCGTCGGCGGCTACGGCTGCGGCCATGATGCAGTTCTCCCCGCTGCTCTACACCTACCAGCTGGCCATGGCGCAGGCCTCCGCGCTAGGTAAGCGCTGTACGTATTCACGCACCATACCTTACTACCGTCGCCACACGATACTCCATCAAATTAAACTAAAAACCCAAACAACAAGTACAGATTATATAATAATACGCCTGGACCACTCACACAATGTCATCTAGTCCCAAGGTCAACAAAGTTCGTCTCCTGTGTACTAGATGACTAATAAAAATACTTATTATTTTGTAAATACATAGAAAACACTGAGACCGATACAATCATACTCATAACTACAAAAAGTTTGTACCGTGTGAGAAATCGAACCCGCGACCATTAAAAGAAAAGCGGTGTGCTAAACCAGTAGTCCACCGATACCGTCAAACGTTAATGATAATGGAATAGCGCATCCGTCCGTAACGGTTTACGCTACTCCACCAGTGAAGGATGATAAGATGAAGATGAGGTCAGGTCAGTTAGCACATCGTGATAAATTCACCAGGCATTTATCATGATGGTTTCCAATGGTTTTGAAGTATGTATTCCAAACACAGTTTAATATGTAAATGTCGAGCACTGTGACTGCTTCTACATTCGTTATTACAGCTGGCAAGAGTGGTAATAGTGGCAACACCGCGGCGATGGCGGCCGAGATGCAACGCATGGCGGAAGCGCACCGCCAGTACTTACTGGACATGATCCCCGGTCAACATTCACGCAACACCTGGCCACAGAAGTGAGCTGAATGCAGGTACTGATCATGTTGTATTATGTTAGTATGAAAATGTTATGGAAAACTTGGATAATTACATAACTGTATATTTATTTATATAACTTTAATGTGCATATGGGGGATTTACCCCACACACATGCGGCCACACTCATTCAGCCATAGGTGGTGCAGAGAATTAATATAATACATGTACATAAACATACATATACTAGACATAAATACATATCTAATAATCTGACAACTGCTAAATAAAGATCATACAATCATGTATGTATTTTCTCTTATTTTCTTCTAAATATTCTAACAGACCACTACATATAGTATTTGGTATTTTCATGTCGCCTATAGACAGGAACATCGCCGCTGAATCAGATGTCCACGAACATAAACCTTACAAATAAATGTTATACTTTTGCGTGACGTCAGACGCGTTCACCCTACAAACGAATTTCAAATTTACATTTGTACATGCGATCGTTTCAATAATATATTGATAATAGACTAAGTTAAAATTTGCCAAACGTATGATTAAGTTTCCATTTTAATAATTGATTCTATGTTATTGTTCTTAGATCTACTGTGTCTTATTTGATTCAATTTAGGTTAGTTATTAAATAAAAAATGATCGACAGTTATTTTTATTTTTAAAATTATGTATTGTTAATATCTATCAATTTGGGACTTTCGAAAGTGTCCACAGGAACAAAAGAAAATATTGCGAAGACGTGTAATAAATTAGAAATTGTTAGTCTGTATTTACGTTTTGGTTTCAGATAAGGTGTACAGGAGTATGATGCATTTCAGAAGAAAGTAGTATAGTAAGAAATATTCGTAAGCTAGATAGATTTAGTTGATAAGTGGTTTTTCGAAACATTTTAACAATAGATCAATTATGCACAACATTACATGAATACGTAAAGCATATAGGATTAAGTTTGATGGTAATAAAAATAAGTTAGTGTGCGAGTAAATAAGGATAATTTGATTTTATATGAACAGTTTTAATTAATATAATAAATGACATAAGTATATGTTATTGTTTTATTACATGATCATTCCCTAGTGTATACCGGATGATTTTACAGTGCGGAAATATACGTAGAATAATGGCTGTGCGACACTAATTCTTTTTATTTTATAATCAATTTTCGTATATTGGAATTTGCTGGTTACAAAAATAGTAGTCACATGAATAGTGAAAACTTTTTACTGTATTTTCAAAGTAATTAAATTCACATAATATACATTTTCATTACTTTTTGTCTACGTATAGTGCTTCTTTATATGGCATAATATTCTCCGAACGGAAAAGTGTGATATCCGATATAATTAATAATTATTAAACATTAACAAGTTAATTAACATAAGTATTATTATAACAAAGTATTATTAAACTTAATAAAAAAATTGTAATAAAAAAGTATTATAAAACAAAATTGTTTATGTAAAACACTTATTTTTAAGCTATACAACTAGCCTAAAAATAAGTATTTGTTTTTACATAGTATTAATGATTGTATGCAATATATTGTTTTATATATTTAACAATATTCTGTGCTTAATATTAAATCATCTAACAAGATCCAAATTTCAGATTGGTAAAATAAGAATAGAATAGAATAGAATAGAATAACATTTATTTCATAAAATATAACTTAAATAACATTGTAACTATGACCCCACACTAGGCAATGCCTGTATCGTGGAAATCAAAGCAGGTTTGACAGTTAACGTTACATAGGTACGGCGATCAGAGTGCATATAAAAATTTAGTGTTTATATAATATTAATACTAGTAATATATGACAAAAAATAAAATAAAATAAACAAAGAATACAATAATAAAAATTACAGATATGTATTTGTTAGTCGGCGAGTGTGTGTGTGTATGTGTGTACGTGTGAGTGTGTGTGTGTGTGTGTGTTTGAGTGAGTAAGAATGTTATTTGGAAGTGTTGTAAATTCATATAGAATCATTAGAATATTTCAGAATTCTCTAAATTTATATTACGGGTTTTAGTATTTTCTCAGTGTCCTCATATGTCCAGGACATCAGTATACTGTTGAGGAGTGTTTTTAAACCTGATAATTGAGAGTGTTTTATATCAATTAGTTTGCAAATTTGATTGTATATGTGTGGAAAGAGAATTTTTTTGTGACGTTGAGCAAATGATGTTTTAGCCTTAGACACAGGAGCTTTATAGATTCTCTTCTTTAATATATCTTTGTATGTTGGTAGACTCTTCACATATTTGTGCATGTATACAGTAACTCGCATTACAAACAATTTGCGCACGCTCAGGACCTCAGCCTCTTTATACAATTGCATCGTGTCGAATAGTCGCGGTTTTTTTAGAGAAACCTTCAGAACAGCTCGTTGAGCTCTTTCTAAGGGAATTAAATTGGACTTCGTAATACCTCCCCAGGCTAGTAGACAATAATTTATTAAAGACTGACATAACGCTAAGTATACCAATTTCAGAGTAGTGTTGTCTGAAATGACTCTCAATAATTTCATTGTGTACATTAATTTTCTAACTCTTTTTGCGGTAATTGATATATGTTTCTTGAAATTTAAATTTTCGTCCAGTTCAATTCCAAGATACCTCAGCGAGACCACCCTGTTGATAATGTCACAATTACAGTAAGCGTTGGATGTACCATTAGGCGATAGACAGTTTTTGTGTATTTTAATATTGAACTTACTTGAAGGTGGGCGAGATACAGCTGTTTTATGGAAACACAAATACTGGGTCTTAGACGCGTTTAATGTTAGGAGATTATAGTCCAGCCACTCAGACACTTGTCGAAGACCACATTCAGCCATGTACTGCGTTTCCTGCCAAGTTGGGCCATGGAATATGAGAGCAGTATCATCTGCGTAACAGATTGCGTTACAGCTTTGGAGCGGGAGATTTAGAAGATCATTAATATATATAGTAAATAAGATTGGACCCAGAATGCTCCCTTGGGGAACCCCAAAAGATACATGTATAGGATCACTTATATGATCACCAATCTTGATACATTGATTTCTATGCGACAAATAACTCTCAAACCAGTTTAGTGGCAAGCCACGTATTCCAACACACTCCAGCTTTTTGAGGAGTATAGGTGTAGAAACAGTGTCAAATGCCTTAGCAAGGTCCAGAAAAACACCTATGCAACACCTACCCTCATCGAGGTGATCAACAACAGCATCCATTAGAATGATTACAGCATCTTCAGTGGACTTTCCCTGACGAAATCCAAACTGTTTGTCATTTAGAAGGCTGTTTTGATTGAGGAATTTAACTAGCCGCTTATAGATGATGCGTTCTAAAAGTTTCGAAAAAGCTGGCAAAAGTGATATTGGACGGTAGTTAGTCGGGTCGTCTTTGCTACCTGCTTTATATATGGGAATCACCACAGCCGTTTTCCAGACCTGCGGGAAAGTCCCTGACGATATACTCAGATTAAATATTGAGGCTAACGGTTCAGCTATAAGATGTCCAATATTCTTCAAAATACTATTATTCAGACCATCAAAACCAGAGGTGTTTCCTGATTTAAGAGATTTTATTAAACACAGCACTTCATGAGAATCGGTAGGTTCCATAAAAAAAGAGTTTTTAGGTGAATTAGTGTAGTGTACTTTACTGGCGATTGAGTCCTGTGTTTCATTTAATCTAGTCAAAATTTTATTTGCGAGGTTACTACCTGTGGAAGAGAGGCAGGTGTTACAATAATTGAGAGACTCTTTAATATTGTTTCTAGTCCTAATTAGCTCTTCGGGTAACGAGACAGTTGCAGTGTTATGAGTAATGTGCCTAATAGTATTCCATAGTTTTTTTGGAGCATCCTTATTTTGGCTTATCAACTTGTTATAATAATCAGCTTTAAGTTTCCTTAGTAAGTTAATATAAAAATTTCTGTACCGTGAATAAATTAGTTTTTTTACGCTATTGTTGGGATCTTTACGCAAATTGCTGTGTAACTTATCACGATGTTTAGAACACCTCATAAGTCCAGGAGTCATCCAAGGTTCGATATTAAATTTGGAGCGACTAACTTTCACAATCTTAGAGTGCCTCGATAAAGCATCCACGACTGTGGAGGAGAAGAGAGATACTGCCTTCTCAATATCATTTGTGTTCATCAAAGAATGCCAATTTATCAAATGAAGATCAGAATGCAGCGATTCATAGTCTACTCTAATCCTTGAACGTGTCTGAGCATTTTGTTTTTGATGCGTTAACGTAATTCCTGCCATAGTGATTTCATGATCAGTTATATCAGAGGAACAAACTATAGATTCTGCCCTGCTCTTAATTGGTACAAAAATATGATCCAGACAAGTTTTTTGGCGAGTAGCTATATCAATGCTCGATGTAAGCCCAAATTCAGCAAGTACATTTAAGTATTCGGAAACATAATTGGTATCTGTTTCTGGGCTTAATATATCTATGTTTAGGTCCCCTGTAAAGATTAGAAATGGATTGTAAGTAAGTTTTTTCAAAACTGAGCCAAGGGAATAAATAAAACGACTAGGGTTTTGGAAACTTGGAGACCTGTAAGCTGCTACTACTTGAAAACAATTTGGAGCCTCGATCACAACACAATTAGCGTCCTCTACCTCCAGTTCCGAGGAAATGTATGACCATTTATCCTTAACAAAAACCGTTATACCGCCTGATTTATTTATGTACTTTTTTGAGTTGAAAGACGTGTAACCTTTAATTTGGTTTACAGTGGAATTTTCATTTAACCAACACTCTGTAAGGACTATGACATCAAAGTCAATATTCATTCTTTTAAAAACAACCAAAAAACTATCAAAATTTTTATGAAGGCTTCTTATGTTTAAATTTAAGATTTTCAGATTATATTTACAAATTACTCGGGTGCATTCTTCCGGTAATGGTATAGTATGGCATTTTACTTTAAAAGAGTTATCAATTTCTTCAAGTAAATTCAGGGATGCCATGGAAAAATAGTAAAGAGAAAGGGTTCCAAATTATGCTTGCAGTAAGCCATAGCTAAGAACATACCAAATGCAACACCCATGTAATAAGAAAATGAACTATTTACTTCCAAATAATGTGTGAAACTAAAAAGTCCGCCAAGGACACTGTGAAGTAAAGTATGAACAGTGTATGTGTGTGTGGTAAAAATGAGAGTGTAATACAGTACGCATACAATATCAAATAACATAATCAAGACGAACAAAACTATACATTCAAAAATATTAATACAAGACAAAGTATATGACTTTTGAAAACAATAAAAAGAGAATAACTGAAACAGTGAGCTGGGCTGATTAAGATATAATGACCGACGATTCTCCCTGTAAGCTGGACTGATTTTTACCAGTTGTAGGAAGTGCGCGTTCGAGATCATTTTCGGACTGTATTTTAATAGCAGGGTATCCATCTCTGTAGTCCCCCTTCCGAAGAAAAATGTTACCACTTCGTACCCAGCAGTGTTTGAAGCCGTGTTTTTTTGCAAATAGCCTGGTGTCCCGAAATAAGCGACGATTATTAAACGTTAGTCGTTCATTGATATAAACCGTCGTATCAGAACCCTCCACTAATATATCCTTGGATTTGAGAGGACGACGACTTCTTGAACGTTCTAAGAACTCATCACGTTTGGATCGGCGAACGAAAGACACTACGAGAGGATGAGGAGCTGACTGTGTCGGATTATTATCTTTACTTTGCCGCTCGGCCCCGGCTCGAGCTACATGATCTAGATCCTCCTCTTGTAGATCCATACCTAGTTTTAAGGCTGTGGTTAAAGTCAGGTGTACAGGGTACTCATTTCGATTTTCAACAAGGCCAGCTATTTCCACTTCTTTCCTTAGCGAAAGTTGTGTCTGGTAGCTCAATTGATTTTGTAGGGTAGTAATAGTGGCTTTTAAAGCAGCATTTTCACAAGCCTGTGTTTCAAGAGTACGCAATCGTCCGTCATAATTTGATAATTTATTGCTTAGATCATCAAAACGCTCCTTAATACTGCTCCACATCTCAGACATATTCTGCCTTAGGAGACTAATTTCCGAAGATAAAGAATGCAATATTTCAGAATCAGGCTCTGCTCTCGGAAGTTCCAGACTGTGGTTCTCTATGTGTAATTGACCCTTTTTTCGTATGGTGACGTTCTCTGGCGTGGAGCGCACTGGAGTTTGGGAATTATCTCCACCTCTCCTCATTCTGGCACAACAGTCAGGACAGACCCATGTTTTTAATTCATCCTGTCTGAGACGTTCAGCGTTTGTACATGCTGTGTGAAAGGACTGCTTACACAGAGTAGAAGAGCAAACGATCATAATCTCTTGTTTCTTTAAAACCTGTAGGCACGCAGAGCACTTCATGTTGTATAAAAATGTATTGCTCTGATAACTTGATAAAAAATTTCTGTCTCATATATTTACGCTACAGCTGCCAATTGTTGAGGAAACAGATGATACACTCCTTTAGTGAAGTTGTTTGAATTCGACTTCACGAGAAAAGGGACGTAAGCGCCGTGCACAACGCGTCGCTTACGCGTTTTAGTAAAGTTACTTCACAGAATCGTTATATACAATTTATTGGCGGTACTTTAATGTTAAGTTTGGCCTATTTCTACAATAATCACTGTTTTTATGCACTATTATGAGCAAGGAATATATATATGTAGTAGTTTATGGTTTACACTAATAAAGTTTCACAAAAATTTAGAGATTCCGACACTTTGGATTGCTTTAAGGAAAAATATTTGTTGCCGTACACACTCGCGATGTTCTTTCATTAATGTCTGATCTACTACGATCTATAAATGTACCAATATTAATATAACTAAATAAACAATCAGAAACATAGAGAAGCGATAACGGTGGTTGTTATCACAACTATTATATATTAACACAACATTATTACGTAAAAAAGATTGTGGCCTTATAAAAATAATAATTAACTGCTCTTATATTAAAATAGATTCATTTGACTTGAGTTTTTTTAATACAAAAATATGTATGTCCATAGTTTTATTATGGTAGTCCAACTGCTACATTGCTATTCCTTCAACATTATTGCTCCAGACACCAGTTCCTGGAAAATATAGTATAATTTACTTTTACTGAACTGCTAAAGAATTGGATGTGTGATTAGTAGTGAGTACATATAAATTACTCTTATTCTTATATGATATTTAGGATATATGAATACTGCTGTAGTTGCTTCTTATTTTTATTTATCGATAATAACAAGTAGTTCTAAAAATTAGTTAAGTTTTCGATATTTTTTTATAACTAGAAGTTATAAAAAAATTATCGACAAACAAGTTAACTGATGGTAAGTGGTAACTGTCGCGTATATACGTATGTACACGAATAGACACATCGTACCGAGACGCTTTTGATACCTCTAATGCTTGTATTCACATCTTACCTTATGGTCGTCTAGATACGCAAGATTAGTGTCAGCAGCTAATATCTGTACAGCGTCTATCACCACATCGGCCGCTTTCCGTACATTCTTGCTGAACATTGCCAGCACTTCACCCACAGACACCTGCAAACCCACCAATTATGCTTTCTTACCTCAATATACATTCCAAATATGCATAGATTTAAAAGTGCTTTTATTATGTTTGTTTGCACATATTATATCAATATAATTGGTCTTCTGTCTTCTAAATACTTTCTGTATAAATTTATAATCTAATTTTCACCTTATAGAAACTAAAACACGAATCATTATAATTATTCGTATTATAATACAAGCAATTTATTACAACACCACGCATTGCTTTATTTAATAAAAAATATATATTTAAATAAAATTTAATTATATGTATATTTGAGGAGTCTATTGGCTCCATGTGTGAGATTTGAGATCGAACTCCAAGTCATCCCCTCTGGAAAACATTGCAGTTAATCACTAGTGAATTTGCTATAATGTCGTAACTGACCTATGTACAGACACATTCTACCATAATAGGTGCCCCGTAAACATATACTTATAACGTAGGAATCACAATATTCATGTTATTGTATTCTTTATTAAAGTTTAATTACATTGTACATTCGAGTTCAAATTTTAATAATAATAACATACCGAGCATTCGTTTTCTCTCCAACAGTCGTAATCTGTAACAAGTGCTACGGCAGCGTAACTCAATCCCGCTTCTTTTGCTAACACTACCTGTAAAATGAAAGATCTAGTACGAAAAAGTATTCTACAGCTTTTGTGAGGTATAATATTATCAAAATATTGTTATCATTTAGTTTTTTACATAGTACATTTGCTCTCGCAATCGTAGCTAAAATATTATTGATTAAAAAACAATTGATTAGGTTTTGGCTTAGGTATGATGTAATACCCAAAATAGTTCACAAATAAATATTATTACTATTATTAAAAAAATGTATTACCTCAGGCACGGTGGTCATATTGACGAGGTGACCGCCCCATTGGCGGAACATCAGGCTTTCTGCTCTGCTAGAAAATCTAGAAAGAACATACAACAATATTCATTACAACAGAAACATTATAAATATCTTCTATAAATGTAGTTATTTTTAATTGATCTAATGAATTTATTTTGCTATTATACCTACAGTGTATTGTAATATCTCTGCCTTAAGGAATTTATAATATTCGTATAATACACAGATAAAGGGAACGTCTTAAAGTATTTAACATGAACGTAGATGGATAGTAACGGAGAGGACGACCAAAAAAATATGGATCGATTGTGTGAAATATGATATGTAAAAAAGGAAAGTAAGTTCAGATATGACGGCTGATAGGGTTCAGTGCCATACTGCCCCAAATGATGGAATAAATATGATAATACATATAGATAAAACACACGTAATGATTTTAGTAACATTTCTTTCTATCTAGGTTAAACATAAAACTAGTATTTCGTCACCCGCAATAAAAAATATTTTATAAGGCGTAATTTAAGACATCTTTGAAATTATAGTGTACAATCTTAATTACATACAATTAGATTGTTTCAATTAGTACATATATTACGATAACAATTATGTGTATACAAACAAACACTAATATACCTATCGTCACGACAGTTTTTTTAAATGATGATAATGGAATGGTGCACCAGTAGTGTGGTTTACGCTGGCGGGACACGATTGGAGGATGATAATATAAGCTGGAGATGAAGTTAGTTAGCCCATCGTGCGATTTATCACGATGGTTTCCAGGGGGAACCGTGTGGAGGTCAACCTGACATGGTACATCTTTAGCAATCTGTTACCACAGTTATCCCAGGTGGGATAGTCAGATATAATCAATGTTTAATGTTATATTGAACGCAACACTTGACAGGCCCACATTTCAGTGGGTATATTTAATTTCAATGTGGCAAGAGACAGACCTACCACCGTCTTTCGGATACTTCTTGGTTTCTTCTTTTCTTAGGTCTTATCAAAATACATACAATCTTAGCTTAATTGAAGCCAATAAAATATTTTAACTATAGTTAGTCACCTAGGCCCCTGTATGACAACAGCGGTGCCCTTTTCGTGGCATGGGTACTCTTTCGCACGTGCTGCTTTTAGCATCGCCTGTCTCGCTCGCTCGCAGAACGCCGGCTTCATAGGCAAGTGACATACGCCACGTGGTCCCCCCTCGGTTCGGTCGAAGAAAGTGCACTTGCGACCCCATGTCCTGGAAGTGATTAAAACAAGTGTTTTACCAATATTAAGATGCATCCACCATCTGATTTAATGTTATTTGCAACATATGTACATAGTAATTAAACAACTGTCACAGCGCCATCTAGTCCCAAACTTAGCAAAACTTGTACTATGAATGCTAGATAATTAATAGACATTGGTACTTAAATACATTACGTAATACAGAAAACTACTCAGATCAATGCAACTCTTGAAAGTGTATTTGTATTGTTAATGATCAAACCGCTGTATTACTTCAGTTGTCTATATAACTTTATAATATCTAATTATATTACCTCAGTAGTATAGTTTTATATATAACGGCTTAAATATAACATAGTTGTCATATAAACGTAAAAATATGAATAAATAATGATAACGTCAAATTTCAAGTTTATCTCATAATTTTTATTATTGACCCCAAATACGAATGTTTTCCGATTCTACTGTATGTTTCTATATGATTTTAATGTACTTATATATTTGATACTTTGACAGGGTTTCACTAACAATGTACCTATTTAATATTTTGACAGGATTTCACTACCCTATGATAAGGTCGAGTAATTATGATCAAAGGTGAAAAAAAAAATATTTTATAAAATTACGTAATGGAACATCCATACCTATCAATAAAATCATCCAGAATAACGAGGTCTCCAGGCTTATATTCCTCAATCAGGGATCCGGTGGCTGTGGTGGCCAGCACGTGGCTGCAGCCGGCTTCTTTCAATGCCCAGATATTCGCGCGATAGTTCACATCACTGTCGAATAAGTAATAATATATTAAAATAATAAACTGGTTCTGTACATGTTTCTTTTTTTATAATATTTCTCTTTTAGGTGTTGTGTTCTCTTTTACATATTGTTGGATTACAATCCAGTTTTTTACCAAAACACAAATGCCTAATCAAATTGTTGTATTGATTGTAATCTTTTTTATGTGCAAATAAAGAAATAAATAATTCTTACTTTATGGAAAATGATAACCGTAGCACGTACATGGTCATGCACAACAGAATGTATTTTTTTTTAATTGATGATAATGGTACACCCGTCTGCGCTAACCAAAAGTAGCGGAGCGGTAGTGGTGGATGATAGAATGATCATGAAGTCAGGTCAGTTCGCCTATCGTGACGAATTCCTCAAGATTTAAAATTAATATCCAGATTATATCCTATAATATATATATATAAATTATTAATATTTTACCTCGGTTGGTATTGATGCTTCCTGCCATGTCTCGCGAGCAGCACACACGAGACTCCCTTAATCTCTCCTTCAATTAAGACATCAGACGGCTTCCCAAAAGGAGTGAGTAGTTCTCGTTCGATTTGATTCTCAAACAGCGATGGATCGTCGAACCCAGAGCCGCCAATGATACCAATCTAATATTATTGTTTTTATTAAATTACAGAGATAAAGTTAGAGTTCTTGTAATAAATAAATATTAACTCATTTTATTGGATCATTAAAATTAGTTCAGACTCATGAATATAAATGTTTAAATGAATATAAATTGCATCAATATTTACTTTACAAAAGAGGGCCATTCGCTCCATTTATGGTATGGGTTCCAGGGAGTCATTGCGAGAGTGTTTTAAGGAATCAAAAATCCTCACCGTTGCTTCTCAATACATTTATGAAAATATCATCTATGCCAGAAGGAATATAGACAGTTTCAAAAGAGTTAGTGATTGCACTAATAAAAGCTTACGTAACAATAACAAACTGATTTTACCTAAATGTCGTTTGGCTAAAGTTAGTAATTCGTTTTATGGCAATTGCGTAAGGTTTTACAATAAAATACCAGAGTCTGTTATAAATCTGCCAGAAAAAAGATTTAAATGTCAAATAAAACAGTTCCTTTGCAAAAAAGCTTACTATAAAATTGAAGAATTCGTTAACGATAATAATGTTTTTATAGAAAAACTTTAAATCTATAGCACTGACAATATTATCTTATTACATTAATAATGAGTGCGTAGCGACTTCTATGTTGATTATCGCATGCCTCTTACTTGTTATACTGTAATTATTTATATAAAAAAAACATCTATTAAAAAGAGCAACACACAAGTTTCTTGCTCATTCTTCTTGTGATGAATCTGCATTCCGAATGAGTGGTAGAATCAAAATATGACTATTCAAAAGTGCTTGTAATGAGTTTATTTGAATAAAGATTATTTCTATTTCTATTTCTATTGTGCGAAGACTTGAAACCATCTGAAGTGAAACAATGTGATAAACAGCCACACCACCAAGGCTAGACAGGAATCAAACCAACTTATATAACTTTAATTTTTATAATAATCAATCCTCAATTAATTACTTATCTTCACTACATAAGTGCCAACATTCTATTCTATTCACAGTATTGTTAATGCAAGATAATCAGGGTTTTGAATAAAATAATAAATTTATTAACAATCATGTAATTCATATCTACATCTGGAACTCTATACAAACAATAGCAGCATAATCATTACTCAGTAACATTCATTTCTTAGCATTCTATATTACTAAAAACAATATTAAATAATTTATTTTCTAAGTTATTTCTCTAATCCTTGCTGGAACTTTAATTCTTTTGCAGTTTCATGCGCTTTTTGTAAACTTTGTGCAAGTGCAAAATATCTTTTGGATTCTTCTTCATTCTTCTCTACCCCATCACCTTTTTTAAACATCATGCTCACATTAGCACATGCATACATATTTCCATATTCACAGCCCTTCAGTGCAAATTGGTATGCTTGTTTTTTGTCTGGTTTTATTAAATATTCTATGTTTTTATTTTTCTCAGAGTTGTGTGGGTTGAAATCCGAAACATTCTTTGGTACACCTGTGAGGTACATTCCGGAGAGGTAGTGACATGCCATATCATCCTTTTGATCACAACTTCTTTTTAAATAGTTGTAGCCTATAACAAACATTATATAGATAAGTGATTTTAAATAATGTCAAAATAAACACATTCATGTATTCAATATTCAAATAAAATAGAATTGTTGAATGAATTTGAATTAATTAAAAAAAATGATGACAATTTTACATTAATGGTGACTGACAGTGATTTAACTTAGCATAAATAATGAAATGCTGATTGTGTATGAAATAGATCAATATTATTTATGCTTAAAATCTGTTATCACAAGAAATATTTAATGTTCTCAATAAGCCAAATTATTATTTAATTAATAATTCTTCACGTATAATTCCATTAATTTTAATAATTTCAATACCATGAATTACTACAACTCAGAGCATAATGTCTTATTATGATCATTCTAAATTCTGTCAAATATGGCTTTATTCTACTGCAATAATATTTTCAACATAGCAAATTAATAATTTTTAACGACACATAAAAAATATATCTATTACTATTTGTTGCTGACATTCTGGTCATATAGTTTTATACTTCATGTAAATAACATTGTATTTTCTATTAAGAATTTTATTATATATTATTGTATACCAAACACAGTCAAATATAGAATTAAAAAAAAAACAACACTATACTATAATCAACAAATGATTACATGATTAATAAATAAATGAGGTATGTTATTTAGCACTAAAATGCAAAATGGTATTTTATATTTTATAGTATGTTGGTATTTTATAACTAGACTAGATATTGCTTATTATATTATAAACAAGTAATAAATGTGAAAAGACTTAAAACATATATTTATATTTACCTTTAGGGACATCCCTTTTCACACTGATACCGGGCCCTGTAGCCGTCAATAGCATACCAGCATGCAAACAAGCTGTAGGTTCATTTAAATCACATCCTTTTTCAAAATACGATAACGCTTCATTTGGATTGCTTTTGATACTGCCTCGCCCCACTAATGCATAGTTACCGTATTTTAAACAAGATTTACCGAAATTATAATCTAAGCAATTGCTTTTAAATACTGTTGCAGCCTTCTCAAAATCTTTTTTGATCGCTTCCAAGTAATCACCGAGAAGATGACACACTTCTGGCTTTTTTTCTTTATAACAACCAAAACGGTACTCAATACCAAGATTTTCTATATATTCTTTAACTTCTTCTTCCCTTTTTAAGTCATAAGCCATCGTAATTTCGTAAAAATAACTTAAAGTTCAATTAATATTAGTTGTCTTTAATAAATCGTATGTTGAGGTTAGATAATACATAAGATTGAATGGAAACGTCAGTGTGATAACACTTATCAGTATATGTAAACAACTTCATTACTATACGATTAAAATATATGAAAATATTTTAATTTAGGAATAATAAGGAATTAAAATAATATAAATGAACACAGATTTAAATAAATGAAAATTAGCTACCTTTATTTTTTTATTATCGCCCATTTTAAGCTCTTTTATTAGATGAAAATGAAAAAATTCGATCGCTTGAGCCGACGTGTTTCAGTAAAAATAAAACAGTTCTGTATGGCAAAATAAGCCAAATTAAAATAAACACAAGTATTTTTATATGCACAGGAAAATTAAATAAACGTAAAAGTCAATTAAAGACAAATGATACAATAAAGACGATGATAAAAAAGTAATAAAAAGTTAAAAATGTTTATACTCTCTGATAAAACAAACCATAGATTTATTTAGGAATTTCTTTATACTGACTATAGGCAAAGGTCATAGAGTCATACATTCGTCTGACATATCTTTTCTTTACTTTTACATATAATAAAGTCGTAAAATTGTAATGAGACGCAAGCGAATACTGTCTTTTGTCTGATATTAAGGTGTCATGTAAAAACTGCTGCACAAATTACGGTGTAATAATGTGGATGAACACAAAAACTTAAGAAATCTTAGAAAAATGCTTCTCAAAGGGGTAAATTAGTAAGAGTAAACGGCTGTTGTTTCCCACTTACGTAGTATAAAAAAAAATTCAAATGTGATGCAACTACTTGGATTTTGTACAAGGATATGGACTACGGATAAGACTTAAATTTTGAACACGAATGAAAACATAATAAATAGACATACATAAGAATTGGCCTTTGGCCTCATCACTTGTTCGAATATGAAGAAGTTTAAAAGTAGACTAGGCTGTACGGTCTAAGGATCTTTGCCTGTTCCATCACTGAAAAGGACATGGACGGATATGGAAAAAAAAAACTACTTGGATTTTGTCAATTCCTATATGATTTCCCTGTTGGTATATTTACTTTTCTCTTTGATGATTTCGAAGTACTACTCTGCGCTGTATTCAGATTGACTGCAGACTAATATTAGTCAATCAAGCCAGTTCTGTCAATTCAAACAGCTGATTTACTTACTGAAACTGAAAATAAACATCGTAATAGATGATTAACAAGACATTTTCTGTAAATCGTTTCTTTGTTTAATTGAATACATTAATAAAATTTAACATATCTTACGAATCGGACCCGACGCTGTTTAATATCTGTTTGAAATAATGGCTAGAAATTTGGAAGTATTCACTGTTCGTATTCGAAAGGCAACCCGACAAATACATTCAGTTAGCGATGCCCTGGTCAACGCCAAATTTGCTATTTGTGAGTTATAATTTCTATTATGTAGTACATAAAATATTTAAGTTTATTAAAGTAATTAAAAAATATATTACTCTCTATTGTCATTTAATTTTTGAATTGCCTTAACAATATATTATCATAATTTTAAATTTACTCCAATACTATCTATAAGGTTCGCCTTATAGAAGAATTTAGTCTCACTAGTACCATTAGTAGCATTACTAACTAGGCTAGGTGAGACTTAAGTTACTCTTTAAAATTGTGTATTTATGTACATTGTTCCTGTATGCTACATTCATTAATATCAATAAAACTATTATGTTGATAATTTTAAGAGCAATGTAAATCTTACACTTTACCTTTGTTCTAATAACATTAATGTTATAATTCTATTTTATTTACAACTAGCTACTCGCCCTGGTATTGCATGGGTGTACAGGTATTATTATTATCCTAATATTAAACCTTCCTCTAGAATCACTCTATCTATTAAAAATACCACTTCAATATCCGTTGCGTAGTTTTAAAGATTTAAGCATACATAGGGATGGACAGACAACAACAGCAACTTTATTTTATACTATGTAATGATTTTAAGAGCAATGTTAATCTTACACTTTACTTTTATTTTTAGCTCTAAGGGATGAAAAAGTGTGGGGTGGAGGACTTTTCATATTTTATCATGTGTTTGCTTACCTTGAAGACACAAAGGACAGGTTGAACATATCAGAATATAACCGGTTGTTTGTTCACAAAGTACTTCACAGGTAATGCTTATTATTATTATATTTATTTATTTTGATATAATCAATATAATATCAGATAGTCAACAAATCTGCGAATAGTCTGGAAGACTGATTGCATGATATAAATAAAAAAAATAAAAAATTTTGATATAATGATATAGCTCGCTTCTTGCCACCACAAGGGTAACCAACTTGTTTGTTATTTCAAATATGTAAAAAAACTCCCCAAAACTACAATTTTTCCCAGTTAAATCCAAACAATGAATAAAATAAGATTCTTTGTGTGAATCTAAAACATATTTTAATATTATTACAGGAAGTCAGCTTTTGAGGAGGATCTTCAGCACTATCTTGGTGATGAATGGCAATCACTTCCAAAATCTGCAGCCCTGGAAAACTACCTGGAACATTTACAGAACTTGGAGAAAGAAAATCCGAAGCTACTGATGGCTTATATCTACCATTTATACTTGGGGTTGCTAAGTGGAGGACAGATACTTGCTAAAAAACGTAAAATGTTTGGTGAAAGTATGTATTTGTAAAGAAGAATAAATATATAATATATAACTGACATAGAGTAATTTTAAGTAGCTATGACATAGTAAAGTGTCTTGAGTAGTCATGCTCATTTAATGTCCAGACATGTGACAGTATGGTGGGGTGGATTATTGGGCTCAAATGCAGTGTTGGCTGGCTCATCTGTCATACTTTTGAACGAGTGCTGTTTGTTGAGTTTGGTCTGCTTTAATCACTATGACTGATTTCCTCTTATTTAGTTACTCAACCAGTTGGTTGTGTAAATATTTAGACTAATGAATTAGTGCCATATTCATACATTTTAACTTAAGAATGTAAAGTTACATTAACTAGTTAATAACAAATAATTTTGTTTCAGAGAATACTAACAAAGATGTTTACATAGATAAAGTGACAGATTTTAGTGGTATTGATATTGCTCAGTTGAAAAAAGACTTCAAAGATGTAATGAACCAAATTGCAGAAGAGATGAGTGATGAAGAACAGCAGGCATTTATTGATGAAAGTAATCAAGTATTTCTCATGAATAATCTAATTGTAAATTCTGTGGGAGGACAGGATCAAGTTATTAGAGCATTATTGTATAAAGCTTCAGCAGTTTTCTTAGTTTTTGTTGGTGTTATTTTAGCATATAAGATGCATAAGTAAGATTTAAATATTTGTTAATATTATTAAAGAGGTAAAAAATATTATAGATAATAGGAAAGTTGAGTTATTAAGTATGTCTGTAGTTACTTGAGTAAAGACTGATCAATTTATAAAATGTATTTTATTTAACCACAAAAGAGTACAAAAAAAGTAGGCAAATCATTGGAGTTATTTTATTCATCTTAGCTGCTAATTATATTTTTCTTATTTCTTGTCAAAGTAACACAATATATACAAGAGCTTATCTAAATAGTATTAATAAATAAAATAGGTGTGATCATAAAAATAATTTATTTGTAATTACTTATTAATATTAATTTAATATATTTATTAAACTAGTAGAGATTCATTTAATATTTACAAGAAATATATAACATACGCATGCTGCGTATTGTCCATTAACTTATTGATTCTATAAATGTCAATTATAATCAGTTCAGAGACGGAAGTGTGGGCGGGTCCATAGCCATATCAATCAGCTCGTCTATGTCTTCTGTGTTCCAGAATGATAGCTCAGACTGAAAATGATAGAATATATTATGTTAATATAAAATAAAATATTTCATTTCAACATAAATAACAAATCAATAAAAATCATATAATCCATCGGGGGGCGGGGAGACACTGACTGTTTGGATATCAGGCCGCACGCTGGTGACGGCGGGGGAGGGGGAGTAGGAGGCGGGGAGCGGGGGGGACACTGACCATGCGCAGCGCGTCGGAGCAGGGCCGGCAGTGCAGGCGGCCGTCGCGACACTCGCAGCGCGGGCGGCCGCACGCTGGTGACGGCGGGGGAGGGGGAGGAGGCGGGGGGACACTGACCATGCGCAGCGCGTCGGAGCAGGGCCGGCAGTGCAGGCGGCCGTCGCGACACTCGCAGCGCGGGCGGCCGCACGCTGGTGACGGCGGGGGAGGGGGAGGAGGAGGAGGAGGAGGCGGGGGGACACTGACCATGCGCAGCGCGTCGGAGCAGGGCCGGCAGTGCAGGCGGCCGTCGCGACACTCGCAGCGCGGGCGGCCGCACGCTGGTGACGGCGGGGGAGGGGGAGGAGGCGGGGGGACACTGACCATGCGCAGCGCGTCGGAGCAGGGCCGGCAGTGCAGGCGGCCGTCGCGACACTCGCAGCGCGGGCGGCCGCACGCTGGTGACGGCGGGGGAGGGGGAGGAGGAGGAGGAGGAGGCGGGGGGACACTGACCATGCGCAGCGCGTCGGAGCAGGGCCGGCAGTGCAGGCGGCCGTCGCGACACTCGCAGCGCGGGCGGCCGCACGCTGGTGACGGCGGGGGAGGGGGAGGAGGAGGAGGAGGAGGCGGGGGGACACTGACCATGCGCAGCGCGTCGGAGCAGGGCCGGCAGTGCAGGCGGCCGTCGCGACACTCGCAGCGCGGGCGGCCGCACGCTGGTGACGGCGGGGGAGGGGGAGGAGGAGGAGGAGGAGGCGGGGGGACACTGACCATGCGCAGCGCGTCGGAGCAGGGCCGGCAGTGCAGGCGGCCGTCGCGACACTCGCAGCGCGGGCGGCCGCACGCTGGTGACGGCGGGGGAGGGGGGGGAGGGGGAGGAGGAGGAGGAGGAGGCGGGGGGACACTGACCATGCGCAGCGCGTCGGAGCAGGGCCGGCAGTGCAGGCGGCCGTCGCGACACTCGCAGCGCGGGCGGCCGCACGCTGGTGACGGCGGGGGAGGGGGAGGAGGAGGAGGAGGAGGCGGGGGGACACTGACCATGCGCAGCGCGTCGGAGCAGGGCCGGCAGTGCAGGCGGCCGTCGCGACACTCGCAGCGCGGGCGGCCGCACGCTGGTGACGGCGGGGGAGGGGGAGGAGGCGGGGGGACACTGACCATGCGCAGCGCGTCGGAGCAGGGCCGGCAGTGCAGGCGGCCGTCGCGACACTCGCAGCGCGGGCGGCCGCACGCTGGTGACGGCGGGGGAGGGGGAGGAGGAGGAGGCGGGGGGACACTGACCATGCGCAGCGCGTCGGAGCAGGGCCGGCAGTGCAGGCGGCCGTCGCGACACTCGCAGCGCGGGCGGCCGCACGCTGGTGACGGCGGGGGAGGGGGAGGAGGAGGAGGAGGAGGCGGGGGGACACTGACCATGCGCAGCGCGTCGGAGCAGGGCCGGCAGTGCAGGCGGCCGTCGCGACACTCGCAGCGCGGGCGGCCGCACGCGCGGCCCGCAGCGCCGAGGGCGGCCCGGGCGCCCACCACACTTGAGAACCGCCGAGCCGTCGGACGGTCGCCTTGCAGCTTCGCGCCGGCGAATATTGACCCTACACATTCACATAAGTATTGTTGATTAAAAGATCGAATAAGAAAGAAGTAAGTGAATTAAACTTTAAAGATGTGCGTACTTCATAGAACATTTCAAATGTGACTCACCATTAGTTTCTAGCGCGAGTGACGTGCAAAGTCCCAGTCGATCTTTAGGTAATTTGACTTGCTTGCGAAGTCCGACATCGCCCACTAGTCTCTCGTAATCTTTGTTAGTATATGCCAAAGTGCTGTCAATACCTAAAACCACATATGACAAGAATTCAGCATTCAGTTTATTCTTCTTTATAGAGAAAAGCAAATGCGAACAGTATTAAGTTTAACATACTCACCAAACAAGTATTTAGCTGCTCGTTTCTTAGATAACATGAAGTCATCGTCCATTAGAATGTGAAGTGTCACGGAGTTTTCCATTAATGTGTGAGATATCGTTGAGTAGTCGTACTGAAAATATAAACGCATTTGTTATATGCCATTTATGATGTATAATGAAGAGGGAGGGGGATGCAGTTCAACAGCGGCGGCGGCAGGCACAGGCGAGGTCGCAGCGGAGGTGGCGGCCGCGGTACAGTCGCGTGCACACTCACCGACATGGCGGCGAGGTCGCAGCGGAGGTGGCGGCCGCGGTACAGTCGCGTGCACACTCACCGACATGGCGGCGAGGTCGCAGCGGAGGTGGCGGCCGCGGTACAGTCGCGTGCACACTCACCGACATGGCGGCGAGGTCGCAGCGGAGGTGGCGGCCGCGGTACAGTCGCGTGCACACTCACCGACATGGCGGCGAGGTCGCAGCGGAGGTGGCGGCCGCGGTACAGTCGCGTGCACACTCACCGACATGGCGGCGAGGTCGCAGCGCGCGCAGGGCAGCAGCAGCAGCGTGCGCGGCGCGGCGGGCCGCAGCGGCAGGCGCGTGGCGAACTGCAGCGCCGCGAACATGTCGCCGCGCCCGCGCCCGCGCCCGCGCCGCCCGGAGGACGAGTTGCTCGGGCTCTGCGGCTTCTCTGCGATGCGAAATATTCAAATAAACTGTTGTATTTTGCGTTTAAGTCAAAATATTATCTGGCTCGAAGGACTAAAATAATATACGGGAACATTATATGGAATGAATTTACTTTTTTACCATCCGGATCGAAGGACGAAGTGCACTCTAACATAAACAATTTCATTAAACATGTTAAAATCGAAACGGTTACGACGTTTCTATATACTTGTGAATCAAATATGTCAATAATTGTATCAGACAACATTATGAGAATGATGAAAATAAAAATTGCTCTGTAGCCAGTAGACATGAGAAGTACTATATATACTGTACCGAGATCTAGATGGTCGAAGTGCAGCGGAACTTGCGTGGCGTCAGCGAACACTTCCCCGTTGACATAGAGTGCGCGCGGCTGCGAGTATACACCAACGCCTCCGAAGCCCACCACCGCATACCTCGAATTAGATTATAAAATATGCCAATTTAAAGCAGTAAAATTACAGAGTACACAGACCTGCATATAAGCGACATTCATGTACATAATCTTTATATACAGTATAAATCAAAGTCGCTGTCTGTTCGCTTATATCTTTTTAAATTATGCGACGGATTTTAATGCAGTTTCCAGCAATGGATAGTGTTATCCAAAACGAAGTTTTATATGTATAATACATGCGTGTTATAGTATAGTAAAAGCCGAGAAATTCAAAGATTTCTAATACATCCATAGAAGCCGGAAGGAGTCGCTAGTTATATTAAAGATTTTCAACCACATACCTGTTATCAGAAAGACCATGTCCTTGCAAGCGGCTATCGAATGCTTCCACGAAGAGATCTATATTCTTCCGTTTGCGAATTTGTCTGTTGCAGTGCTCGGCCTCTACTATAAACACCACATCTGTTGAGTTGGGCACCTGTTGTAGTTGGGTGAACGAGCCCTCCTCTACGATGTCACCTTGCGGAGTCGTACATCTAGACGAGATAGAAATTTTATTTCATAATGAGAGTGAGTAACTTGAAATAAATAATATACCAAAATAGGACAATAAATTTATAGTCCTACTTACTAGTCCTAGTTACTTTGTAAAGGAATAAACGAGATAATTTTCTATTTATCTGGATTAACAAACAAATTACATCTATTATGGAAAGTGCTAATCATCGTCTATATAGGTAAGCATTATGGGCGACACAGAATGCATTGTGATGCTCGCAGTGCCGCACCGACTATTGGCAGCACCTGTTTACGAAATCTATGAAGTGCCACTTTTTTGGCTGTATTTTGACATTAATTTTTTTTATCACTAAATTTTGACTGAAATATCTTCGCCAATTTTCTTATAGTCCTTTCGTAAATAGATAAAAACAGCTATGGCAATAATTGTAAAAATAAAATATTATTATTAATTTTATTTTCAGACGTCGGGCGCGCGCGTGGGCACGTGCTGCTGTGCGCACAGCTCGCGGTACGCGCACGGCTCCATGCTGCGCGAGCCTGTGTGTGTGTGAGTGTGTGTGCGAGTACTGACTGGAGGCAGACGTCGGGCGCGCGCGTGGGCACGTGCTGCTGTGCGCACAGCTCGCGGTACGCGCACGGCTCCATGCTGCGCGAGCCTGTGTGTGTGTGAGTGTGTGTGCGAGTACTGACTGGAGGCAGACGTCGGGCGCGCGCGTGGGCACGTGCTGCTGTGCGCACAGCTCGCGGTACGCGCACGGCTCCATGCTGCGCGAGCCTGTGTGTGTGTGAGTGTGTGTGCGAGTACTGACTGGAGGCAGACGTCGGGCGCGCGCGTGGGCACGTGCTGCTGTGCGCACAGCTCGCGGTACGCGCACGGCTCCATGCTGCGCGAGCCTGTGTGTGTGTGAGTGTGTGTGCGAGTACTGACTGGAGGCAGACGTCGGGCGCGCGCGTGGGCACGTGCTGCTGTGCGCACAGCTCGCGGTACGCGCACGGCTCCATGCTGCGCGAGCCTGTGTGTGTGTGAGTGTGTGTGCGAGTACTGACTGGAGGCAGACGTCGGGCGCGCGCGTGGGCACGTGCTGCAGTGCGCACAGCTCGCGGTACGCGCACGGCTCCATGCTGCGCGAGCCTGTGTGTGTGTGAGTGTGTGTGCGAGTACTGACTGGAGGCAGACGTCGGGCGCGCGCGTGGGCACGTGCTGCTGTGCGCACAGCTCGCGGTACGCGCACGGCTCCATGCTGCGCGAGCCTGTGTGTGTGTGAGTGTGTGTGCGAGTACTGACTGGAGGCAGACGTCGGGCGCGCGCGTGGGCACGTGCTGCTGTGCGCACAGCTCGCGGTACGCGCACGGCTCCATGCTGCGCGAGCCTGTGTGTGTGTGAGTGTGTGTGCGAGTACTGACTGGAGGCAGACGTCGGGCGCGCGCGTGGGCACGTGCTGCTGTGCGCACAGCTCGCGGTACGCGCTGGCCAGCGCGCACGGCTCCATGCTGTGCGAACACTCCGAGTGGAACGGCACTGCGTCGATCTGTGGACACAACTCGCCACTGTACACTACTATACCATACCTCCGTACACGAGCATATACTAAACATAATTCCTAGCGTCCGAGCACAACAAATTCTCATACAGAAATTCCACCAAACTGTAATTTAACATAACATCTTTAAAACAAAGTTGCGTTCATGCAACTGCGATTTAATGACCAATAAAGTGTATAACAGAATACAAAAAATAATACGATAAATACCATTCAATCTCATGCAGGCCATAATTTTATCAATATGCCTACCGTCCAGTTCAGCTAGCTACTTCAGTTGAAAATACTCAACGGGAACTGGTAAAAAACTCAACTGGTACCGACATTTATGTGTCTTATGATCTTAATATTAATTAAAAACAAGATATTAAATATTTAAAGAGTAGTAATATTAATATAGAAATTAATATACTATTATTTAAGAAGACATATATATATATATATATATATATATAGACTTATAATATAGATTTATAAGAAAAAGGGAAAGCAAGCTGTCCAACACTAAGTAATACAACTGTGTGTGTGTGTGTTAAACATATTCTTAAAAAAGAACCAGTCTTCACAATCTCAATAAAAAGTAGGATGTTTGAAAAACGTTCAATTACATACCACAGAGAAACACGGATGCAACGGTGACACTTTGTTCTGGAAGAACTTCTCGCATTGCGTGTCGTTGGTGAACTCGTGGTTCAGCAACGTTTGCCCACTGATGGGCAATAACGCCCAGCTCTTTCCCAACTCTGCTATGGACGTCGTGTATGTGCCGTTGGGGAGACGAAGTTCATCGTATTGTTCGTTGTTGTATGTGCCGAGAAGACCGCCGAGGCTCGCGTAGTACCAACCTACAACACAAGTTCTGCTTAGCTCGGGACTAGATGGCGCTGTGTGATGCTCGTCCAGGGTTATCAGTATGATGTACCTGCAACGTGCAGCTTGCAGGTGCGGTGTCGCAGGTCGCAGTGTATGCGGAGGCCGCTGTCGCCGCTGACGGAGAGCTGGTCGGTCTGTCGGTCCACCACGTGGCCCTCCACCACGGCCGGCAGGTTCAGTATAGAGCTGCCGATCGACACTTGCTACGGATACAAAACAAATATTAATAAAAAAATATCCATTAAATTGTGTATTAAATCTTTATGAGAATTTGTATGAATAGAATTTGACAAATCTACTTATGAGGAGACCTAGCAAGCTGATTAAGAAAAATGACAAAATGAGACAAATTTTGGCCACAGAACTCCCTCAGAAATAGAAATATCCTTTATTATAAATACTTTTGAATAGTTCTAAAGTTCTTCATTCTATTACTCGTTCTGAAACCAGACTTATCACATGATCAAACTTGCGTGTTGTTCTTTTGAACAAATGTTGTTCAGTATTACATTTCTAAGATTTTGTGCCAAACAAACTGCCAAATACCAAAATTGATAAAAGTAGATAAATAGTTATTTGAATAACAAAATAAATAATTCATAGTGACCAAGGCAGACCAGTGCGTTTATTTCACGTAGTGCATTATATAAAAATTATGGATATTTATTAAACAATTTTACCTTTTTTTTAAGACTAGTTATTAAAAATAGAACACTCACCTCTTTGTAGAGATCGATGCGTATAAGGGTACTCTTGGTGAGAACGATCAGGTTGTATCGCTGCTGTTCATTGCTTTCCATTAGAACCGTGAATTTGTTCAGTCTATAGTCTTTGGATAGTAGGAAAGTGCCAGCTTGAGAGATAGTGAAAACGCGTTTATCAAATGTCACCAGGGTACCTTGGCCAGTCATAATTGCCATGCCTGTGGGTAAAACATTTTGGTTTTAAATAATTAAAATGAGTAACAAATTGACGGCTAGCATGATGGACTGTTACTTATATATGGATGTCAAAAAATATATAATCCCGTTGTATTTTTCAATTGTCGCAAATCCTCAGGACTCAAGAAACTCAGAACAAATATTACAAAAGAAAACCGGTCTAAGTCCCGGTCAACAGCTAGAAGATGATCATTAAAGAGTGAGAGAGTGACCTGCGAAGGGCGGCAGTACGTTCTCGATGTCCATGTAGGGCCGCAGCTGGTAGTAGTAGGACCAGAGGCTGCGGTTGGTGGCGAGCCAGTCGTCCAGCAGTCGTCGCACGGCGCGGTACTCCGCCACCTCGCTGAAGTCCGGCGACCGGTTGAAGGCGTGCCACGACATCGGCAGCTTTTGTTCCAACACCAGCTTTCCGGCTCGAGGGTCGAACACGAACATTGTTTTTGGAGTGCGGTGGCTGCCGAATAACGAATAGTCATTTTTATTTATTTATTTTAGGAAGATTAACGGTGCAATTTTACATATCACTGTATATATCGAATTGTCTTATGCCAATTAAAAATCTTCACTATCCCTGATATCTCCCGTTTTGGAAAAGAAAAAGGCACATGATTGAAGAAAGCGAAAATGCGCGAGTTGCTGACGCGCGAATGTTTCTCGTTCTCTTTGTCTACATTTACACGTATATTCTTTCTTGAGTGATAACCTATTCACGCGTCAGAGTGTACGTGTAAAGGCAGCTATTAGTAACAAACCACTTACTCTGGTTGGCATAAACGAGTAGATTAACATGTAATATAGCTTCAACATAAAAATAAAACTATACAAGAGATGGGGTATAACCATGAACTGGATTAGCTTTATACTATAGTTTATTACCGATCAGATGTTTACCAAGAACATCCTCCGAAAATGTATAATGCAAGTTATCAAAACTTGTTCTCCAAGAACATTTTATTAATACAATTATTTGTATGATGTATTTGTGTAGCTTAGGTGTGAATATAAAAAATAGTTTCAGGGATTTGAATATCTTTAAAATTAGATTAAATAAAAAAAATATTGTATGCCTCCGTGGTCCAGTGATTTAACAAACCGTTATACTTCCGATGGTCGCGGGTTCGATTCCTAGCACGATGCATTCGTGATCATGATTATTTGTATCTTATATCGATTTGGGTATTTTCTATCAATGCATTTACAAAAATATATATTTAAGTATTTTTATCAGTTGTTCAGTCCCATTACACAAGCTCTGTTTAAGATTTGTGTGTGAAAAGTTAATAAAAATATGTATCATTAAATTACTTTTCAAGGGTTTAAATTTTGTACATTAATTTAATTTTTGTATTAATTGATATAAAATAATATACAGTTTACTATAAACATGAAAAATGTAGAAGATTAAAATTACATGAAGGTGACGAATTATATGACCACCTGTACTTACAGTTCCTCGTACTGTAGCGCCGTTTTGGCCATGTCAGTGATCTTAGCGTACAATACTTCGCCCACTTTGTACGACACCTCACCGATCATGAAGTAATCGTACCACCATTTGAGACGTTCGTATGCTTCCAGATACTACAAATAGAAATAATATTTATTCATATAAAACTAATATTTTTTATTCTACAACTTATTCGGAACGCAGACTCGTCACAAGAAGAATGAGCTAGAAACTTGGATGTTACTCTTTTTAATAGATGTTATTTAAAATAAATAATTACACAATAATAAGTAAGAGGCATGCGATAAACAACACAGAAACCGCTACTCACTCATTCTTAGTGCAAACAGATAATATTGTCAGCGCTATTAATTTTAAGACTTTTCTACTAAAACATTAACGTTTGAAAACTCTTCATTTTTATATGTTTTTTTTTATAAAGGAAGTATTTTATACGACATTTTAATCTTTTTTCATATAATACGAATAATTTTTTTTATAAATCAAAAAATATAGTTTTAAAGTTACTTATACTTCACGCACGTTATGGATTACAGTTGAAATTTTAGTATCTTTTAAAGTAAAATAATTATAACCAGTATGATTTTAGCTGCAAAAACTTAGATACATACATAGATAATTCGTTTAAAAATAAAATTTTATTAGTAACAATCACACAATTATAGGATGATGAAAGTATATATGGAACAGTACCTTATCTCTGACGTAGACAACTTGTTTAGTTTTGAGGAAAACTTCCCACGCGTTCTTAAATTCGGCATATAGTTGCATTAGTTCGTCTTTAAAAGGTATGTACTTCTCAATCTTCGCCCACACCACGTCGAACAGTTTCTTGCTGTACTTCTTTATGTTCGTAATAAGATCGTTGTTTATTATGTCTTTGTAGAACCTGAAAATATATTAGTTAAATAAAAAAGTCCTTTAGAATAGTTTATTTTAAAAATTGACACCGCTACAACGAGACAAGAAGTTTAACATTTCTCTAGAAAGTTCGTTTGTTTTATAATAGAACAAAAATACTTACTTGTCCATTTCGTGTCCAAATGCAGATACGTAATTGAAATAGGGGGAATCGGTCAGCTCCTGTGTTCGATTATAGAAGAAATCCATCAATCCTTTCCATATTGTTATAACAAACGACTCTGTATAATGTAGCACTTTGAAGAACAACGGTTCTATGGACTTGAGGAGCTCGTGCCAATATTTGGCCAACCTCGTGGTCGCATTAACCCACGTCTCTTCCCAATACTCCAACAACTTCATATGTATATCTCGTACCAAATTGTCGTACTGTAATATGATCGCTTCCAATCTATTTGAGACCAACTCCATGAAATCAGCCTCTAGGACGTTATTCACAGAATCCAAGAAGTTAGTATAAGCCTGTCTTATTGTATCTACAACGTAAGTGAGACTTTGTTTGATAGATTGACTCGTGTTACCCATCATTCCCCACATATCATTAACAATTCCGGGTAAACTTTCCAAGTGATTCCTTATAGCCATTTCATCGAGCATGTAGTATGTGAATTCGACGATATCTTTGACGTAAAAATCATTGTTTCCATAAGATTCGTTTAAAAATACCTGGAAGTCATCCAAGTCATCTTTTATGACGTGTAAGTCATTTAGGTCATCTAAAAATTCGCGAACTCTCGGTTTAGCGTCTCCCCATATATTTCTCAACGCTAAATGAGCTTCCATGGGCATTTCTTTAATGATCGTCAACGTCTCGTTGAATTGGCCATATAAACCTTTCAAGGTATAAACAAATGTTGATCTGATCTCGCTAAAGATCTCCGGACGCCATAGAACGGAGCTAGTGAGTAAACGGGAGTGATTCAGGCGGATGTAAGATGCTAGATCTACAGTGGTGACGTCATCGAAGTCACGCCATACGTCCAATTTTGCTGAACGGGTGTCTTCTATACGGCCTATCAAATGGTAGGATATATCTGGAAGGAAAGTATATATTTATTAACAATTTCTATAAATCAAGCTTATGTAAAAGACTATAAGAGAGAGAGAGATGAAATTATGTTATATATGCACTATACACCACAGAAATGATTTAGAGAAGATGTAAACTTTTAATTTTTTATATAATGGTGGTACGTAAGTTGTTTTGGGTCTATAGGTGCGCACGATCTTTCCCGTTCTCTCTATGTACATTTACATCTATATTCTTGTGTAAAATCATATATACGCGTGACAGAACGTACGTATAAAGGTAGTTAATGCCTGGTACGGGTATATATTTTTTTCAATGGTTGATAACGGATTAGTGTGCTAACGCTTTACGCTGGCGGGGTACCAGTGGAGGATAATAAGATGAATACGAAGTCAGGTTAGTTAGACTTTCGTGTTACGTGTGGTGAGGAAGATAGGGATCGTTGGCAACGTGGACTAATAATCCCATTGCTAGCAATGTACTATATCTGACCTCCGCTTGGTTTCCTCTGGAAACCGTCGTGATAAATTCATGGTGAGTTTACCACGATGGGCTAACTGACCTGACCTCATACTCATCTTATCGTCCTATCTAGGCGGGTGCACCTTTCCATTATCAATCGTAAGACATGTACCGGTGTATCAGTGCCCTTGGAAAGTGCATCTTGGAAAAAGGTCAGCTCAAATTAAATTAGATTAAATAGATTTATTGGTGGCGGAGCGAGATCCCTCCGCTGCGTCTCGATTCGTTACGCGACTCTGCAGATACGGCCTTAATTATTGTTATTCGATTCGGAATACTGCTGGAAAGGCATGTAAGGTGTGGTAGGTACCGTCGGAGGAGTTGTAGTGCGCGACGAGCTCTCGTTGGAGCAGCGAGAGCGTGGCGAGCCCGGAGTCGGGCCCGGCGGGGCGCTCGGCCGCCAGCGCGGCGCGGTACACCGGGTAGGCCAGCTCCCACGTGCCGTTCGCCTTGTAGAAGTACGTCTCGTTGGCGCGCTGCACACATTACATATTATACTATTAGACCCCTGCCCTAACTGGACGTTGACGGGTGTAAACATTTTTACGTGTCAGTTATCGACCGCCGATTTGAAAATTATTAAAGTACCGTTATACTTCAAGACAAATAAAGCAGTAATTAATTAGTAGAAGCTTATTTTGCAGGAGCTACTAAAACACATTGGTGTTACGTGAAAGACTTCCTTACCGGGAGTATTCATAATCTACAATAAGTATTAATACTGCTATTAAAAATAGGGGTTGATAGTACAAGAGTGAAATTTTTGAGTTGTTTGTATTGGTTAGAACTTTTAATGCCGAATCATTAAAAATATTAAAATAAAAAAGATTGTCGAAAAAATGAAAAAATAAATTTTGGAACACACTTAAGAGGTATAAAATTAAATGAGAATAACATGGTATACTCAGTCTACAACAATAATTATCGCAATGTACTGTAACCATTTATCTTGTAAACCGTAAACTTGTTTGATACTCCAAATGATACAGCTTCTTGAAGTAGTTAAATTTAATTCTGTATTCAGATTAGACATAGCAAGGATTCTCAAATATGATTCTTGACATTTAATTCTGAAATTATAGTTTGAGAATCATATGTGCAATTAATGCATAGTTATACCTTAATCCATTGTAATAAAAAAACATACACTTACCTCCCAATTAATAGCGTTCTTGTTCAAATCTACCAACAATCTATTTTTCCGCATTTTCTCAAAGAAGAGCGACTTCTGGAACCTGTAGTAGTTGTTGAAGAGATACCATTTGCTATGTATGTTGACGTCACTCTTCATATCCAAGTCCAAGTTAGTGGATGGATGAGTACACTTGAGTGCAAATTTATAGTCTCTGATAGGACCGATAGAGTTGTCCGTGAGTATAGATTTGAAATTTAAATATTCCTTCTCGTAGTCAGAATACTGCAGTTCGAATGATATGTTTGACATGACAGTCGGTGTGCTCATGTAATCACCTTTTAAGGTTACATCCTGTGGGTAGATTAAGTAATAGATTAATCATACATAACGACTAACCGTATTTGTATACTTCCGAGAGTTGTGGCTTAGTAGTTAATACTTCAACTTATACCGAAAGGTCGAATTCAGGTAAAATATACAAGTTTACCTGAAGGCTATACACATACCTTACTAAAAGACGGATGCGAGAGGGAGAGATCTACATTATGTAGACTTCCCCCCGAGAAGGGCGGGTTCTGCCAGCGTCCCTTGATGAGCGCGGACTTGTTCTCCTGCTTCACGTCCCAGCTGAGCTCCGCGCGTCCATCCAACAGAGTATCCTGCAGACTGTACACTGCGTCCAACTTGTAGGTACGCAACGGGTACCACACGTTCATGATAATTTTCTGAGACTCTGTCTCGACCTGTTATATAACAATTAAGTGTCGTAATTGGGCTGATAAAGGGATATAAATTCACGTGTAAATGAATGGGGAATGGGTAGTTTTTATAGTAACGAGGCAATAGTGGACGACGAAAAAGTGAACAAGAGGTCAGGTCAGTTAACCTACTGTAGTTAAAAGACCAGGATAGTTATCAGGGGGAACTGAGTGGAGGTCTACCTAATATAGTACATTGCTATCAATAGTGTCATTAGTTATGTGCTACTAACAATCCCTTTCCCCCAGATGGGAGGTGTATTGAGAACATATACTATAATTAAAAAAGATATTACCTGGGGGAAATATAATGATAAATATCGAATAAATGATCCCCGCACCTTCGACTGCATCAGCAGACTAAGTGCGCGAGTCATTTTTTTTTAATATAATTAAGCGGTACGTTTCTCATACATACAGAGCTCAGTATGTCTACTGTATGCTTACTTTATTTTACAGGCAAAATTTATGTCCTTGACTAATTGCATGTATTGCTGATTATATTATATAACTCACCGTAGTCATATTAGTGACGTGTATATGATAATTGAGCCACACATCATCCGCCCACTTCACTTTGCTGCCTTGTTTCAGTTCCTTATCAGCCGACTCATATTCGTTCTCGAATGTCCAGGTTCTGTTCCCATGCATTGCCGTCAGTTTCAAATTCTTCCCAACGTCGTACGTGAACACATCGAATTTGCAGGTTACGTTCAATTTCGTAGCATTCTTTAGGTGAAATACTGTCGCTTGTTTTACATCCTAAGAAAAAATATATAACATTATTATTCATATAGCTTAATTACTCAAGATACTCGAGCACATCATAACTTGTTTAGATATTTATATATATACATACATTTTTAGGTACACCTACTAAAACTCAAAAAACAGTTAGACTGAATTTGTTTTATTTTGTTTTGATCATCACAATAAAAACAAGTCACTAAATCTTTATCGTCCAGGTAAACACAAAATAATAATTCGAATTTATGGAAATGGGTACTTCGGTGTAACAAATGTAAAAGATTGTCTATGATACGAAATTCAAAAGTATCTCAAGAAATATAACTGCATGCAATTAGATCTTTAGTTCGTCTTTGATCTGTCAGAAACAAAATAAATAAAAAAAATGCTTACAGTATTCCCAGTGTCGTCAAATTCATGGATATATTTTACTCCCATTGGTGTGTGTTCATTCTCTACTTCTATATTTGTTGTCGATAAATTCAAGTTCCTCTCACTCTTACTGAGTATCTGATCAAACGATACTTTCACAAATCGCTCCCGATCGAGATCCACTGTTGCATTTCCATTGCTCGTTTTCTCATCTTGTATATAATAATATTCCGTGTTAACAAGATGTTGGGTTTTCAATGGTAGCGAAAGTGATATTTCACCCGTTTGTGTGAAGCCATTTTCTTGATTTGTATGTACATGGCTGGCGTTTACAGAAGCTGTTTTGTTCGTCCAGAACAATTCCACTTTATTGTCCGAATGATCTTCTAGATTATTTATCTGTAAATATTTACAGTAAATAAAGTTATATTTTCATGTTAAGAGTATGGAATGGGTCAGGCCTTTTGATTTATTACTCTATATATATGGAAGAATTGTGTTTCTGCCGGAGCTAATGGTATGCTCTGGTGAGGTATCAGTAAAGGATGATATAAAGTTGATATTAGCCCACTGGCTGATTGTCTAGCAATATTTAAATTCATGCACAACAAAATAACAACTACGAATTTTTACTCTATTGCCTCTAAATCTGAGATTTCATTCATAAGCGAATAAACACGAAATTAATTGGCGTTTCATATATCACCCTCCAGCAATGGTATTTCCGAACGAATACCATAGTGAAACCTAGAGCTTATTCCTATACCGCAATTCCCTTGGAGTTGCAAGTGTGCAACTCGGTTGTCCTCTGTACTATAAAAAATATACAAGTACTTACATTGAAAATTGACTTAAGCCAGGGCAGCCTCTGGAAGGGTGTAGACACATTAAAGTGTCCGTCTGTATGTTTCATACCACCGTAACGTAGGTCCAGTTCGCCGATTCTATTCCGCCCTGGACGATGTGTGTGCCCCCTTGAAAGAATGGTTGATAAATCAGATAACTATACTAGTATATGATGTAGTATACACTTGGTCAATCTATGAACATGTGTATTAAAATTATGCAAAAATATATATGCATTTTAAAGACAAAGTAGATAATATAAACTACTGGAGAGGAAATAAATTCAAATTCTCTATTGTGTATGCCTATAACTATATATGAAAAAAGGGTTTTAATAGGGTTGAAAAGGAGGATGAAAGTTTGTATGGAAGTATTGTCATTTTTAAACCAAGAAGCCTGAAACCTATTTTTTAGGCTATTGATTAAATATAAGTAAATATGCCATTAAAAGTTTTTAAAAATGGAGTAAAAGAAAATATGGGATAAATAGGAGATGAAAATTTACATGGATTTATATTTATATTCAATATAAATCCATGTAATGAAAAAATGACGATTCTTTTTTCGGTTAGATTATAGACTATTTTTTCCTTACTTAGTGAAGGCCACGCGGACGAAGTCGCGGGCACTGTTAGTTTCAGTTATATGTAAATTTGTCTTAAGTAAAGTAAACATACTTGACAATTTGGTAGCCATGAATCAGATCCTTCTGATAGCTTCCTGTCAATTTGAAGGTGTCATCTGTTTCGTATACTGGCGTTTTCAGTGTGTAGTCTATGAAATGTGACCCTTTGTCGTCCCATTGGTATAGGAGTAGATTGTCCACGCTCTTGTATTGAGAGTTTTGTGTCCAGGTTACTGTTGAGTTCGTGTCGAAGCTCGTAGGTAGCATTAGTACCTGGATAAAATGATAAAATAATAATATCCGTGGACATGTCACAAAGCCATTTAGTCCCAGCCTAAACAGTGTTTGTGTCGGGTACTAGTTCAAATAAGTAAGTAAGTACTTCAAATTATATTAAAATTTTAGGTTTTATCTAATTTCAATGTTTCACATAAAATTCGAGGTTATGTGAAAAAAGTCTTAATACAAATGTTGTAAATATTTTCATTACCTACTACTTTGCCATTTAACTTTTTTCAGCTCTGGTGAATTCTTACCATTCCTTTGATAGCGTTTACGATCTTGGTGACGTCAGTCTTATAGACAGCATCGAGTGTCCGCAGTGGTTTGTCTTCAGAGCCGAGGTCTCCGTCCACTCGTAGAGTATGCACGTCGACGTTAGGGCGCGGCAGGATCGCGTTGATGATCAGACTCACGCGCTTGTTCATTACGTAACCGAATGATGCGTTTGCGCCGATCCTACAATACATAAGTTATGTACATTGAATTTTGCCTCAATATTAGAGAATATAATTTAGTAGAGAATAAACACTTTTAAATTAAGCATATTTTAAACATCTCCAGTTGACTTATAAAATTCGTGAATTGTTAAATATGATTTTTATAGCAATTATCCCATTTTTATAATAACTAAAGAATGCGTAGTAAAGCTTAGACTGCATACTTACAGCCAGACACGGTCGAGGTCCATTCTGAAGCCAGCGTCTGTTTTATCGAGACCATCGCGCGTGCTGTTGCCGAAGTAGATATCCAAGTCCACACTGCGATTCGTTTGACGCACTTGCTGGTGACCTATCGACTACAAAATAAGGTTAATTTTTAAATTGGCTATTTAGCGACACTATATTCGGCATGCATTATAAAATTCCATTTAATATTTGAAGTATAAAAGTCCATTTAATAATTTAAAAAAATGTTCATTTGGGCGTGTCATTTATATTGTAAATGGGATAACAGACGGACGGACAAAGAGTGTAAATAAGAGTTTTTTTTTAATATAGCTTGGTACATAAATCACTTACCCACGACATGTAGGTACAAATTTACGCATAAAGTCTCAATATGTGGAGTGTGTACCCTATAGAGTACACCCTATCCTATAGTTACCATTAAGTACTTTTTCAGTTCGGAATTTTATAAACAAGATCATTTAATACGTACCTTTATGAAGAGATCTCCTATTAAGAAGCTCCATTTGAGATCTCCGTCTCCCTTCATATCTGGTAATTTGTAGTTCGCTAGGAGATAGCCGGTCTTTGGGCCGAATCTAAATATAAGCTCGGTTATTAGGAATAGTGACTATTGAGCTGAGTAATCTGTTAGAGATAAAAAGGCAGTTTTCTAATTTACCCCTATTTTCTTAAAAATCCCAAGCATGTCATAAACCCATAAACTTTTTATAGTTATTGAAAAGTGATGGTCTAACCTCATCATTAATTTTTAATATTTGAAAGACAGTGACAAAACAATGTGAGCTAAAATAAGTTTGTAGTAGGTTTTAATTTTTATGAATAAGGGGATTTTGTTTCATGACAATTATTGTGCCAATGTAAATGAATGTTTGAATACAAGTAAGTATTCGTTTTTTTGGCTACTCTGTATTAGAGCAGATAGACATAAAAGATAAATAATATTTATTTATTTACATCATACCAAGTGAGCTTTTATTACTACTAATAAATAGTAAAAATATTAATAAATATAAATAAATTATATCAGATCCCATCTTTGCTCACATATTTTACAACAAATTTATATTTTATGATTATATTATAAGTGTATTAAAGAGTATAATCATAGATTTAATAATAATATTTCAGAGTTGAAATTTCACATAACAACGTTTACAAACTACTAATACGACTTCTTTACACAACATACAAAGATATTTTTATTACCTTATCTTTTAATTTCATTCTTAAATAAATATTTAGGAAATGGGGGCATAACGGAATGTGAAGAATATAAGATATTCGAGTTGTCAGTCTGTGGAAGACACTAAAGGTAAGAAAGTGTATACTGACAGGAAGTCGAGGTCGGTGTGGAAGTACTTGAGACGCGGCAGCGGCGTGGCGGCCTGCACCCGCACCGTGCGCCGCAGCCCCCGCAGCGCCTCCACGCGGGACTTCACGCTCACCTCGCCGCCAGGCAGCTGCGGCGACTCCACCTGCACACGACGGCACCTTCATCATCACCACGCTTTATAGCCGACTATCTGCTTTTTACCACGACACATTCCCGCGCGATTTAGCAGATTTCATCACCCTCACCATCCCCACTCATAATAGACAATAGCTGCCTTTACACGACACGTTCACGCGCGATTCAGCAGATTTAGCAAGTAGCCAGCGCGTGCAATCTTGAGGGATTGGATTTAACTATTTGTTTCGTTCAGTCTTTCGTGCGTGTTTGCGTGTAAAATTTATGTTATTAAATTTTCTTTTAAAATTATACTCATCAGATTTTAAATCGAATCAAATCAAATTTATTTGTGTATTTAAATACAACGTGTTTTACAAAGACACGTTTAAAATTTATAAATTATCAATAACTTTAAAATATTTCTATTCCGTAGTCAGATGTGCGCCATTATATAATGATAATTTATATTAAAAAAAGGGATAAAGCACACAATATCGAAGAACGCAGGAAGGAACGAGATAGCGGCGCGCGCATTATTTGCTTCCTGAAAGCCTATTCGCGTGTGAAAATGCGTACGTATAAGCTGCCTAGTTTATTGCTTTTAATCATAATTGAACATTTTTATTTTTCTTTGTCTATTCATATTGTAAGCATTTAAAATTAAAACAGTTATAAAAGATTTTGATGAAAATTTGGTAAAACTATATATATGTAGATCATTTATACCGGCTTCAGCTTTGTATCTTTCAACATATAGAGATATATAACGTTTAAAAAGTAACTAATATGGAAATGAAATGGATTGTAATATAAAAAAAACTAACTTTAAAGTTAATATCAGTGAAGTTGGTTTCCATTTCAGCTTTAGCGCGCACGGTGGCTTGTACGGCGCCGGACAGCTGTGCGGTTATTCCGTATACGGTCGTGCTGGATTCGAATTTCATACGGGCGTTTATTACTTCGCCTTGGTCCTTAGGCACTAGAGTTACAACCATCTGTAAAAGAAAATTTGAAGAAATTAGATACAACCAGCTAGGATTTTGTCTCTTTTCGTTATTGCATACATAATGTCATATTCAATAATTGTGTTATTCATGAAGGTTGACGATTAAGTCTGTTACATACAAGTATTTTGGTAATGGTTATAGGCGGTTGTTAGTGAAAGTATTGGTATTTATTATGATTTCCAGTCATTCTTTATAAACTTTTATATATCATTAGTTCTGTTTCCCTAATCTGCTCGATATATTGTCTTAGCATTTTCCTCTACTCTTTTCATTCAATAATAACCTTAATAAGTACATCATTCCGTGACAAGTGTTCTTATTTATTCGATCTCTTCAAACCAGTATAGAACATATTAACTTTTAAATCCATTCAGTATTAACTATTAGATAGCAAAATGAAACAACAATACTTAGTAAAGAATTAAAGGCAATAAACATAAAGAATATGTTACTCACTTCCAGAGGATCTCGTTTTGTTACGTTTCCAGAGATGGCGTATTCAGTGCCGTCAGTCACCAGCGAACCTCGAATGTTTTCTGCCTCGAATTCACCGACTAGTTTCATAACCCTGTGAATACAAGTCCAAAATCTTGTTCATAATCAGATATTGTATAAAGTAGTCTACGTACCCACAAAGGGAACTTTACACCTTATTTTCGCCTACTTTAGTCTTCTAGCAGTTTGCTTTGTTCCGTTTTCGGTTAAAGAGGATGTTGACATAAGGGAGTAAAATTGACAAAAGGACAAGAGGCATAAAAGTTTAGTGGAATGGCAACGCAAGAGCGATAGTTCGGGCGTCAAATGATAATGTGACGTTCGTTGTGTTCATGTATATTTATCACTTACCATCAGGCGAGCCGTAAGCGAATGAAATGTCATTAGTGGACATTTAGGGGACATTTATAGTGACTAATTTAAGCCGGACATGGTTTTACTGGAGTGATTAGTCTAAATAAGGCAGATCGTATCCGAGTAACGGGTCTAAGGCTCGGGTCTCACCGAGTGAGAGATCTAATTAGAGGGAGTGACCGACCTGAACCCGTCGTCCGGGCTAGTGAGTGCGAGCGAGACGGTAGAGGGCCGCCGGTCGGTCCGCACGGAGTAGTAGGTGTCTGCGGCGGCGAAGTAAGTAGAGGGAGAGACCGACCTGAACCCGTCGTGCGGGCTGGTGAGTGCGAGCGAGACGGCGGAGGGCCGCTGGTCGGCCCGCACGGAGTAGTAGGCGTCTGCGGCGGCGAAGTAAGTAGAGGGAGAGACCGACCTGAACCCGTCGTGCGGGCTGGTGAGTGCGAGCGAGACGGCGGAGGGCCGCTGGTCGGCCCGCACGGAGTAGTAGGCGTCTGCGGCGGCGAAGTAAGTAGAGGGAGAGACCGACCTGAACCCGTCGTGCGGGCTGGTGAGTGCGAGCGAGACGGCGGAGGGCCGCTGGTCGGCCCGCACGGAGTAGTAGGCGTCTGCGGCGGCGAAGTAAGTAGAGGGAGAGACCGACCTGAACCCGTCGTGCGGGCTGGTGAGTGCGAGCGAGACGGCGGAGGGCCGCTGGTCGGCCCGCACGGAGTAGTAGGTGTCTGCGGCGGCGAAGTCTGCCGCCAGCGTGCGGTGTCCGGCCTCGTGTCCGTACTCGACGGCCAGCGTGGCGGCCGGCAGCAGCCCCGCTAGCGCGCCGCGCGACTTCACGCGCACCGTCCGCGCCGGCGGCGGCCGCCACGACACGTCCGCGAACAGCTGCGCGCACACCTTATGTACTACGGGATCCGTGTCAGTGGGAATAATGGCTACGTTGCTACTAAAATAATGTTCATTTCCACTGCGCGCACACGCTATGTACTAAGGGGTCGCTGCCAGTGGGGACTACGGCTATGTTATGGCTATGTTAATATCCATGTAATGCATAATTTCACTGCGTCCACATGCTCTGTACTACGAAGTCATTAGCGTAGCCATTACTACGTAGGTATAAAATAAAAATAACCGTTTTTATAAGAACATTTGCTGAAACAAATGTTACTAGAGTACTTACATAGTTATCCTGGTCGCCCTGATGCACATGTATACCGCCACCGACAGAGTTCTCACTCTCGCCGAAGTCCTTACGGAACTCCATCTTGATGAAGTAGTCGTCCAGGTATGGAGAAGTTAGATTCAAGCTGCCTGACGTCTCCACGAAAGGATCATCCAACTAGACATTAATCATACACGTAGTATTATTAATTAATAATATAAACGCGAAAGTTTGTGAATATGGATGTTTGTTACTCTTTCACGCAAAAACTACTGAACGGATTTTGATGAAACTTTATAGTAATATAGCATATATATCAGAATAACATATAGACTATAAATTTCAAGCGGGTGAAACCGTGGCCACAGCTAGTATACTATAATATATATTGACAGCCTCGGTAGTCTAGCAGTTTAGCATACCGCTTTACTTCCGATGGTCACGAAATTAAGGAATCAATCAAAAGGTACAAAGATTTGTATTCATGGGTATAATTGTTTGTATCGTTCTCGATATTCTCTAACTATATTATACACTTACAAAAAAAGTATCAAGTATTTATATCAGCTCTGCTTACCTTGAAACTAGATGGCGCTGTGTGAATTGTTCAGAGATATTATTATTGCTGTCATTCATATTCATAAATAAGATAAAGGCCAGCACGATATCATATGATGCCCGTAGTAAGTCTCATGTATTGCCATACCGAAGAAATAAGATTTTATGCAATTTTACTGCCAAATATAAACCGGAATGTAGTAAAACCGATATGCTCATGTAGGCGAATTTGAACAAAGTCAAATCTCTGTAAATAAATTACTCACCTCGAGTCTTGCAATAGCGGTCACGACAAACGAAGGCATGGCAATATCGGCTGACATCTTCCAAAGTGCATCTTCGAGTCGAGCCGATACTTTAGCGTCCAATTCAGGCAGTACGGCCAAAGGCGTTACTATATCAACTGAGGCCAAGTAGGATTGGTAGGTGTCGTCCTCACCACACTCGTATTCGTAAAATAATTTGTATGATATCTGGAATATACACATGAAATTTAATGTATTATAAGTAATTGTATTGTAGAAAAGAAATTAATGAGTTAAGCGTGATTGGATGGTCAACAAAGACAATTTTCCGAAAAACAAAAAGTCCTTTGTAGCTTACAGAATAAAATAGAATAGAATAGAAAATTTATTCAAATAAACTTAATTTAAGCACTTTTGAATAATCAACAAATTATTGTATGTGATATATATTGTATATAATATATTTCAAAGAACGCTGAGTGACGACTCTGTAAGTATTCTAGAGTTGATGGATATTAGTGGCTGCATACCTACGTTCAATAAACCATAAATAGCATGACGATAATAATAAAGAAGCTAAAGAAACAGGTAAAATTAAAAGTCATAAAGTTACGTTTCATTTACATTACTTTACAAGTATTTTATGTCGCTTAATATTTCCAGTAAGAATTATATTTATATATGACAATCAAAAGATATTTCACATTTTACACATCTATACATATTATAGAACAGAATCTCCCTGTCTATCTGTATGCGTGCGATAATCTCAAAAGTGAACGCATTCTTAGGCAGTTTTCATACATCTCACTTCATATATTTAGGTGTAGAATTCGTTAAGGTTTTATGTACATTTGAAGAAAAAATCGGATCTTATATAAATATAAAGTATGCATACCTCGTGCCAATAAGTCCCGTTGTACAATAGAGCCATACAGGAGACGTTGATTTTCTCGCCTATAGTTATGTCGACAGTGTATACCGATTTCAATTCCTTTATCGCTTGGAACGGCGTCTCTAAGTGCAGCGTGTTCCTCATTACCGTAAATGTCTGTTGATGTTTAAACAAATGTAATGTCCAATTTATTTTTTACTAAATAACGTAAGATAGGAATGGTAAAGATCCTTGTCGTTTAATATTTCTGCATAAATATACCTTTTCAGTTTTTAGGCAGTAGAATGGAATACCTCATCGTTTTCGCAGTTAGTTTTTTTTTTAATTATAATCTGTGACCTTAGTGGGAAGATTGTGATATGTTTATACTTACTTCTAGGACGAACTCGTCAGTAAGAACTATAGCTTGTCCTTCAGGCAAATACAGAGTAGCGTTCGCCTTCATTATATCTTCTTCATCGGGGCCCACAAACTAAAAAAAATTAACAAGTCGTTCAAAATAAATAGTACATAATATAATTTTCATTTTCCTCATATTCATCCTCTGAAATTACCACCATCTTACTTCACATGGTCGCGGGTTTAATTCCTCGCATTGCTTGTAGATATTTGTAATCATAAGTTTGATTGTATTGGTCTGTGTGTTTCTTATGTATATTATGTATTTAAAAAAAAAATCCGTTGTCAGTACCACTAAAACAAGCTCTGCTTAGCTCGAGACTAGATAGCATTGTGTAAATTGTCTCAGGTTACTACTATTATGATTAGTCATTCTAACGGATCATTCTAGAAATTCTTACCTTCATGAGATGTGCGTGGAATGTAACGGTAGGGTAGTATATAGTGTCGACGGTAACTCTGGCAGTCGTATCAAAGTCCTCCAGCAGCGTGTCGGTGTTCTTCATGCCATTTTTGAACTTATCCTGAACCACTTCTATTACACCCTTGCCTTTATCGACTAGTAGTATCGCAATGCCGAACTGTAAAATCATATGATAATTATTAAATATTTGTTTTTTAACCCTGAATAAAATATGATGCACAAGGCTTCTTTTTGACATCGCACCGCTCGTCATTGATTCCCTGTCAATGGCGAGCGGTGATTCATCCTCACACGCTGGAACTCAAGTGGTCCCGGACAGTGCGGTTTCAGAGAAGCTCCTCCCAAACTTATCAGCTGTTTATGAGTTACATACGTTTTTTTTTTAATTAAAAATTCCTTTATAGGTGAATTCTGATTTTGTTAAAGGAACTTTGTATTTTTACGCGATTCCAATTCCGAATCGATTTGTTGTCGAAAGAGACTCTTAAATTAGTTAGTAAGAGAAAATTGGTGTGTATTAACACGCTAATTTTGAGAAGATAATCTTTGTAATTATGTAACAAAATCTTAAATATTTTTTTCCTGTTACCTACCTTATGTTTAGACAGTCGCAACGACAGTTCAGTATCTAAACCATTTCCATATACATTCTTAAGTACTAGACCATTTTCTTCAAAGCCTTCCAGTGGTGAATATAATTTGTATACATAAACAAAGTTAATAGGTGAATGGTACTGCCATATGCCTGTGAAGCCAAAGTCCATTTTGTCCCAGCCCACTCTAAAGTCGAGCTGTGGGAAATATTAGGAACACGTTTACATACTATATTAACATTTTATAATACTTATTCATTAGATCCTCATGGCTAAATTACCAGTAAGTGCTACTGGTAATTTAGTCAAATTAAGGAAATGTTTTTTTTTAATTAAAAAGAACTGCTTCTTACTTATTGCTTCACAAAGTCACAATAAAGAACAATTTCAATTATATATTACTTTCTTAACTATATTAAAATAGTGTATTAAGTATCATTACAAGGCTGGGTTTTTCTTCGTAAGAATAGGGTTCTATTATTACGAAGGCCGTCAAACGGTTAGGTACAGAGTTTTATTTTTACATTAACTTACTTTTCTTGTCTTGTTCTTGTGTTGATGAGCGGGTAGCGTATGTGAGTATTTTCAAGAAATTACAAGTTTTCTATATAATGAGACTAAAGCATATTACTGCACAGAACACACATTGAAGAAAACAAAGCATTCATCTCATCGATACCATAGATACATTGAACATTATGTGTGTAATTAGTACGTACCTCGTCAGGACCTCGTTTGGCTGTTACAATGGCTCGGTTGAGGTACTGTATAGGGAGCGCTACATGTCCGAAGATGTGGAAGTCTTGCAACGTGTTCAACTTCAAAAGAGTTTCAAAACCTGATGACATGAATCATTACTTAATTTAAAAGAAACATAATCCAAAACTTCCATACGAATTGTATATTTGGCATAAAGAAAAACATAGTGCAGTAACTGTAAATTTGACATGGTAACTGAATGATTATATGGAACAAAACAGTATGTTTTTTGTATATATCTACTGGTATTACTCTTATAGATTCAATACATACCAGTAGTAGAGTTGGGTGTGACTACCATTGCCACAAGATGGCGGTCGGCTTCTACGAACCCGATCCTTGCCGTCATCTGCGACACATCAGTAACGGGACTCGTCACGTTCACCACCAGCATGCAGTTGGTGATGCGGCGCATGCGTCCTGCGGGAAGAAGGGGAGAATACAAGGATACAATAAGTAAGATTGTAAGTTCTTTCCAACTGACTTCTAAAAAGAGCTGAATAAAAATTTGCCAAGTTGCATCGATCACTCAGTGATTTTATTTATTAGATAGAAAACGAAACCTGAAAAGAAACGACGAGGATATTCTCTTGTATGAGGTGTATTTCAAGGGTCTAATCTTGGTACCTTTTATTTGTACTTTATATTAATAATCTTCTTGCAATGCAGGATATATACGATATATTGCTTGCAGATAATTTATTTGAAATTCTAATAGTCACTTATGGAGTAATTGCATTTGTAACTACAGATTATGACGATGTAAATAGTGCGTTGCTGTTTACCCCCTAATAATCTAACTATGAATGCAGATATCTAAATCTGTTTATATTTTCATTATGATCTATTATAAAGAACAGCAGTTAAGATTCACCTTAGCGCTCACATGAACTGACCAGTATGCATACATACTATTATGTTTGTGTTCCTTCAGCATAAGTAAAGAGACCTTTTTGCGATACATGTCTAATAATAGGCTAACTCACCTATATACAACAAAGTAAGAAACAAAATAAAATAACAATCAGTTTAATATTTTCATTTTTTTACAATAGCTCCATCCATATCCATAATTGGAGGTTTTATGTAATCGTCCAAATACATACCATCAACATAAATTTTGAGCACTTTTTCTTCTAAATCTAAATATGTGATGCCTTTTATATCTCGTTTGTTGCCTAATAGGAACTCTGTCATGAGATATCCTTTGGTGTAGCCCTGAAAATAATTTAATTAGAAAAATAAACTTAAATAAAATATTTTGCTCGAGACATTAAAATGCATAAGAATTTTATGATGACAAGCATATTACTACTCTACTATATCTTGTTACTATAAGGTCTGCATTTAAATCAACAGTAGGTATTGTATGTTTACAGAAGAATAAAGAAAAAGAAAATTCTTGTTATTCTCAAAAATTAATTAAAACGAACATAATTGTAAATACTGCACAATAGTGGGTTTTATATGCAATATATAAGTTTATTCTTTATATTATACGTATTACTTCAAAATGAATAAATAAGAATATAATTTATATAAGCTTAAAGAAAACTTTACGGTATTCATATTTCTAGTTGAAATTGAGACGAGAGTTTCATGCTGGCTGGCTGGCTTAGTTGTCTCAATAAAAATTTAATATTTTTTTTTTAAATAATATTCATTTACTTACCGTGAATGGGGTCAGTAATGTAACTCTGCCTGTGATATTAGTTTGTGTATTAGCCCTATTCAGTAGCCATGATGAATTTATCATAAGCAGACCTTCCTCATTATACTGTAACAATTACAGGGAATAGTCAACAATTAATAGTCAATTTACAGGGAACATCTGTGTTCAATTTTTTTTTTTTAATAATTTGAATAGAATAGAAACTAACCGCCGATGGTAAGCGGTAACAATCGCCAATATACATGAATAGATAGTACTATGGATATCATATATTACGTTGTTTCACCCGTGTGGTATCACGGAACATATGTTGCCATTTTAGAGAACTGTCATGCCTGTTAGCCTGTTATATCATTTTTTAATCTGCACCCAAAACACTCTCTACCAAGTAATCAGCTTGGTATCTAAAATAAATAAGACTGAGGTGCCAAAGACTTTTTTAATATGTAATAATAAAGTATATTTATATACTACATACTATGTTAGGTCTACTGAATCCTCTAGTATCTTTAGATTTCTCCTAGAAAGACTTTCACCTCACTTGACATTTTCTTTTATTTAATAATAATAAATGGTATCTCTTCATGAATCCGAGAGCGATTCTCAAGCGTAGATATCTTGGTGAACGCAACCCAAGACATACCCATATTTCGCTCAGTATATTAGAATTTAATGTGACAGAACGCGAGCATATAGCCGGCTTTTTAATGTATTATTATTTAAGTAAAGTCAAATACTAATATTGCATTTGTGGTTTTTAGAATGTGCAGAAGATAATAAAGTGATATAAAGTACAATTCATTTGTGAAAAAAGTCAAATTAACTTACTTGAAAACTGAGAAGGGTATCTGCACTCTTTTTCCATACAACTCGATGTCTCGCTATGGCGGCGGCTCGCGGCAAAGTCGGTATAGTCGAATTCACGATTGCATTTATTTCGCCGTAGAATTCGTTCGACTTGAACAAGTAGTCGGCGAGTAGACTAAACGCGAGATAGTCTTCTTGCCAATTCATACTTCCATTTATTGCTTGTAAGTTATCTTGGTAGCGCCACCTACATTAATATGAAGATGTTTCAATGTGATTTTGAAACGCAACAAAAAATGTTCCCTTGTGAAAAATTGCCCTGTCATCAACATGCTTGCCCAGTATCATGATTTATAGAACCAACAATCAGATTATGCATTTTTGGTTCTTCACCCAACCCAATGAATATTACCAAAATGTGTAGAAATCAGTACAAACAGCCTAGATATGTTTAACTGTACAAAGCTAACCCACATGTATCAAGTTTTATACATTTTGCCGCGACATGTGTGTTTCGGTTTAAAAAGTCAAACTATACTGGCTGTTTTCTCTCTGATACACTAATATCGAAGTGGGATCCCTATTATTTTCGTGTATCAGATACGGCATAAAGGATATAAGATAGGATAAGGATATAAGATACGGCAGTGTAAAAGAGAACTTCCTAATCGGCAGTTCTATTTAGTCGTAATATAGAATACCAGTGGTAAAAACGTCTTTTAAGGTATAAGATAAACATAGCTTCAAGTAATTTAAAAATGTGTTTCAAACTAACATCTCATTAAATGAATAATGTAGAATTTCAAAGCATGTTTTATAGGCATACACAATGGTGAAACTATGGTCTAAATGTACGTTGAAAAGACTTAAAATATTCATAGAGCAAGATAAAACTCAAGTAGGCCCACTACGTACAATAAAAGTGAAGCCGCCAAACCATGCTCAAAACAAATAAATACCCGTTTAGCAGATATTAGCGACCAGATTCATGCTCATATTCACAAGCAATATACAATCATGTATTTTTAATACAAACGTGTTGCCAGAGTAAAGTTTTTGAAATTACCTCATATCGCTAAAAATAAATATTAATTCATTAAAAATATGAAGAATAAAAACATTAATTCAATTAAATATTTTAGATTTTTAAATCCAATTAATAAAATCAAAAAGTGGCAACACTTCCCTGACAAATTTTGAAACAATTGGCTTCACTCATATCGTAGGTACGTAGTGTTCCGTCTTGAGTGTTCTCTCGGTCCACGTGCACGAGCGGCGATTTTTCGAACTACTCTAACGCTGTCGGCCGAGGTAGGCCTTCACAGCAGCGGACGAGAAGCGAACGCGGGCATAGATAGGAGTGTCGCGTGCGGTACTGACATGAGGTTGAAGCCGGTGTCCTTCCAGCCGGGGAGCGGCGTGTCGAGGTGCGAGAGGAGGGCGTACACGGTGGGCCCGCCGTCCCGCGCCTCCGAGTACGCGCGCAGCCTCCACGCCGCCCGCGCGCCGCCGCCCCACCCCACGCTCGCACTCCACGCGCACTCCCAGTCTGCGGGCCACAACCTCACAATACCGGCCCGAAGCGAATCGTCACCGATGTGGACTGATGCCCATCGCTAGCGATGTACCGTGTCAGGATGATCCCCACGCGGTTCCCCCTGGAAACCGTCGTGATAAATTCCTGGTGAATTTACCACTATGGGCTAACTGACCTGACCTCGTGCTCATCCTATCATCCTTCACTGGTGCCCCGTCAGCTTAAACCTTTGCGCAGGCCGGTGAATCATATACCATTATCATTCGTTAAAATTACCTCACAATGCCACTCTTTTTTTAGAAGTGTAATTTCTATATAGATAGTTGAAGGGGTAAACGATATATCGCATTGTCCGTTGAAATTTCACTTCTACTATGTGTCCCCGCACGTATTCCTTTTTTTATCTTATGTGTTTCTTTTCTGTTATGTTTAATTTTTCATCAATAGATTTTATACTTCAGCGCGATTTGTTACGGTAAAAGTTTTAATTGATATTTTTTTTAGAGGGGATGACTACGTTACACGTTACGCTTAGGTAGGCGTAACGTAGCCATCATACTTCATATTTTTTTTATACTACGACATTGGTAAACAAGCATACAGTCCATCATAGCCAATGTCCACGGCACAACTCACGTAGAAAAAAAAATAAGCACAGGTATGTAAATGAGCTTGACCACTTTTTATTAACGGGTATCAAACATATCCTTACGTATATAATTATAAATCTTATTTTTCTTACCTTTTAATAGGAATTCGAATTCGCCATTGACAACTCTGCTGGGGTAGTAAAATGTAAACTGGCCGCCGTGGTGCCAGGTGCCTTTGTTGTCGAGCTGTACATCCACGGAAACTTTTTGCGATGGATCTCGGTTCGCATCCCAGTTGAATGCAGCGCTTAGACGTTTCTGCTTCGGTGTCTTCCATCTTTGGTAAGAAACGTGTACGTCGCGAAGTCTGTTAAAAATGTAAACCGATATTATATAGATTTGCCGCTACGGATCACAAATAGTTTTTCATGCCATAAGGGACTTAATGAAAATATAAATAGAGTCGGTTTTCAATAGTAATGTTATAGTGTTGATAATCTGGTTTAAAGGACCAAAACTATGTATAAATATAATGTGTATCCTAAAAATAGTCAATGATTAATGTTCGATATTAATGTTCGTAATATATATTTATTGGAGTATATAGTAACAATCACGATAGCAGATAATATACTGACTGTGCGTTGCAGTACCCAGTTTACTAATGGCTGCCATTAAACAACGATTCATAAGTTTATTGCTTTTATTAATAGTAAATAAATCAAGATATATTACGATTTCAATGTTGACAAAATCAATATGAGACTCAAAATAACATGATCAAAATAAGTTCAGATTTATGGATAATTTAAACAATCGATATAAAACATTTCATAGACTCTTCCTACAGCAGTAGAAGTCATACTCACTGATCAATATGTACGTCCATGTTAAGATTGGTATTGTTGTTGAGGTCGGCGTTAAGATTGAGACTGTACACTTTCCCGCTGACGTCCACCTCTGCGTATGTCGTGATGTTATGCTCCGATAGCAAAACGTACCGCACTAGTGAACGGTACAAATCTGCGTTATATTCCCCCTGTATACATAGACAGAGGTTATTTATAGTTTTAAAATATTAATCAAATCAAAATATATTTTTCAACACACTTGCTTGTGAAATACATCAAATTTCACCGGTTTTAGAGCACCTTATAAAACACGCGTGCGTTATAAACGGAAATATTGAAGTTATATTTTATAAGGGCACAATCTGCTATTATTTTATCAAATTTGTGATTTTTTTATTGTTGACTGTTAATCAATAAATACAATACGAATCTATGATTGCTGTATATTAATAGATAGATAGATAGAATATACTTTATTTGTAACACACAGTAAAGAAAAGGCATAATAAATAATGTATATAGTCTATAAATATGATACCTACCTCTAATATGAAAGTGACTTGTCGGTTATCTTGAGTGAATCGAGCATCAGCCGCAATGTCTTTGAACTGCGAGCTGGTGAGGAGCATCTTCAGCCGATGGGAAGCCATGTTTGTTTTGGACTGGTCTTGATACAGCGCGTCGACGTTGAAGTCTGTGCCCGTAAACCATACGCCTAACGCGTTCACCTGCACCGCACAAAAACGTAAAATTAGAGGCCGGATATTCAGAACATGCACAAGTTAAGGTATTGTTGTTATTGACTTCAAAATTGACAGAATTCTAAGAGTGTTACATAAGTATATATTCTAAATGTGGTAGAATAATTTGTCTTTTTTTTTCAATTAAATATAGTTTAAGTTTAGTTTTCTATTATTAACAAATTATTCTATTATTAATAATTATGTACGTCTAGTAAGAACAAATAGCTTGAAAGTCAGTCAATATGTCATTTTTTGGATTCCAAGAAAGAACTATTGAATTATTGTTTAATGAAATTTGACTGGAGGATAGATATCACTAAGCTAGCTATTATCTTAAAAAACAATTTGGAAAGGGGATGAAATGTTGTATATATATAATAACAGACATGACATGGATGACAACTTATCCGTCGACGAATAAATAAAATATATGTATTGTATAATGGACTTGCCTGGAATTCGTTGGCCTGCTTCTCGTGGACCTTGGCGTGGATGGTGCAGGGGTGGAGCGTGGGCAGTGTGACGTTCAGCTGTGCGTCTAGATACAGCTGAGTACCAGGCGGGTAGTACGCCTCGCCTGACACTATGATCTCACGTGACTTCGGGTTGAAGTTCAGCACGCACAGAACTGAGTATTTCGCGCCCGCCTGTGTGTATATAATATGTAACTTATACTGCAGTTATGAAGAAGATATTACATGGAAATTAGTGTAAGCTTGTTACACTTTTTTCTACATTATTGTTTATATTCGCTGATGATACACATTAAAGGAATTCATTTTGAGGAAATAGTTTTTGTTAAAAATTTCTTATATTTGTAGGGCTCCTTTTATGCCGGACGGTTGGTTGACGACAATTAATCTATACAGCCGTCTATGACAATGTTTTATATAAGAAACGATGGATTTCAAATCTTGAATAGCTTTATATACTGTTGAAATTATATGTAACAATACATATTTATAATTTCTTCGAAAAAATTCCAAAAATGGGGCTTGGTTTATATAGAATTCACAGGAGATGTTGTTAGCTGCGAAAAGCTCGCCTGACTGATACTGACTTTTTGTTAGCGCTAATTAACATTACCTTAAACCTTATCCTCATTTTTAAACTACTATTTACATAGCTTACCTCTTCATATTGGAACTTCATGTCGATCAACTTAGGTCTCTTCACCGTTAGCTGCGTGTCCAATTTGAGGCCATTAATCTTGTCGAACCGTACAAAACTAAAAGCGAAGGCTGGTTCAAGCGCTTGCTGTTTCGATGCACTTATGTTCAAACCAATATCTATGTGGCTTGGAGTTTTCTAGAAATATACATTAAAATCAACATCGGCTTTCATTTAAATAAACACCGCCATTTTGTAGAAAAATTTGATAGAAAGAAAATTATAATACATGTGATTTAAGGCGATTTAAATAAATCAGTATACAAATTTCAGATCATATTAGACTTACCATATTCTTTAGCACTGCATAGAAATCATATACGGGATAGGCCGTAAACTCCATAGACAATTCGCCGTAGAGGTCGTGTCTATACCCCATCGTTCTTTCACTATAAACTCCCTCTACCTTTATAGTTTGTTTAGGATTCTTATAAAACTGATAGTCGAGTTGTAATTTGGTCCCATGTGTAGGGCCGTTCAAAGTATAGTAACCGGCCATATGGCTAGCTAGCTGTCTGGTTTGGAAATCTGCCACTATATCGCATTGTGTTACTCCTCCTTTGGACTTGAATTTGAAATAACCTGCAATTAACATTATTTTATAGCGAGTGCAATTACAAAATGCGAATGCCTGATGAACAGGATCCCAGAAATCACGTCATCGTGTCATGCCGTAAAGAGAGGAATACTACATTCTTTGCTACTCCGGAGGTCTACGGTATCATACTCTATAATTTTAGTGTCATATCTTAATCGACAACTGAAAATAAACAACAGCTTTGTTGTACAGCAAGATACTAAGGACAGAAACAAGTATGAGTGAGGTAGTCACTCTGATATATTTAGTACATGTATATAACCTTTACCTTATATTAAAAGTTGTTAGAATTGTTACCAACTTTTGGTCACATGATAAAACAGATTTGGGCAACCACATCATATGTTTGTCCCATTTATATAGTCAAGTATTTTTTTTTATTAAACAGAATGAAATCACAATCAACGCTAGTACGTAATATATAAAACACACTTACCAGTCAATTCTGCGACCCTTTCATTATCGACGATCCAGTAGGCGCGCGGCAACCAAACATATCCGTGGTTTATATCCTGTTTCTTCAACGACATAACCGTGTCGAACTGCTTCCGACCATCAACATCCAAGCTGGCTTCAAAAGATTTGTCTTGCTCTAAATTACGATATAATGCCTTCGCTTTGAGCGTGCTTTTAGCAGATTGAAGAGTGACGACAGCACTGCTTGATGTGTTAGAGAGGGTTAGCAAAGCGTCGAACATACGTTTTTCCTACAAGCAGTGTAAATATTATTATTTTACATTCCGTCCCTGACAAGTGACTTGAAAGAGATGTCAAGACCTACACCCATAAGATATATTTTTCTGGCTAAATCTTCGTTCAGTATATAAACAAAAAATTGTTTATTAATTTAGTTATTAAATAACACGAATAAACTGCTAAATTATATATGAGGTTTCGTTAATTTTATAGGCTACGGAAATGACGTAATATATACTATGAATATTGATATACCTACCTCACTGTTAGGTGTATCGAACGAGAATCCAATGACGTTGAAGGTCTCGTTTTTGTCCCAATGGTACTGGAGCGTGTAAGTCTTCGCCGACGGATCAGCTTTCTCTAGCGACAGAATATACTTGGCTGGACCGCTCATTAGGAAGTACGGCGCGTTGTAAAGATTCGTCATGTTGGGGAACTGGTTAAATACAATAATATATTTTAAAATTACAATATATTGTACAAGCTCGACACAGTTATGGAGTTTCACTAAACTTTTATTCAAGAAATAGCAAAGAATAACGTAATGGAATCATCATTATCTGTTTCTGCCTCACGTCATTTTTAAGGATCGGCGTTTTTCTCTTCCATTCATCGCTGTTCGCAGTCATCTCGCTATTTAATCCCTTTTTTACTATATCATATTTCACAAGTCCATATTTTAAATTAATTAAATACATTATGCCACACCTGATAAGCAGCGCATAGTTTAATTCCTATTGCATTGTCGAACGTGCCCCAACTGCATGTGTTTTGTTCAATGCGATTTTGATTCAAGCCTTGTTGTTGCAGCTCCTTGTCGCCGTGCAAAATTATTAATTCAGACCTGAAAAATACATAATTTTGAGATATTATTACTGAAGCTGGCGGTGTAGAGATGTAGAGGTGTAGAGATGTGCGTGTAGTGTGAGACTCACTTGGCGGCGAATATCTCCTGCTTGTCGGCGGGCAGGGAGAGGTCGAGCCGCAGCCGCGCGCGTCCCCGCAGCGCCAGGCGCGCCTCCACGCTGGTGGCGGTGTAGAGATGTAGAGATGTGCGTGTAGTGTGAGACTCACTTGGCGGCGAATATCTCCTGCTTGTCGGCGGGCAGGGAGAGGTCGAGCCGCAGCCGCGCGCGTCCCCGCAGCGCCAGGCGCGCCTCCACGCTGGTGGCGGTGTAGAGATGTAGAGATGTGCGTGTAGTGTGAGACTCACTTGGCGGCGAATATCTCCTGCTTGTCGGCGGGCAGGGAGAGGTCGAGCCGCAGCCGCGCGCGTCCCCGCAGCGCCAGGCGCGCCTCCACGCTGGTGGCGGTGTAGAGATGTAGAGATGTGCGTGTAGTGTGAGACTCACTTGGCGGCGAATATCTCCTGCTTGTCGGCGGGCAGGGAGAGGTCGAGCCGCAGCCGCGCGCGTCCCCGCAGCGCCAGGCGCGCCTCCACGCTGGTGGCGGTGTAGAGATGTAGAGATGTGCGTGTAGTGTGAGACTCACTTGGCGGCGAATATCTCCTGCTTGTCGGCGGGCAGGGAGAGGTCGAGCCGCAGCCGCGCGCGTCCCCGCAGCGCCAGGCGCGCCTCCACGCTGGTGGCGGTGTAGAGATGTAGAGATGTGCGTGTAGTGTGAGACTCACTTGGCGGCGAATATCTCCTGCTTGTCGGCGGGCAGGGAGAGGTCGAGCCGCAGCCGCGCGCGTCCCCGCAGCGCCAGGCGCGCCTCCACGCTGGTGGCGGTGTAGAGATGTAGAGATGTGCGTGTAGTGTGAGACTCACTTGGCGGCGAATATCTCCTGCTTGTCGGCGGGCAGGGAGAGGTCGAGCCGCAGCCGCGCGCGTCCCCGCAGCGCCAGGCGCGCCTCCACGCTGGTGGCGGTGTAGAGATGTAGAGATGTGCGTGTAGTGTGAGACTCACTTGGCGGCGAATATCTCCTGCTTGTCGGCGGGCAGGGAGAGGTCGAGCCGCAGCCGCGCGCGTCCCCGCAGCGCCAGGCGCGCCTCCACGCTGGTGGCGGTGTAGAGATGTAGAGATGTGCGTGTAGTGTGAGACTCACTTGGCGGCGAATATCTCCTGCTTGTCGGCGGGCAGGGAGAGGTCGAGCCGCAGCCGCGCGCGTCCCCGCAGCGCCAGGCGCGCCTCCACGCTGGTGGCGGTGTAGAGATGTAGAGATGTGCGTGTAGTGTGAGACTCACTTGGCGGCGAATATCTCCTGCTTGTCGGCGGGCAGGGAGAGGTCGAGCCGCAGCCGCGCGCGTCCCCGCAGCGCCAGGCGCGCCTCCACGCTGGTGGCGGTGTAGAGCCGCGCGTTGACGCGCACGCCGCTGCCCGCGAGCGTGTCCGCGCGCACCGCCATCGTCGCCGCCACGTTCACGGCCACGCTACAAATGCGGTCATGGAAACTTAGTGCGACTCTACCTCACGAGACACTTCAAAAATGAACCCTAGTGCTCTCGCAATACAGTACGAATCTACCTTGCTCGTCGTTCGGAGCTTTAGACTTTTTCGTTGTAGCAAAAGTATAAGTGAATCCACCTTACTATTTGTTAATGAGCCGCACCGTTGTCGGCGACGGAAAGCGTAAAAGATCTGGAACAACTATTAGAGTGACTTCACACCCCTAACTTAAACATACTTCAAATTGCAGTTATATAAACGTCGCTTCACTCCTACGATATTACTAACGCGCAATCGAAATGCAAAATATACACCACCTTCTTGAATAATCAAGATAGATTCATACCAGAGGTAGACTGTAGTAAGTGATCGGTAATCGTTTACCATTAGATGGAGATTATATAGCAGCAGACGGTACAAAAATAAGTCATCTGCGTGGTGCATCAGTCTCACTTATTTCAACCGCCAAGCAACTTGCTTTGTGAGCTGTGATTCAGTTGTAGAGTGCAGATTAGGCAGTGAAATTACAGGTTAAGAGACATAATATCTTAGTCCATTCCATAGGGAATCGATTAGCATTGCATAGGACTAACGTATCATGAGTTGGCATGTGTGATATCGCGAGTATCACTTAATAACCTGATTACAGCACGTAGTGTAGTCCATGTATGTAAACGATGGTTACGCTGATAATCACCTTAATTGCCATTCCGATTAAATAAAAAAATCTATAACCATGTTGTATATATATCATCATCATCTGCTTCTTGCTTATCCCATTTATTTGGGGTCGGCGTAATATTTTTTTCTCTTTCATCCCTGTTCGCAGTCATCGCGTTATTTACTACCTTTCTTAACATATCATCTTTCACACAGAACATCCATCTCTTTTCCGGCCTTCATCTGCACTTCATGAACCATCCATACACATTAATATGTAACACCTTCCTTAAAATATTATCTACATTCCTACGCATTACATGCCCATAACATGACAGACGATTACTCTTCAACCTCTCCGACACCGGCGATACCTCCCTCACACCTCACACCACACATCTCAATATTTCATCTCATCATTTCATCAGCATTTCAGTAGCATGCAGTCGTCTTTCATTCATCGCCTTTACGGGCCAGCACTTTGATCCATACAAGACAGCTGGCCGGATCATGGTCTTGTAAATTTTTACTTTAAGCTTTAGGGAAACACTCAAGTCGTTTGCCGTAACATGCCGCCACTTCAACAATCCTGAGTTAATTCTGTGCTTTATGGTTCAGTCTAATGCGCCACTGCTTTGGAGGAGTGAACCTAGACTGTGTTTTATATTTACCTTGGTCGAATTTTGCCTTCAAAATCCAAGTTTTCCGTCTCTTTGAACTTGTCCGAAACTGTGCCTGATAACTTTGTATTCACGTAGCTAGTGCCCATGAGGTTCAACTCTAGAGGTAGCCCACACCCCGTCGGCACGGAGAATGTAGTGTCCAAGAATAGTGATGCTTTGTTGTATGATATTTCCTGGGGAAAGATGTTTTGTGTGAATTGCATTATATAATTTACATTGTATATGTTGATGACTCGTAAATAAAATGAGTAGTGGACTGTAAATTATTATATTTAATACGAGGAGTTATAATATTATAAGGAACATTATCTAATTAATAAGGTACGCGTGCGGTGACGTCGTAGGCGCAAGCCAAAGTGAAAGGTGTCCCGGCCTAGCGGCTGTCAATAGCTCATGTTCGATAGCGCTCGAACAGTGTATTTATAACAACACTAGCCCAGCTAAAGTTTTTTTGCCATATAAATTAATATCGCTATTAAAAAATAAGGGTAGATGATAGGCAATAAATTAGGGTTGTATGCATTTTTAATGCCGTATCATAAAAATATAAGGCGAAAAATTTTTAGGGTTGATTACTCTTGTCACTTAAAACTGTAAAAAATTGATAACAACCTAATCTAAGACCTCAGATCGAGTATACATATAAATTTTAATCAAAATCGTTCCAATTCAGAAGTTTAGGATTCATCGCGTACAAACAAAGTGACGAAATTTATATATATTAAGTTAAAAATCTTCCTTCACAATGTATTACGGAGATCCTTTCCGAAATTACTTTTTTAATGTACATGAACTTTGGTTAAATGTGTGCATATTCTGATTACTGGAAAAACAACCAGAAGACCTGGAGATAGTAGTTCCTGCTTGTGTAGTTCGTCGAACTGCCAGGTAATAGGAACACCAGAGCAAACGCGACCAGAGTTACGAAATTAAATTTTGAATAACAAGAATAAATAGATTAATATAAAAACAACCTAATACCTTTCCCGATAAAATTTCCAAAATTCTTAACTTAGGGTTCAATCTTTCTACCGACTTCCTTATTTCCTCATCGCCTTCCGCACTCCAAAACGATATCTCGTTCCCGAATACTTTAATCCCCAACTCTGCCGTGGGAAATCGGTGTTTAAGCGCCTCATTTTTATATCCGAGATCGTCGATTTTCCCTCGGACCTCATCAGCATCGTTTACAGATCGGAAAAATCTCAATTTGTTTATGTACTCATTTATTTTACTCTTGCCCAAAGGTCCGTTGTCGCCAAAGAATTGTTCAAAATATGTTTCAAACCCTTCGCCACGAGCTTTAAGCTGTAATGATTAAAAACAACCTATGGTTAAAATTATACCAGCAATTGGCCTTAGTTTAGCTATTAAGAGGAGAGTGTTAGTAATAACGGCTCCCAATCCCTATGCTAGTAATGTTTCCAATCAGGTAAATCTCCACGATATCCTCCCTAAAATTGATAGCGATAATTTCCTGGTCAAATTGACCCCGATAGTCTAACTTATCTTCAAGATCTATAAATCGGGTAGTAGTAGTAGTAAACTATTATATTTTATAAGATACGTTTTTGTATTTGCAAGCTATTGCTATTAGTAGAATGTACTACAGAACACAGAGGCATGTATCTTAGTCCTCTCATTTCATATCAGAGGAGCTTTTGATTTATGTAGCCAATGAAATTCAATTATCCTTAGTAGTCAATCAGTTTGTTTGTCATTCTAATGACATATAAATAATTTAAAATGCATAGGATTACCTCAAATATATTGATAGATTCTCCAAACATATCAACAGTCAAGTTGAGCGACACTGATCGTGGTATATACGAGTCTGGTGAGAATATAACGTTCGCTTCGTAGTTTCCACCTAGAAAAATATTAATACACAGTTAGAAAATAAGTATGGTCACAACTACAATCATAGTTCTGGTAAGTAGGTAGTATGTAAGTAAGTAGGTATGAATATATTTATATGATCGTAGTACTCAGCATTATTTGACTTTGTTTTAAACTGTTGACTTGTGTAGAATTTTAAATGGCTGTGAAAAAAGTTAACAGTTATAAACGGGCAATTACCATTATAACATTATTATTATAGTATTACATCGTAAGCTCTAAAGTAATATTATAATGGTAAATATACCGTTTATACAATGTGTATATTTTGTATTATACACATTGTATAACGGTACAGAAATTATATGCATGAAAGTTAAGCCAAACAAGCACAATTATTATAAATTAACCAACTTTTGACTAAATTTGTATGGAAGAATAGAAAAGAAAACATTTAAATACAAAAATGTGTTGTAATAACATAAATAAAATTCATTTTCATCTTGTTTTTCGATATTTAATATAAATAATAATACAAATGACGTAGTCCAATAACAACAATATTAATAATAACAATGCCGATATTATTTGTTGAATGAATTTATGATAACATTTAAATTACAATTGTATTACAAATTCACACAATTTGAAATTGAAATTAAATACTCGTAGACACTCACCAGCGTTATATTGGTCGAAGAATACGCTCTGTTCGTAATTCCTTGAAAACATTCGGAAGTCAGGGCTGTCCTCTAGCTGCGGCATTGTGTGTCCAGACAACAGACCCTGGATCTCAACGCGGGATGGTAGTGACGACTGCCCAATGTTATTGAGGTGGCTCCAGACGAAAGTCGCCGCTGTTACAACAAATTGAAGTTCATTTTAATTCGATTATCAGAACATTGGTTAGGTACGTTGTTTGTGAAACATGAGTATAATAAATGGACAGAGTAGCATTTTATTCTCATTAAAATGTGTTTATTTTTTTATTGACCAATAAAATATGGTACATAAGGTAGACTAAACACTATAGTGTTAAATGTTATAGCATTTTCAGATTAAGTAATACATAAGTAAAAGCAGCGACCAAGCTGTAAATTACTAGGTATTTTGGATAACTAGTTTTCACCAGTCTGACATCTGACAAGAGTATGAGTTCTTAGATTATGAACAAATTCATAGAAAGCTTAATTTATTAATATTACCCTAGCTGCACTAACATTACGACTTCTCGCATCTATCTAGGGATCTACTAGGGGCGATTTCAACTTTTGTATTAAAACTCGAAATTTTATCCATTAACATGGTCACATTTGTTGCTGTCATAAGGCATAGGAAGTTTGGGTGATAACATTGTTATAGTTTCTGAATGTATGTGGTTCAGTACCTTGATTGACGGGTTCGTCCCTGAGTGCGAGCAGCACGGTGCGGATGGTGTGCAGTGTGGGGCAGCGCATCAGCTGCAAGTACGCGGCCAGCCGCACCTCCAGCTGCGTGTACTCGGAACGGTACGTCTCCACGAAATACTCGCTGACGACAAATCACGACAATTCTTTGAAATTACACTCGCAAATATACGTACCCGTCGGCAACAGTACTACGTGATATTAACACTATATATATGTTAAATTTAGCAATATATAATTCTTTTAGTTGGAAAGTGCTACTGTGCTGTTGAAAGCCGCTGGCACTGTAATATGTTACTAATAATTAATTGATCCCGCGTGACATTATTTCAGCGACATTTTTTTCATTCATACACACAATGTTACAATTAATCGGCAATCCTATTCTTTGGTATTCAATCAAAAATAGCCTAACCCTGTATATGGCGACTCTCTCCGTTCACAGTTCTTGTAACACATTATATGCTCTTTTCTTTTAATTACAAATTAAATTGTAAACTTCAGAATAAACAAGAAATTTTGCAAAGCGAACTGCTTGGCCACCTTAGTCAGAGGTCTCACGTATTTCAGACGCATACGACTTTTATTGATCTACTCTTTGGTAAAAGGTAAAAAAAATACGCTAAAATATTAACCGGGTTTCAGCGCAAGGCGTTCTTCTAAATGCATCAACAGCGGCCAGTCTTATAGGAACCGTTATAAATTCATCGCCAATTATGTTCATCAGCACGTCAGCGAACTCTTGATTGAAACCACCAATGTTGCCTAGTGCTTTTATAGCTATCGCTACCTGAAACATTATTAGTAATTATATATCTACATTCATAAAAATTGTTGACTATTGAAAAGTGCTTAAATTAAGTTTATTTGAATAAACTAGTAGTTTTGCAGTATAGGTAGAAAGGAGTTAGAGTGGTAGGATTCTAATTACAAAGTCAAAATATTTTTTTTTTACTATTCAGTTTGGCTACTTCTGTTGAGATCTGGCAAGAAACTCAATTTGTACATTTTTTAATATAATACAATATACGGCTTTTGCTTGTTATATTTGAATTCAACGTTGCATGGGGTCAGCCTATCGCCGTCGCTCGAATTGACTTTGTTTTTAATTAGTCTTTTACTGGAACTTAACTTGCTAAAACACTTTCCACGGCGGACACCCCTAATAGCATTGATATATAATATCTACATTCCGAATATAAAATATTAATTTAATTAAAAATATTACTAACATTAGTTCTGTCTTCTCTCTCAGCATTAATTAGTCCTTTTGTGATAATCTCGTTCACGATATTTTGGAATTCTTCGAGTATTTGTTTTGGTATTTCTTCCTCACAGCATTCACGTACTGATAAAACAAATAAACGATTCAATTAAGTATGATAGGTATTAGTGGAACAAGAGAATTTAATGCACGGACCAGAAATAATACAATGAAGTAATGATGATGAGTTCTGACTGAATCTTCAATTTGTTTTCTGTTAACCTGGCCTCACATTAAATTTAGTCGGATGATTTGATGATTCTGTGCGACTACTATTTGATTAGTGCATTTGGTGCTACACTGCGTCTTCTACTAAATGCGTCAATTGGAACAGTGTGGACCTGTTCAATCGGAAGGAAACTAAATAATCTCAAATTATAGTGTGAGTATACCATAATAATAATATACTTATAAATTATCACTTACGTAGCATATATCATTTTACTATACAATAAATCAGTGTATAACATCAAGCGCTCACTACGGGACGTATCTTTTATTTATCATCCCCGTAGATTATCAATTATCACTATCAATTATCATTATCAACAAGTGTAGGAACAACCCCTACAACCAGGTTTAGCTACGATTATTAAATCTACAATAGAGTTTTAATATACAAATTTGATATTTATCACGGAATTTAGGTATATATAGAGGATAGATAGGGAATATCAGGTATATAGAAACATTAGCAAATAATATATATTGCGGCATATGAGCTCAATTTAAATGTTGAACCAATTGATCAGAAAAAAAATAATATTTATTTAAAAGATTGTTATTAATTGCTGAAATTACTGTGATCACAGTTAAAGACGTAGTCTAGGATTTAATTGTTCATATCGTAAAAGATCATAAGGTACTCACGTGATTTCCCGCTATTCCTACAGTAGGAGTGGACCATGGAAGACACCGTAAAGCTTATCACTTTGTCGTTCTTTTGCCTCTTTAGTAGTTCCAAAGTACTATTCAACATTTCTAGTTTTGGTCTGGAAATATATATTGGAGTAAGGATTATTCTTTATAAAAATCAATATTTAAAAATGAAAGAAACCTCATTAACGAATTAGCGTAGTTTCTGCTATTCTAGAAAATACTCCTCACATACAAATAACTAAATTGTATCTTTTTATAGATATGTTATAGAATTTTGCATTATGAATTTGTGATATGCCGTATCGCTCGACAGTTTAGGGTTTGATGTACAAAAATATATTGTTTAACACAATTTTAAATGTTGTATAAAGAAATAAAAAATAATTATTATTTCATTTTTAATTTAAATGTTTTTTTATTCTAAATAAGCGTGATAAATTATTTCTGTTAACTTTATTATTCAAATTATTATAATGGAAAGAATAGTACAGTGTATATAACAAGTTATAGCCTCTCCGCCAGCATAAACCGTTAGAGGGTACAATATTCTCTTATAATCCATTATAGAATAAACATGTTATTGGCCCAGTACCTGGGTATCATCGCCATGGACATGAGCCACTCGTGTCGTATATTGTCGTCGACCTCATCTCGCATTATCATCTCCTTGATGAGCTCCACCGAGCCAGCACTGGCTACGTACGGTAGAGCGTCCATTATGTGTTTACTGTGTACCATAATTAATTATTTATTAAAAAAAAAACATTAATGCACAAGTATACAAATATAGATGCATGTGGCGGATTTAACACCATATATTTATTTGGGACTAGCTGTTCCCGCGACTTCGTCCGGGTGGAATTGGAATTTATTTTTCTAAAATCTAAGTAGCCTAAGTTACTCCTTATTTCATCAGCTACCTGCCAAAAAAAGTCCTGTCTAAATCGGTCCAGCCATTTTAGAGATTATCCGGAACAAAAAAACCAACAGACGGACAAATATTGTAAAAAATGTTTTGGTGTATGTATCGGGTTTATATTCATATGCATGTAGTAAAAAACTGTTATTTCAATATTACAAACAGACATTGCAATTTTATTTATATGTATAGATAACAACAGTTTATATTGATACTATTTTACAATTATAAAATAAAGAAAAAAGAAATTTACCACTCTTAGACAATTATAATAGTCCACGATATAATCAAATCATACCCACAACAATCGGAAGTAAGTACCTCGGTGACGGTAACTGTTACCACTAACCATCAGGTGGGCTGTCAGATTGCTTGCTATTACAATTTATTTAAAAGGCGAGTACTAGCCTCAAAGTCCCATAATTCAGCTATCCGTGATTGTTGCTCCCGGAGTTGATACCGGGCCAAAGTGGTTCGTCCCGAGGCCCCAGCTTTAACCCCGATGCAGATGACTAGTATCAGTCACTTACGTAGCTTAGCTAGCAGTTACGGCGCTGGTGCCAATAGTTGTGAGGAGTGGGATAGTGTAACGGTCTCACGGCGTGTACTAGACGCCCAGTAAAGTCCTATATTTCAGCTACCCAGGGTTGTTGCCCCCGGAGTTGATGCCGGGGCAAAGTGGATTGCCCCGAGGCTCGAACTTTCAACTCCTAGTAGCGGATGACCAGTAACAGTCACTTACGTAGCTGCGTCGCAGATAGATGGCGCTCGTGTCAACAGTTGTGACAGGGCGGGGTAATGCAGTGGTCTCGCGGCGCGCACTAGCCGCCCCCAAAGCCCAACAGTAGAACTACTGTCCATATTCTCGTCAACGGTCGCCTGTTGCCAACTGTCCTCTGGTGATTTAATCCTACAAAACAATTGTCATGTAAATTGTATATTACTAAGTCGAAGGTAGTGAAAACCCTATCAAAAAAAATGAAATGGTTGTTATTTTTTAATTTTAAAATTATTCCGCTGTTCGGCTCCTAAAAGGAAATGCGTGATCACATCTAAGATCCTTCTCCAGTCACAGGTAATACATTACAGAAAACTCCATTAAAATCCGTTCACTGGTTTTTGTAAACAAGTATCATTGTTTACACACTTGTTTCACACAGACAGACAATAACTTGGGGTATGGTTAGTCCTAACGCCTAGAGAGATTTTTTTTAAATATACTTAAGACAAAGTGCCTCAGGAGTTTTATTATAATATGCATACTCCTATGTATAATAATTAATGAGTTGAAAAGTAGGCAATGTCATAACAATGGGAAAAAGAAAACACTTACAAGCAGAGCAATTTGAGTACATCTCGAGCAGATTTTAGTTCGCCACTCTCAATTTTTATGTGTGGCGAGTGGTGATGAATGAGGTTAGAACGTTTCTGTATTACATTCCATGCTGTGAATAAATAAACCTTATTTTAATAAGCACTCGGTATACAAGAGTAAATAGTCTATACAATAAACGAGTCTAGAAGTCATACATCTAAGCATTATAATATTAAAATGCGCGTATATACGCCCTCGTGTATTCATGGATTTGTTCAGGGGAAAACAGTTGCCCTTTCTGAAAATTGTATACATTCCTATATGTTATGCATTATCTTTAAAAAAAAACATTTACTAATCAGTTTTTGAATACTTCCATGAGATAGACTTTGTACAAAGTCCTCTCTCTTATTTTAGCCGCCAATTTCTTGAAAGGTGTCGATAAGGCAATAAAATAATATCGTACAACCATCTTAGTTCGAAATGGCAATGTGTGAGTGGTACAGTTGACCTAATACTGTGATATATAAGAGATTGACTACCTATTATGATGATCATCAGCTTGCTTATCATTCCAATTATATAAAACATTCAGAGAACTTAGAAAAAAAAAAATTAAATTGCACTAATAGAATAATATTGATTGATTTCAAACCTTTAGGTTCTGCTTCCATGATTTCACTATCCGTCTTATTGACTTCATCCTTCAAAACCAAATCTTGAATTACCGTTGTCATCGCACCAGAATTCCTGCCAGAGAATGGTTCAAAGAGATGTCTCTCTTTGCAGCTCACTGTTTTGTAGATGTAGTGATCAACAGTGAGACGACATTTACTTTCAGACTTTAGTACAGGCCATGTTTGAAATTTCTGTAGACACATCAAGTATGAAAATAATCAATTAATATATATTATAATTGGTTATCTGTTGAACCCAATTCACTGTTGCACATAGGCGAGGCCAAAGTCATTTACTTTGTATAGTTATAACTTTGAGAGTTAATAAAATTGAGCACCCAATATTTCAATGCTTTAGAATTATCCTGGTCAAAAGTAAACTTAGAAAATGTGCATTAAAAAGCCCGTAGTTTTTGTATTTAGATCAAGATTATGGCTTACCATTTAGGTGGGTTTTGTTTGTTTTTCATTCCAATTAGATAAAAAAAAAATACTCACACTTTGAAAATCATATCTGACAGTCTGTAGAATGGACCTATACTTGTATCTGTTTGTGCATTGTCCCAGGTCTCTGGTCTTCACCACAACAAGGCTGGTGTTCTCCTGTCCACGGACTACATAGTCGACATTGCATGTTCCATGGATGTCTTTCTGAATTGTGGAAAGATAATTGTTTATTGACTAAACATCATTAATAGGGCAGAAATTTAAAAAAATACATTTATCTGAAAATTTTATACAAATAATATTAAAGGTAGGGATAAAATTACATTATAAAAAAAATTATGTTCATAAACTGCTAAAATCTCCTACATGAATAAAAGAAATTTGAATTTGAATTTAAAAGCATAAAACACAAGTCATCAAATTACATTTTATTTCATAGCTTCTAACTTAGGTGTTTATTTTATTAAGAATATTTGTACCGCATGCCCTACATTTTAAATAATATTAAAACATGTATATTGTCAGCAAAATAAATATGTCCACTATTGCACTACTTTTGGTATCAATAAATCAGCAGTTCACAAATCATCAAATTATCAAAAATATAAAATGTGTACTAGATACTGTTTATTATATTATTTTATTATAATACAAACTGTATACAGTTGCTGTATACCTCAACTCCTTGAAAGTTAATATCAAATCTCTTCATCGTATTCTGAAGAAGTGATAGTACAGCTCTCTTGAAGTTAAGCACCCAATCGTCCTCCTCATCATGAGGACAAATCTCTGATATAACGCCATCATGGAATGCAAATCTGAAAGAATGGAGATAGAAGCTATACTGATAAAAATAATTACATACAATTTGGAATGTTATCCTTTTATTTTACTTTAAGTCAATTATATGCAGTGAAAACAGAGACTACTGCTCCTTATTCTTAGAATTCTTCCATTTTAATAAGCCATCCATAAATTAAGTCATATGATATGATGAGGGGGGAGGGTCACAACTAAATATGTAAAAAAAATAATGCAATCTATAACACCCAAGTGGGGTTCCTAGATTTCATAATGTACTCAATTTTAGTAATACATGAAATTAAAATGTAACCAGGTGTGACAGGAGGGAACCTCTAGTTAGTCTCAAGCCCACATTAATGTACTAGAATGTAAACATAAAAATAGGGTCTCTTTGTTGGTATATATAGTATCAGTGAATAATATATGGGCGTGAATAATATCGCTTTGTATGGGTAAACGGCTAAATGGTTTTGAATTAAATGTGATGGGAAGATGCTTTTGTTGAGATAAAACATAGCTTATTTATTCTTGTTATACATATATTTTAGCAAGTATGATGAAGCTATGTTTTATCTTAATAAAGCAGATGAAGAAATATGTGTACAAAGCAGGTTTCTTACCTGAGGTCATATTGTGTGAGAGCCAATACAAATTTTTCAGAACGCTCCACTGGATAGTTCAGATCTTGATCCGCAAGTGTCACATCACTCAGTTGCAGAAGACCTTCGCATGGGGTTATGAATTGTAGTTGTACCTTTAAATATTAAAAAGTTACTTTTACATTAATGTAATGGCAAACCAACTAAACACCATATGAAAAAACTGAAAAATATCTAACGTTAAGTTAAATATACTGTAGTTTTGTTCACTGCAATATTATGATTGAACTGGTGATTTGAGTACCAGTTGAGTTCTAAAATCGTTATTCCATACTTCCATACTTTATTCTATACTCATAAAAAATTATATATTATTATGGTACTATGAAAATGAAAGTTTGTGAGGATTGATGGATGTTTGTTACTCTTTCACATAAAAACTACTAAATAGATTTTGATGAAACTTCACAGTAATATAGCTTATATATAAGCTATAATTTTTAGACAAGTGAAACCGCGGGCACAGCTAGTAATATATAAAGCAATCTTTAGAGATCAAGAAAACAGATCTTTTGCTCCACTGTCCGATTCAATATGCAGTGCCCTTGTGACCGGAGTAAACATGTATTATTGTAGGAAACTTACTGTAGAATTGACGTCCAATGTAGAACGATTGTTGCTTGATCCAGCAAAATATGTTTCTACATTCACTTTGTAGTCATAATGATATATTATCTGAGATACATATTTAAATTTTTCTGAAGCTGTAATACAAAATAACAATTATTTAATACACATTGGCTGGCTACCGAGGTCTTTGAATTTGTTTCACTATAATTTAAAAATTGTACCCACATTAAATTAATTTGTGAATGAAGTAATGCAATATTAAAACTTACGTGCACAAGACGGCGGTCCACATATATATGGATCTTTTAATGAATCTGCAAAGATAAGGACATATTTTATTACAATATATATAGTAAAAAATACTCTATTACTGAAATAATGGCATCAATATATTTTGTTATTATGATTTGTTTGTTTACATCTAAACTGTCATTTTGACAGCAGGTCGCCAGTCGGCTGTCAGGTCGATCACGATGTTACCAACCTATACGTCAAAAGTCATTATATTTCTTTTACGTTGCGCTCTGTCCAGCAGTAATTCAAAATCAAATAGGAATAGAAATAATTTTTATTCAAATAAACTTAACATAAGCACTTTTGAATAGTTACATTATTTATTCTATCACTCATTCGGAACGGAGACACATCACAAGAAAAACGAAAAAAAGGATCTGCGTGTTGCACTTAATAAAAGTTGTTCTCAGTAAATACACATTAACAAAGATTAGCCATCCGACAATTAACATAGACACCGCTACGGTACAGATAACGGACAGATAACATTGTCAACGCTATGAATTTTAAGTTACATTTATACATATATTGGACGTTCATTCAGTCAGACGTTCGTTCAGAAAAAGAGATAACTTCATTATTCATATCAGAAGATACTGCGGTTGGTTATCACAGAGTATTTACATTTTTCACGTATCACATATCACGCCAATTCTCCGCAAAGAATATTAAGAAACAAATCCATATTCCATACTTATATCTCAGTCAAGGGAAGGGGAGTTTTTGACGTTATTGTTAGCAATGTACCATGGCAGATTGACCTCCACGCGGTTCCCCTTGGTAACCATCATGATATATTCCTGGTGAATTTGTTAAGATAGGCTAACTGACATGATCTCATGTTCATCATTCATTTCAGGTGGGAGCACCATGTCTATATGACCCATAAAAAATTGGTTAAAATATATCCTAACAGGCCGACTCCCTAGAAATTCTGATGATTCATTTCTGGTCAACATGGTTAATTTCTGGCGAATTCACCACGATTGGCTATCTGACCTGACTTCATTCACATTATATTATCCTCCACTAGTCATTCGTCAGCATATGTCGTTAGGGACCACCCATAAATTACGTCACACGTTAAGGGACCTCTGGAGAGGGTCGACAAAGTGTTACTTTGTGTGACAATGGATGGGATGGATTTAAAATTTCGTGACATCACATTTCAATATCTAATATACTATTTATATAACATAAAATAATGGATTAAGAAAAGGAAAAGTTTCCGACCAGAAGTAGAATGTAAAAGGAAAAATTAGTCAGTGACATAACAGCATAAGGGGCATAACCTTAGTCTTCTGGAAAAGTAACGCATGAGTCGTATCACTGGTGTCAGAAGAAATAATGTCCGTGGTGCTATAGGTACATGTATATGGACCATTTCAATCACATTAACAATGACTTAAAAATATTTAATATGCGACGTCACATTAGGGAAAGGGGAGAAAACTTTTACTAGCGGTATCATGTAGCACTTAGAAGTAAAACCTATATTAATGCTGCTAATTTAACTTTCTATTGGTGAAAGAATTTTGTAAAACCGTCAATTATTTTGAGTTTGTCCGTTGCAAACAATCATAAAACCTTTAGAAAAATAGATATAAATTAAGTTTTTCGTTATTGGTACAGTAGTATGCTATTTGTAGAACAAAATATACACTCGTATTTAGTTAAGTAATAAATCTAATTTTCTACGTACATAATTCAATCGATACATAAACAGGAGTGTACCTAATATATTTACAGGAAAGTATGAACATAAACACGCCAATAAATCAAGGGATGCCTCGCAGATTTTGCAAACTGAGTCCGATATCTAGTTAAATTTTCGTGATCCATATCTTACCCTCGTCTCGAGAGGGTCAGGGTCCCTGAATAGTTACTCATGCGTCGGAACAACAGTTACGCAATGTTGCGTTATACGTTTACGGACACTAAAACAATGTAATAAATAAATAACAGGTCTAGGAAAGACGGATGTTCCTCATATATGTCAAACATTACACTGAATGATTGATTACTTTATCGCTGACCTTTTAAGAGGGTGTTATGTTATTGTTTGCTCCAATTACGTATGCTGACATATTATTAATTCATTGGCGTCAATCTTTTGTTATATTTATCATAGTTAGGTAGATTTCATGTTACTTCACATACGGTACGTTAATGATTTTTATTGTTAAAAATATACATACATTATTATTAAATTTATGTCTGGCCCTTGTGAATAGAAGATATCGTAATTAGAATTTTATATTTAGAAATATATTGAAAAACGTTCTTATATTGTTTCGTTGGTTTTGTTGACTTTGTGTAGGCCTTTGATAATACACAAATATATGCATATTTTACTTTTATAATTCACTTTATTTATATTCACTGGACTAATCCCAGGGGTATAAAACCCCTACAAAAATTGTATAAAAGTTTGATAAAATTTTCTGAGTCAAGTGGTATGTATTATACTACTACGTATAACTGAAACATTATACAGCAGACATATAGACTTAGTCCATCGGAATGGCAACGTATAAGTGGTATCACGCGGACATATGATAACGTGATGTCCGTTGTACTGTTTATGAGTATATGCGACGGTTACCATTTACCGTCAGGTTTCATACAAGCAAAAATCAAGCCCGGTCAATTTACACAGTGCACTATTTCAATATATACCTATCAACCTTTCAGATGTAAGAAGAACATTATAACGTAGACATATAGGGGAAAGAAGAATCTAGTAAAAGTCCCCTTATGTGGATAATGATTTCATAGCTAGCACTGTACCATGTCCGGTTGACCTTTACACAATTCCCCTGGAAACCATCGTGATAAATTACTGGTGAATTTCTCATGCTAGGCTAACTAAGCCGACCTCATGCTCATTTTATGGTGGTACTGCTGTACTGCCAGCGTAACCGGCTATATGCATTAAAAAATCTTGATTGATTTATTAAAGACACATAGCATAATGAAGGTATACATAGAAAAATTAAATATACAAATAGAAGAAATTATGAGTGAAGAACAAAAGGACTGACTGTATTTAGTTTATTGTTAACCTTGTTAACTAACAATTGCGACTAATACCTTATTGATTGCATCATAAACCAACCAAAGCGGATATACAAAAAATCATACTGTTTGTTTGTTAACTTTCTCTTTAACTAGTTGGTGAAAAGATTGCAATAACGCTATTTTATTGTCGTTGAAACTCTTCTTATAAACGAAATAACTGATAGATGTTTATATGTGGGATCATAATATTCTACGTAAATAAGTAGATAATAATTGCAATGAAATTAATGCAAACATAATTTTATTAGATTGCGTTCGTAATAAAATTATGTCTGTAACAATTTGAAACAAATGATTAAATGAAACAATTAGGGTCTCCACATAAAATATTAATATATTGTTCTATAAGCATTCGTTTGTGCTCATTGATATTAGAAACTGCTTAACTGATTTGAAGGTGGTTTTCAAAGATGTACTGTAGCAAGTTTCCTGTGACCCTTAATGCTTGTTTTATTCAAATTGGTTCACAAACAAAAAAGTTAAGTTAATTGCAACCATACGGGCTATTCTAGACCTCGTTTCTAGAATAGCGTAAGTACGAATTTGCGAGCTGAGTTAGTTGTCAACTAAAATTATGCCTTGACAACTATTCCGTAGTTCTGGTATATGTATATTGTGTACTTCTCCTATTTTACCAAAGGAAAAATTTAGAAAAAAAATTGTCGGCGTAAGTACCTCAATGTCTCTTATTTAGGAATTGGAGTTGGTTTGCTGTTTTCTAGTTTGTAGGCTAGCATTGCAACTAATGAAATTATAGGGTACAATAACATGATACCTTAGAATGAGTATTTTGTTATGTCACAGGTCTCCTGTCTACAGATAACGATTACAGCATTTAATTAAGTGCTTGTTTATCATTCCAATAATTTAAAAATAGAGCAAGTAATAGTATGTTCCTTATCACAGGTTGTCAAATTTCACGAGTGCGTAAAATTTACCCTATCGATTTTTATTTAGAAGTCGTAGGTATTTATTTTGTTGCAAAAATTAAAAGTTCTACTGACAAACACAGAAATGCATGCATAATGCAATATATAATTGCTATATATGTAGGTATATATATCTAAAATCGGTATTTGTATGATAGAATAAATTTAACTCAAGTTTTGAAAAATAATCAAAATATCTAATACTTATTTTGGAATAGTTACAATATAATAAATAAATATACATACTTCCTGATCCTTGAACTACGCCAGAAAAGCACAAGGCCACTAAAATCACACACCAATTCATAATGTCACACACAAATCAGCTATCCATGTTTCAAATCGACTTGCCGTTTCGCACATTGGAGTTCAAATAATGAAATTCTGAGATGCGTTATCGAACTGTCGGGGTGTGGGGTCAAAGTAAACAATATTATCTCTGCATTATCGTGTAGCTACTAACTAGAATGAAGCGTAATTATGTGATTTGTAATGAATATTGTAAGCTGATAATAAACATCACTGTGTGTAGGTAGGTAGGGATTGGTTGGCGGGCGGGAAGTAAGCGGAAATGGTGGCGGGCTCCGGTTACCGAGTTGGTATGCCACGGTACAGTAGTAGTGGAATATTGGTATTATCCGTTTTCATGCTCGATCCAGATACCAACAGGACAGATAATTGTATACTTATTGAGAACATTATTCTTAAAGAAAAATAGAAGAATACTGTAAAAAGTCGTCTACGTGGATATCCCAGTCTCACATAATTCAGACGCCAAGCAACTTGCTTTGTTTCGGTTGTAGGGTGCAGGTTGGGCTAAGATGCATGGTATCTTAGACTTCTGGAATGGCAACGAATGAGTGGTACCACGGTATCACATGGTAACGCGGGGTTTCTTAGTGCTGTTCACGTACATCTAGAGGCGACGGTTAACGCTTACCATCAAAACCAAAATTAATTACAAAAAAAAAATTTAATGGACAATTCAAAATAAAAAAAATTTCATTAACTTAAAGTAAAAGCGAGCTTGTTATTTGTCATTATGAATATTATGAAATTTGGCATACAAAGCTGAAAGCCAGTCGTGGTGAAAATTTCCATAATAATTACGAATGAAAAATATTTTCTTAAAACTTCATACAGACTAAAAGGTTACGGGATTTTTTTATACTTAAGCTTTGAAGTTCTATTTTCAAAATTTCACTTCATTTCTTCACAAATATTGTGCCTTTTAGGACTAACCTGTCTAAGTAACATTTTTACTCGATTTGGCCACTACAACTTTTTACGTCGGTCAATTATGGTCACCCTGGACAAAGGTATATTTATTTACAAAAGGTTATTGATTCTACCTAAAAATATATATTTAATAGGGGTCTGAGTTACCTGCGGAGGATGATAGAATGAGAATAAGTCAAGTCAACAGGAATTAAATGAAGTCACGAGTAAAAACACGTGTTATATAATGTGTCAGTTATTTTAAAACCACAGTTAATTTAATCCACATGTAAAGATAAAAGTGTTATGTATACCAAGAATAACTCAAGTGGAGGTCAAAAGCCAAAAGATTTCAGATAAAAAATGTAATAGCTTTGTCATATAGTGTTGGGTGGTTGGTTGGATCTTTTTTAAAGCAATGCTATCTATGACAAGTAAGTACTAAATCTAAATAAATAATGTAGTAATGTAATACTAACTAGAATAAATTAAAACCTTTGTTGAGATGTTTTCTACTCTGGTACACTTTGATTTGGTTCAACAATGTCTTACCTATTCATTGCATTGGCTTGGATTGTTGGTAATTGGAACTAAGGGCGTTATTATCTAGCAAGTTACCATAATTTTGTTGATCAATCCATGACCTTGAACTTGACGCTGACACGCGGTCTACGCTGGAAACCATTGTGAATAATTCCTAGTGAAATCGCCATGAGGGTGTAAATTTCCTTTCTTCATATTAATTTTATCATCCTTCACTGGTCCGCATATACTTGGCGCAGGAACCATATTATTATCATTCATTAAAAAGAACGTGTATTATAGGTACAGTCATAAGGTAGGTATATTATTTAATTGTATGAATTGATAAATTAAATTTGTGTTTCAATGCTTAATTGGAGGGATCCGACGGACGCATACGTCGGAGCTTTGTCAATAAATGCGATTGTGACTTGTGATTCACAAGCCGCTCAGTCAAACTGTACGGCCGCGTTCTCACTGTGTGGTCCGGTTCGCCCCGGAAACTGTTACCGGAAACCGGTAGTATTGGGTTCTGTGATACAAAATGACGTCAATATGAACAACTTTAATAGAGGGATCAGTACGGTCTCATCATTATTTTGCCATATAACATTCGTATCGTTTTATGGTTCACAGGTAACACATACGTCTCTTACCTTATTGCATACGAGATTAAAATTCTATTATCCGAAGAGGATGTTAGTAATGAGGATTAATTGCAGTAATGAGTATTGACTCCATTGCTTGCAATATATGTTACCATGGCAGGTCAAATTCTACACGGTCTTACTGGAAACCATTGTAGTGAATTCCTGACTTTGCTTTGTAGCTACAATATCCTCAACTGGTGCTCCGAAAGCGTATACCAACCGCTAGCGAAAGTGAATCCATTAATAAAAAAGTATTCTATATAGGTACTCGTATATTATCACATAAAAATGTACAATAAAACAAAGAGTCATTGTTGTTACTGAACTGGTTTAATTATTAGTGTAGTGTTTTGTATTATTAAAAAAATATTTTGTAGTTCAACTAATCTTATATCTAAAAACCATGTAATTAATTGTCTTATAATACAATATTAGGTTTATATTTAAACTTATATTTTAATAGCACAGTAGTACTATACTGTAACGCTCAGAATGCGGCACTTCCGTTTGTTTTGACGGTTAGAAACAGCCGGACCGGCACAGTGGGAACGTGGCCTACGGGGTTTAATAGGTGCCCATTGTTGTCAAACGATGAATTGATTCATCACGTTGGGGGCGAATTTCGCATTATTCCCACAGTGAAAGGCTTTTGTTTCATTCTTTTGTGGATTGCGGAATAACGACGAAAAATACGTAGGTACTTATCTAGAATGATTTTTACATACCTACTACTATTAAGGTTAAGCGTTTAATATGTTATTGTCGTTATGTAATGACATTAATTTCATTCAACATTATTAGAGAATATTCAGTTTTTTAACTAGCGTCCCTCCTCAATTTCTGACGAGGGCATTATTGTAGAGATCTCTAAATGATATGACAATGTATGTAGTTTTTATATGTATTTTCTTATATCGAATGAGTATACTAATCGATTAGTTAGTCGATTAGAAATGTATAATCGAATGAATTCTCTTTATAATATTACGTGCGTTACGGCACCAGATAGATATTGTTACTACCACGACTTCTACAAATTAAGAAAAAAAGAATCAATCAAAAACTGTTCAGATGTGAATCACACCTGAATAGTTTTTGGGTAATTGGTTATTCTTAATTTTTAATAAATAAATTATCAGTACAGTGTACATTCTGATAATGATAGAACACGATAGAGTACGGCTGTGTCAATATTAAAGTCGGGTAATTATTTGTTCCAAAACAGTATACAAAGGACAGTATACATATATACAAAGGAGTCTTTTTGTAAAAATTAAATGGATTTGCTTGCTGCTTTATGAAAGTGGAACAAGAATGTAGCATATGTAGCTGATCAATCCCTTCTCTCTACTAAGTGGATATGAGCAAGGGCATTATTCCTAATAATATTTATATTTTGATTATGCATTTTAACCAAATGAGTGCTGTCATTATTAATAATCAGAAATCTTACCGTTCAACATTCGCTATATATATATATATATATATTTAGTCACAAATGATATGATTAGAATCATGACTATTACGTTTATTGACCTTTTAATTGTAAAGTCCTCTGCAGTTGGTTTGAAAGATGGACGCAGTGTAAACAAACGCCTAGTGTTATTGTTGCAGCAAATATTCTGTTCAACAGTAAAGTATTGTTATGTATTGACAACTGGTATAAAGTATTCTTTTATGTAAACAAGCCAATAGTCCTCCTGCTGGTTAGTGGTAGCCGTCACCTACGTACATAAACGACGCTGTGGTCATCACGATGTGAAACCTGTGGTACCATTTACGCGTTGCCATTCCTGAGAACAAGAATGTCATTACTTCATATTCTGTAATTTCACTATCTTACGTCATTAGTAAAACATAATAGTGTTCTATATTTTTCTAGCTAATATAAAATTATTGTAAATGATAATTTTTTAAAATAGGGACTTAAATTGGATCCGACAAAAAATCAAACTCAATATGAACTATTGAGTTTGATTTTTTAAATATACAATAATTTTATATCAGATAGAAAAATATAGAATACTATTATTAATAGACAATAATAATATTAGTAAAATTGAAATTAACATCTTATATTCATTTTAAAAATTATGTTAGACATTAATATAGTAGATAATTTAATAATTTCTAAACTATATAATGTTGCACACATGGGTATGCGTAGGTATTTATAACAATACAAGATTGCCTTGGTTCTTGTCTGAGTAGGTAGACAACCGAAATTGGTTTGTATCCAAATATCCACTATTGTTATTAGTCTTAAACAAATAAATTGCTTGTTTATTTTAAAATATTTAATGGACAGCATTTTTCATCAAACTGTATAGTAAGTAAGCTACGTTGTCTGAACAACACAACGGAAATTACATTGTCACGTGGTATCTGTTATATTCTAAAGTAAAGTCTAAGGCCTCATGCCTCCATACCTTGTAATTTCAATGGTATATCTCACGCTGCAAACCAGAAGGGTCTGCTTGGCGGCAGAAATAGATGGGATTAACAAATCTATCTTGATAAATTAAATAGTTAGATTTTTAAATAGATGCAGTCGGTGATTCACTTAGTACAACATAGAGATACCTGGAGAATATTGGTTAGAAGAAGCATTCCTGGTGGTCACGAGCCTCAGTATTGAGGAATTAACAAAGAATAAAGTAGATACATAGATGTATTAATACAGTAAAATTTTAAAAAGTATATCATCGTATTCGAAATACAGTTGAATTCAAATAAACTTGTCCTTGCGCCATTTTGCCAGTCTGTAGTCTGATAAATGTATCTGCCTACGTAATCTAGCTAAGGCAGAATTACTTTATGAGAACCAAATTATAGAAAGTCAATGTCTGTTCTTATTATAATTGTATATATAATTATGGAATGGATTCACAATATCCACTCTCTTATGACAGCGATATATAATACACCCTCATCCTCTATCCTGTGTTCCATAATATAATTTGCAATCTTTGCACGCGCCAACATAACCAAATATACTAAATTATTAAACTGGGCTACCTTGAACCAGATAAGGAAATCAAATAACAAGCACTTAATTTGTTGTAAACAGCAAACATGACCTGGAGTATAGCAGGTTAAATCCACAGATACCTAATTAATAATAGACAAAAACATATTACAGACTAGTTTTATCACGTGGCGCAGCTCGCGTGGATTAAAACTTTTCTTTTACTAGGACAAACTCCTACATGGTAACGCCTGGACTGGGAGAGGTGAATGGGTACTGTGAATCTTATACTCACTAAACACTCTAAGGTATCTCGACGAATAGACTATTGTTGAGGATGCTTTCGTATTCGTCTGCGACTGAAATGGATTCTAAATTACTGGCATATAATGTTATATATATATATAGAAATGAAATGAAACTTTATAGAAATGAAACAATTTTTAAAATAGATCTTTTTACTTTTAAAAATATTTTTTATAATAACCCTGGATAATTCAAATAGCGCCATCTAGTTCAAAGCTAAGCAGAATATATGTTATGGCTAATATTTAACTGTACTTTTTTTGTGTATATATATAATATAATACATATATAGAAAACACCTATATAAATATTGATGAATATAAATGATTGCGTCGCGCAAGGTTTTGAAGCTTTGACTATTGGAAGTAAGGCGGTGTGCGCAACCTCTAGACCATGCATCGAGACTGTCAAACATACAAAATAATACAATGTTCAAGTTACGTAAATATGATTATTAAAGATAACTCAAAAACTTGTCAGATCATGCTCAAAATATGGGAGACACGATAAGCACCAGGTTTGAGATAAAAAAGAAATGATAAAAATCAGCAGAAAAAACTTGAATTGAAAACTTCGTTTGTCTATTGTAGTCGGTTAAGAAATCACATTATTTATTTTATACTATAAGTATAAAGATCGTGTTGCATCCGTGGAGTCAAGAGTTTCCGGAACCGGCGTGTATGTGACGTGTGATGAGACAACTTAATTATGAAAGTGGATGATCCAAGAACTTTTGTGCAATAGACACCTATGTCATTCTATTCTTCCTGTCTATGTTAAGGTAGCTGGTATGAAGATAATAATAATAATAGCACTATATTCTGTAGAGAAAAATATTTACAAAAGAAAACTTTACATAAATGCTAAACAAAAATAACCCTTATCGTTTAAAGCAATATCTTACAGACAACCTAATAGTAGATATTAATAGATAATATACAACCTAATAAAAGATAATATATTTTGTATGATATTTACTAATGGCTTCAACGGTGTAGCAGTTAGTATACTCGTACTTTCCGATGGTTGCAGTTTCAATATACCACAGTTCAAATATTTGTACTCATAAGAACATATGTATTGGTCTAGGTGTTTTTCTATTAATATTGTCTACCTATAAAAACATTCAGTATGTCTATTAAAGTTCTAGTTCCTATAGGATTTAGTGTGGGACTAGATGATGTATTATTTATTTATTAATTAAAAAAACAATTTATGTAAATAACAAACTATCTTTCTTCCTTTTGCCTTTTGATCATATTTTGTTGCAATGCCACGTCAAATACCTTAATATATTTACTCGTCTTTATACATACATAGCTATTCAGTTCTATTATCTCTTGTTAATTGCCTGTTATTTTTAAAAGAGCAAGATGTTGCACGCATGCACGTCTAATTAGGAAATCTATAGTGCGGCGACGATTTCATTAGAATGTATGAATCTTGCGTCCCAAGAGTCTGTAAGCTCGCAGTCTGTACAATGATCCTTCCTGGGCGCAAAACGACCAGCTGCAGTCGACACACGTTCCATCCTTTGTTACTGCAAGAATGCATACTCTCTGCACAACTGTAAGGGACGAGGAGTGTCAACTTACGGTAGCCAGTGACATCTCTAGCTCTTTCCTGCAGCGAGCGGCAAAAAGTCAAAACGTGTGGGACTGCAGACGAACCCGTTTCTCCATACAAGGCTCTGTACGACAAGTCGCGTCCCAACGTACCACCACATAATATTGTTAGCCGCTGCCGATAGCTTTTTATGTCGAATGCATTATTCGATACTCATTTAAAATTCTAACATAAGCTTATAAAGAAAGCTGGCCATTTTTATGCGGTCCCCTGGTAAAGCCGGTCGTCTTAACAGATTTCGATAAACATCCTAAGAACTAGGACTAAAGAGCAGAGTTGAGATCTTAGGCGTTTATCGTCTTTATTACGCAAATTCGTTTTGGGTGCCGGCTGCTCAGCCGGTCTTTAGCGCCCACGCGCCAAAAATCGCGGGGGCGATTACTCTGAGGCTTCGGCGCGTGCTCAAACGTGCATGCGCACCGCCTGAAACACACGCGCCTCCTAAAAACTATTTTTTTTTATCACATGTCAAATGTGACAGTGTTGTTTTTAATTTTTAAATTTCGAATTTCCATTTTCGTTGTCAAGCCAGTGCTTTCAATAACAAACAAATCGATGGCAATTTAGTTTATGAATGGAGTGATCTAGGAAGTGACATCATGAATAGTGTTGTGACTGTGCCAACTCTAATTTGGTGGGCGCCGATTTTTTAACAATGCGTGAACATTAGAGTGGAAAGGTAAGTGTAAAGGTCTATTTACTATTTGATTTCGGGCCGTGTAAAGGCTCATTAAATTTGAAATGTTTGTCAAGTGCACACATGGTAGGTACTTGTTACTTCTAGTTAAGCTACTTCTACTATTATTTTCTTATAGGCGAGTGTTCCTTGTACGATAAAATATACAATTATTTATTTATTAGCTATCTATGGTAATACCTCGGATCCGCAGTAAGTTCTAAACATAAACTCTTCTTTTAATGGCTGTATATAATGTATTATATATAGAGCCGGTGACTTGCGCATGACATCTGGAATTTCAGGCAATTCGACGAACTGCATGCATTTAACCTTTGTGGCAAAATAATGAAAGAATTATACTAGAATAATTAGAAGTTCGAATTTTTAAATTACTCAGGATATTGAATGATATGAATATTAAATATCAAAGTCAAGATTTGACCGAGGAATATCATAAAACTGTATAATCTTAAGAGGATAGATTCCTTTTAGTCATTTGTATTATATTATATATTCATCTTCATTAGTTTCAATATGTTTATAAGTTTAATAAGCTTAAGCACAAGCAAATTGTTTTTATGTACGTATTATGTCAGTACGCAATGACGTGTTATATTATTATTATGAGATAACGAGAAAACTAGGTGTGCAATACAGTTAAATAGTTATTTAGACTATTCTAACCTTCATAAAACCACAAAATTATTGCCTAATATGGGTTCCATAAAATAAAACGCAGTAATAATTGAATAAAATTTATGTATTTACATTAATATAAAGTAAATTACAACTATATTATCTGAAATCTTATATAACTAATTGTTTATTTCAAGACATTATATATAGCTTCCACTATAAATAATGTCTTGGAATAAACAATTAGTATAATCACTGTATAATGTAATGACTGACATCAGAATTTGAATATTGTCTCCTCATATGTATTTAAATCACTTGAATGCACATAATACAAAAGTAAAAGTACATATGGCGTACTTAACACCTTACCTTTAATTATATTTTATACTAGCTGTACTCGCGACTTAGTCCGCGTGGAATTTAACTTTATTTTCTAAAATAAAAGTAGCATAAGTTACTCCTTATTACATCAGCTACCTACCAAAAAGAGTCCCGTCAAAATCGGTCCAGCCATTTCAGAGATTAACCGACAGACAGACAGACAAAAATTGTAAAAAATGTTATTGTGGTGTATATACCGTATTTATATTAATTTGCATGTAGTAAAAAACGGTTATTTCAATATTACAACCAGACACTCCAATTTTATTTATACGTGTAGATTAGATATAGTAAAGACTATTTTTTATGGATGAATGTGGAATAGTATCTCCGCCAGCACTAACGGTATACGCTTGCGGGCTGCTAGTGGAGGATGATAGGATTAGCGACTGACAGAGCTAACCTTATTCCTATCTGATAGCGTATAGGTGCAATTTCATCAGGAATTAATCGGGATTATTTTGATTTTGAGAGGGGAACTGGGCGGAGATTGTGCTGATAGAAATATTATGCATTGCTAGCTAAGGATCTATGAATCATTATATATTTTTAATGTTGCATGTTACTAGCAATCTTTTTACCTCCGTCTTTGAGAATTTTTAACGTTTAAGAGCTTCTACGAGATTATTTTTGGTTAGATATCGGTGTTTCCTTCAGCGGAAATTCAAAAGTATAAATTGACGCACAAAGATTATTTGGTATCTGTCAGATTTGAACTTACGACCTCATAAGTGCTAAGATCGGGCGGTGCTAACTAAACCACTATCTCACGACGTTCTCTGCGTCTACACTTCTCTACAATTAAAGTAGTGGCAAAAATTCCATTCCTGATTAATGTTTTATAGGTCTATTCAATAACTATAAGAATTATAAAACTATCAACTCCGAATAACATGATTTAAAACATTGAGGATGATCTATTTGATATTTATATGACACACAAACATGAATCACAAAAAGCAGAGGTTTTATGATATTAAAAATCTTTTGTGGAAAATATTTTTCAATAGAATTAAACTGGTTTTGTTGCATATGCAGTCCATTGGAACGGCCGCGTGGCGTGGGTGAAATAATAGAGCGTAGAGGCGACATTTCGAAATTGTGCGCACAGCACCAACCTAGGTGACGCTGCCATCACATAATTTAATATATAATCTAGTACTGTGTGACCTAAGGTTGAAATTCAAATGACAGTTATTTTCCATAATCTACACCTATTTTGTTAATCGAATGACTGCGAACGTGTGTTGGGAACTGGTGCTGAATTTGAATAAACTTAACATACAATGAAGCGGGGGTATTGATGCGCGGAAGATTTTACGGTACCGACACAGTAATGGACGTTGGCGAATTGTGTGTGTTTACGGCAGTTTACCATCGAGAATAACTAATAATTCATTCATATTTCTTTATGCGAACATACAAACGATCTTGCGATCACCTAAATAGATAAGTCATCATAGTCTATTCTTATACAAGAATCATCGCAGACACGATAGGATACATTATGTCGTCTATGGTAATTTATCTCTTATGTGTTCCTATTCCTAAAGATTAAGTAATATGCCATCTATATATAATACTAGCTGTGCCCGCGGTTTTACCCGTATATATAGCATATATGTTCTTCTGATGTATAAGCTATATTACTGTGAAATTTCATAAAAATCCGTTCAGAAGTTTTTACGTGAAAGAGTAACAAACATACATTCATCCATCCATGCTAACAAACTTTCACGTTTATAATATCTCTTAGATCTTTATTGTGTTCCATGATTCAAACCAAAGGATGGGTTTACGACACTTACTAATGTTACGCTAAAGGGTTTAAAGAAACCAAATAAACACATAAATAAACTTTCTTTTTCAAGTATTAGTGAATATTATGATACCTCTAAGTGGCCTAAGTTCAAAATTAGGGTTGTCAACTTTAAATAAAAAATATGGGACTACACAATGATAGTTAAAAAAAAAAATAACTGAAGTGGGTATATCAAATGGTTCTACCATATTACTGTTACGTTTTCTTTCTTCCTTTTTGATGACTGTAAATATTTATGTTAAAACATAAATATTTACAGTCATCAAAAAGGAACAATATATAGCATATAAAAATATTAGCATATCATTACAAGTTTATCACAAATATTTTTTTTAAGTTTCGAATAATATTCACACAATTATTTTTTCTATGGCAGCATTGCGCCATTACATGTTACATGCCAGTATTTTACATGATACAAATGTCTTAATTCCAATAATACGGGATGATCCCGGATGTTACGAAACAATTGGACTCTATGGTAATGTGTGGTACCATAGTCGGCCACTGCGGCTGTGTATACGCTCGAGAGATGTGATGATGATAAGAATCTACTGCTGTTTATGGTCTTTTATTTGAATTTTTATAACGACCTTGTGTAATACTGTTTTGCTCATCCTATACACTAGGTAGAGTCTATGTAGCCAGTTAATAACGATGTGATATGACGTAATGTTAATTGTGAGAATGTGTGTGTAACACGGGGGCGTATATTTTATGTTTCGATGAATTATGTGTATTTATTATTTTAGTAGCTGTTATGTGCCGAATTCGTCTTTTTATACATATCAAATAATCAAAGTAAAAAATCATTTAAGTATTTATATGCATGTAGTTAAAAACGGTTATTGAACATTATAAACAGACACTCCAATTTAATTTATATGTATTGATTAGGACAAACTCTATGTCCTTATCATAGACTATATCTTCATTAAAATTTTATTATAATTTCTTGATCCAGGGATTTCCCTTTTTTCATTTCATTCATTGACAGGCAGACAGACACATTTCCTTTTATAATAATAGTTAGTAGGAATAATTTTATAATTTTTTTAAACAACTGATTTAGCAGATTTTCGGACTACTACCTGATGGTAACTATATGTAGGTACGATTAATCTGTGTACCTTATCATATAATGTTCGTAAGTACGACACACACGTTGTTATTTAAAAAAAAAATGAAATTCAATTGAGTTTCTTGTAAGCTCTGCTCTATTGCATCTGTATACTGAACTGGACAGTACAGAAAAAAATTAATATAAAACATTTACGTTCCTAAGCGGCTAAAATGTCCTACATAAATAAATGATTATTGAATTTGAATTTCAAGACTGTAATATTTTTTTCTTATAAACTAAACGTGACTGTTAAAGGTAAAACAGGTAATATATACATTAAAAACTCATGCTCAATCAGTCTTAATTGTCTAATGTTAATGCACAATACAATAATTATATTCACCCATACTTCGCTAACACAAATCATACACATTTTTGTTTATATGGTCGCGATATTGCGATGAAAATCGCAAAGGGATTGTGATTTACGAGCGTTTGCAATCACACATGAAAATTAGTATGGAAAAAGGAACAAAATTTGAATTTTACTACTGGCGTTTGTTCGCTGTAAATTATATCTGCACATACATAGGGTATAACGACTCCACGCCAACTCAATTAACATAGCTAGGGGTAGTGTTACCATATATAAGGTGTAGAAAAAATGGACACTGTATTGGGATAAGGCCTCGATGATCTAGCGGTTTAGCACACCATTTTACTTCAATTCCTCGCACGGTATAAACTACACACATTTGTATTCATAACTAATTTTTATATTTGTCTGGGTATTTCCTATGTATAGTAAGTATGTATATACAAAAATATAAGTATTCTATGTGTTGTCTACTAGGCATAATACAAGCTCTGCTTGCCTTGGGACTAGATGGCGCTGTGCGAATTGACCTGGATTGTATCATTAGGTACATATGGTGTCTATTGACGATCTCACCTACTTCAGGCGCAGGAGTAAATCACGGGTGATAGATAGTAGACAATAAAAATGTATTACTTATAACTCTACGCCTACAGATATAATGCCGTCAATAATGAATAATCAAGTAGGTATCTAATCCTCAAAGTCTAGAAAGAATG